CTAGCTGTTTTGCCTCCTAGTTTGGGATTCTTCAACAGCGCCCACCCACCACGACTTTGCCAGGGGTCGAATCTGAGACCTTCAGGTCGATGACCCCTGAATTCTAACTTTGTCAACTGGTGGTGTAGACTGCCCTAACCGCAATGCTTTCAATGAGCCTCCACTTCACTTTGACATATAGTGGACCCCATTGGTCACGATTTCCTAGGGGAAATCTATCCGGTAGCCATCAATGAGCCAGCTGGCGATTAATATTGAGAATATAGAATTTGTGAGGATTTTGGTTTAATTTGGATTAATTATAGCTTAGATGACGTGGACCAGTAGAATGCCTCTTAGTTATACTAGAGTAGTTGGTAGCTAATAGTAGGAATTTCCGGAGAAAATTGTGAGTATGCACAGGGTTTTGATTATTGATCTTTTCCTAGTAAGAAAGGTTAAGAGTTTTAATTGTTTTGCTAGTTGTTTGTTTTTCTCGTGAAAGAAACTATTTTTCAAACAGCCGGTTCCTTTTAATAGTTTGAATAAAGAAAGAACGAACATATTTGCAGGGTAATACCACCTCGTTTTATTTCGTTGACTCTCTTCAACTGCATACATCCTGAACAAAATCAAATTATAACTTACTGATTTTCTGTGCGTCGGTGGCACAGCGGTTAGGACGCTCGCCGACCATACACATGGTCCGGGATTCGATCCCCGGCCAACGCACTCCTTTGCCTCGCTAAACCAGAAATAAAGCTGGTAAGGAGGAAAGGTTGGGCTAGCAACCCCATCCTGTAAAAATAAACACTGCTACAGAAACTTCAAGCCCCCAGCTTGAAGCCCTATGTTCCACTGGGAACGTGAAGGAATAAAAAATTTTCTGAAAATACTTTTTTTCACAGTAAATTGGAGTTGCAGACAGAAAGTATAAGCAAGATAATTTCAAAGGTGATGTAAGTAGACGAATTATTCAGTGTTAAAAAAGAGACTAACTATTTATAGTATAATTAGACAAGAGGGGGGGGGTAGAGTTCAGATTTCTCTTGGAAACAAGGACTGACTAGAGACGAAATACAAGACCGAACAACAGAGTGAATTCATACATATTGTGATGGAGAGTTCAGGAGGGTGAGGGTAAATAGTAGAGTAAAATTATAACATTAACAAACAATTACGTATATTTGAAAACTTCATAGTGAAATAAATTTATTGTTTACTTTATTCCTTTACGTCCCGAGTAGAGCATAGGGCTTCAAGCTTTTGGGGCTTTGAAGTTTCGATAATGGTGGTTTTTATTTTTTAGGGTGTAGTAGGGTTACTAGCCTTACACCCAACCTTTCCTCTCTGTTGGCCTTACCACTGGTTCAGCGAGGTTTAGGAGTTCGTCGGCTGGGAATCGAAACCCGAACCACGTGTGTGGTTGATGAGAGTTCTACTGCTGAAACAGTAACGCTTGAACTTATTTTTTTATTATTAGTTATTTATCGATTCACAGATTGTCACTTACAGAGCTGAACTCACTATTAAGTTTTTGAATTTACTTAATTGTTTGTCTTTGTCATAATTTTACTCATACTCCTCACTCTCACCATCTTGAACTTTTCATCATAATATGTATCAGTTCCCTATGTAGTTCGATCTTGTATTCTGTCTCTACTCAGTCCTTGTTTTTAGGCTAAATCTGAATTCTACCCCCCCCCCCTTTGTCTAATTATACTATAAACAGTTAGTTCCTTTTTAACACTGAACAATTCGTCTACTTACATCACCTTTGAAATTATGTTGCTTATGCTTTCTATCTGTAACTCGAAGTCACTGTGAAAAAAGTAAGTTGAAGCATTATCTTATAATTTGATTCTGTTTAGGATGTACGCAGTTGAAGAGAATCCATGAAATAAAACGAGGTGGTATTATCCTGCAAATATGTTCGTTCTTTCTTTACTCAAACTTTTCTTAGCCTTTGCAAACAATACATTACATTCTAAGGAGATGTTTTTAAATCGAATTGGTGAATTTCAACTTTAGACACCTAAGAGGCGCGGAAGCACCGCTGACCCCTTGGAAAGAACAGTTGCGCTAAATAGCAAATGTGTTCCCCAAACGCCCAACCCTAACCCTAATCTTTTTTCTTTAACCTAATTCCCTTACCAACCTTAATATCTCCCTAATTAAGTTAACTCAATCTTAACTCATCCCTACCGCAAACTTAAACTTTGTCTTTCTCTAACCTAAAACCAGCCATGTATGCTGTTTAATATAATTACGCTTTATTCGACACTTTTTGTCATGAATATAGATATAGTGTTATTTACCTGGTTTCACTGCCTTTCTCTGACTTAGCGTTCCAAGGATTGTTTTTTGTGGGTTGGGTGTCTAACATTTAACTTCTCTCTATCGAATTAATGAATATTTCGTAATACGTTACACTCTTTACACTTCTTTGTTTATATATTCACTTGAAGCATACTGTTTTATTTTTTATAAATTTTATTCTTAGTTCCATGACTTACGGCGTCAAACTAGAGCTTTGAAGTTTTAGTAGCAGTAGTTTTATTTTTACGGGGTGAGGTTGCTAGCCTTACGCCTCACCTTCCTTCTTTATCGGTTAGGGAGCGAGGTTTGGGAGTGCATCGGCTGGGGATCGAACCTCGGACCACATGAGGCGTGGTTAGCGAGATTACTCTACCGTGGAACTACCGACGACACACCAAGCATACTATTAAGTAACCAGCATTTATGATGTGTTATTTCCACGTAAACTACTGTGTGCTTTGAAGATTCTGTAGCGGTTGGATTGATTTCCCAAGGTAGACTGGCTAGCCCTACGCCTAACCTTCTTCCTTTTTCCAGGGGTAGGCCCGGCCAGTAAAATAGGCAAGGTTAAACTAGTTTTATTGGTTGGAGGATTTCATCATGAGCTGACATCAGTAGAGTCCCAAACTAGGACGAAACAGCTAGGTTTTCCAGTGGTGCTCTAACTGATGTCAGCTCATGATGAAATCCTCCAACCAATCAAACAAAACAAAAATCCCTACAAAACCAATACTTTAAACTAGTTTTATCAAAGCAAAAATTCCTTTTATATTTATGTGAAGAAATAAGTAACACAAATAATGACTTCAGATGTGTTATATCATGATGCCTAAGTCAGAGATAATCGCAATCGATTTTGACAAATGAAATCAACTGATTTAGTGGAGAATTTAAATTTCCTGAAATCAGATATACAAACACCTGGATAACCAATGTATACAAGTGAATGATGCATAGAATAATCTGACTCGATACACAAAAAATGACTTTCATTCTGTGAGATAACACAACACGAGAGGAATATGATAAAAAAATCAACCTATGTGACCAAAAATGGGGTTGAAAATCTGTCCTAACAGATTATTATTATTATAAAAATTATTGTTGTTATATCATAGCCCATCCCAGAATAATACAGAGAAGAAAATATCGTCATCAGAGTGACGTTACACCAGTAAGTAACGACTAAGTGGACAGCGACATACATACAAGATATATATATATATATATATGCGTTTTGCATTGTAATAATTAGGATAGATAGAAATGAAATAATCTGTTCGCATATAAATTAGTGAATTGTTGGCCTACTTAACTTATACTTTTAATCAATAAGCCATTGGTCATGCTAAATACACCCATGCATATATTTGTAGATTGTAAAGGAAGGGGGTAGGGGAATATCCTGTTAATTTAGTGAGCTTTTATAACAATTATGATGAATAAGTTTGGTCACGGATTGATATCAGTTAGAGAATTATTGAAAACCATCAGGGAGTATACTGTACTGGACAGTTGTTTTGTCTTATTTTGGCACTCTTCATCAGTACGCACCCATTAATGATTCCCTAACTTACATTCCCTACGAACTAACTTTTGAAAATTAATCTGATGCTGGCTACAGAGCAAAACGTTTCCTGGAGTTCTAGTGAGAGATCATGACCAGTGTGGGGTTCATCACTAGGTCGGGAGTGAAGACAAATACTCTCTGATGACATTGTCTGGTTGTCGCGCTAAAAATATCGTATTTGTAGAAATTAGTATTGATGAGTCATTGAATCGAGTCCAAATGTCTGAATGGTTTACGAACTTTCCTGGTAACCGGAATTTCCTGGGTGCGTACTGCCTGAGAATCCCAAAGTAGGACGAAACAGGTAGCTGTCCAGTACTCCCTGTTGGTTTTCAGTTGTTCATTAACTGATATTAAATCTTTATCAAACTTTAAACAAATCACCACCGATAAGAAGACTCCAGAAGATCTGGATTTAGCGCGTGGATGACATATGTTTAATGTCACACAAACTCGAAGATTTCCAAATTGGTTTCAGGTAGATGAAGGCGTATCTAGCTCTTCCGATTTTGGCTGGCTAGCTTTGACATCTTCATCCGTTCCCCCCTGTGGTTGAAACAATGCTTCCTAGATAAGTGAAGGAAGTAACCTCTGTTAAATCTCTCCCGTTGATGGTGATTGGTGCTGGTTGTTGTTGTTGGTTGGTTGGTTGGTTATCTTCATCACCTCTGTCTTCTCTATGTTCACGTGGAGGCCTGTCTTCGTCGAGTGCCCCTTCAGCCAGTTTGTTGGTTTTCGCCTGCCCGTAAGTCTTCGAGTTTGTGTGACATTAGACATAAGTCATCCACATGCGAAATCTAGATCTTCTTGTCGGTGGCCCAACGTATTCCTGTCTTCTCACTCCCCATGCAAAGTCTGACGCATAATCCAGTCCACCACAATTAAGAATATCATCGGTGATAGTAGCGGCCAGCGTTGTCTCACTCCTGTATTCACTTCGAAGGCCTCTTCTGAGTTTTCCGGTGTGGATCACTTGACATGTGGCATTGTCATATAGCCAACTGTTGATTAATGGGGTTGATAAAGATATTTTTTCAAATATCAAATTACGAAAGGTAATCATGTCGCGATTATTACATTCGGTATTAAAGTGTTCTTGTTTTTACTTTTTTTGTCTTATCCTCCTTTATAGTATTCATGTTTGGGATATCCATGACTTGTCAACAATTCAAAAGTGTCGATCACATTTCTATCACAGTCGGGGAATATGGTCAATTGATTGTTTACCTGAACAATGGCAGCATAATAATAATAAATCTTTAAGTCATTTACCATCATGGTGGTTAAATGATATGTTTGCCACATGTTCAGATGATGGAACTATTCGATTTTGGAGCTTAATTGCTAATCATCGATCGGTGAATAATGATAGTGGAATACGATTGTCAACAAGTGTTCCAGCTGATTCAGAGTTTGCAGGATCTGCAACAATTGAGTGTACAGAGGTAAGTGAAATGGTGAATGTCTTCAACAAAAACATGTAGTTGAAAAGTTTTACTTTCTCTGTGATAACCTATGGGTTATTTTTAGTATTGCATCAGTCAATGAAATCCACAACAGTTAGTTTAAGCCAGCCACGTAGGGAGGTAAGACTTCCTGGTTGGGGTCCTCGGGATGGTAAGAACCAATGAAGGCTGAAGACAATTGGTGAGATGGCTCAAAATCGTTATCAATAGCTGGTGCAGATGTATTCACTCCTTGTGGCTTATGGTTATTCCATATTACCTATTCCTTTTGCTTCATATTTCTGTTCATTATCTCTCTTTACCGTCTCCTCTTGCTTTGTGTGCTACATGGAGGGAGTGTGGTGACTCGAACTGCTTCACATCTGTGCCAAGTTCTACGTTGAAACTAGTCAGTCAGTTTCGAATTGGATGTGTCTCTGAGACATCTTATCATCGTTTTGATTTAAATTGGTAGCCGTTTTGTGAATAGTTTTTACCTAATGTTCATCATTGGTTAGTATGAAATATGCTCAACATATCAAACCACTATCCTTTCATTAAGAAATGTTAAGAGTAGTTAGAACAGGCGAGGAAAAAACAAAAAGAAGAATGATTAGACAGTGGAGAGATGCACATTTCTTGAAATATGACAATCATATCCGTGATGAAATGTCTACTGGTCATTTTGAAAGAATCTGGATCAAGATGTGCCGAGAAGGTAGATCGTACCAATCAAGGAACTCTACTCAAATTGAAGGAGCTTTCGGCAAGTTTTCATCTGAAGTGATGACAGCCAGTAGTGTCCATCCACTGTCCCCATTTCTGTTTAATTACATCATAGATGTACTAATGGACTTAACCCTAACTGAATTCAGCAACTCAGGAATTGACTTGTTAGCAAGGAATAATCTCGTTAACTTAGAATACACAGATGATATGGTCCTCCCTCCTAGGTGAAGACGCTGGCAAAATGCTTAGTCTTCTGAACACCTTGAGGAGTAGGGATCTTCGAATGTTTGGCATGCGATTAGCTCCCTTCGTCAAATGTAAGATGATGCTACGAGACTGAACTATATAGACTCCTAGCTTAGAGATAGGGAGTGAAGTGGTTGTCGAGCGTGTTGACCACTTCACTTATTTGGGAAGTTGCATCAGCCCCAATGGGCGTAGATGTGATATCCAGCTGGCTATGGATCAAAGGATATGCGTACTACGTAGCAGTTCACTCCGTCCTCTTTTATGCCTGTGAAACATGGCCATTGAGAGTAGAAGGCGGTATGGAAAGGCTAGTTGTCTTTGATCTCAGGTGTCTGCGTTATATCTCCCATCTTAGTTGATATAATAGGGTGAGCAATATTGAGGTTGGGCATCGGTCGAGTGTTAAGTAAGGGGGGAAACCAATCGATTGAGATAGTTAGGACATGTGTTACTCATGCCTAGCCATCACCTCCCTCGACGGACAATGTTAGCAGTCAGTCAGTCAATCAGGATCAAGATGTAAGTGATAAGTTGAAAGACTATAATCATAATCGGCCGTCAAGTTGTCGATAAATATCTTTCCTGTACAGATTTAAAGGTCAAAGCAAAAGAAGTGTCAAAATTATATTCAAGATATTTTGTCAATGTTATTATCCCCCTTTATCTTAAATTCTATTGATTCGACTATTTGTTAGGTGTGTTTTTTTGTTGTTTTGTTTTGCATAAGCTTCTTTTTGGTGTTATCAGTTTGATGACTGAAATTGTTTATCTATCATCTATCTACAGTATAAGATTGACGTTTTTTATAAACAATTCGCTCATATTCTAATTTTGTATATTGAATGAGTTTAGGTCAGTTAGTGTTATGATGATAATGATGAAAATCATTGATTTATTAGGTCATCATTTTTTTTAACTAGAAAGTATATCCTTTTAAAGTAAACAACACCAGATGCAACAGTGATAAGCGTAGAGAGCGCTTATCTTTTTTTCGATCTTCAATTCATGGTATAAAACGGAATGAAATGATTGACAGCAGATGTGCAAACAAACACACAGAGGCTTTTGATTACATTAGAAAAAATATATATTAAATGAGTAGTATTCAGTCATTTAGAAAGAGTAATAGGTAATTTGGTTTATACTGTGGTGAGTGCTACTTATAATCCGATATAAGTAGTACATCAGAAAGCGAATTCAGAAAAGTAACAATATATTTTGCACACTGGAAAGAGCAATCAAAGAAGAGAACTATGAGAAGAATGTTGCCATATGATGCAGAATCCAAGAAGCTATTGAATGTGACGATATTCGACCAATCCGTCAAGGATGTGCAAATGGCGGTTTGAAAATATGGTATATCAAATTTACCTATGTACAATGCGTTTCACCAAATAGACATTCCTTCCAGTCTCCTCGGTCTTTTCTTCTTTACAATACTACTGACCGATATAAGTAGGTTGAAATCACCCACATCGAATAATAGTGCTTGCTAGCTAGATTGAAGTGATCTAAGCACTTCACCGTCGGTGTACCTGTATGGGACTGAGCTCATCAATAATAATAATTTGCTTTATTCCAGAAACAGTACTAGTGGTACAGTGTGGAATTTTCAGCACATATCTACAATATTTGCATCTAATTTTACCGACATTTAAAATAAGTATTAAACAAACAAAAAAAATAAATCTGAAGACACCAACAGCAAAAAAAACAGGATAAACACAAAATAATTATGAATGCGAAAAAGTACCAAAGTCTACCAAGGTCAAATGCAGTGTTTGTGGTTGTAGTGTGAGTAATCCTGAATAATACAAATTTTTTTGAGGTGGTGACTATGGCATTCACAAACAATGATTGTCAGTTTAATATTGCCGAAGTATAGAAAATAAGAAAAAACAACCACAAAACTAATAGTTACATGATGGTTAATGAGAGGACAATTTTGTACTACTCATAGTGCTGATAGAGTAGGAACCAGTGGATACACAATAGAAGGAATATAGTAAAGTACAAAAAGGAAGCCAATGTTAATATTTTAGGTAGCTAAGTATGTTTGAGAAGGAGTTCACTATAGAATACAAAATAAGAGAGAAATAAAAGAGTATGAAATTATGTTGTTAATAACAAAGCAAGTCACAGATTTCACGCTTAACATTGTCTCTGTCGCTTAGAACACGGACCAAGTATGGTATCGTTGAGTTCCTGTACTTGGTTGTACGAGCATAGATTCTTTTATACTGATTTCTGGTTTTACTTGATGAGATACAAGTCGAGAGTTGGGAATAGAGGGGGTGTTGGGGGTCTGAGAGTATGGTTTTTGACCATTTTTCGCATGTATTCAGATGCCTATCAACTAAAGTAGTGACGAGCTGACTGATTTTTACACCACTAGTCCGACTGACTACCCTTAACATCCTTCTCAGGATGGTATAGTCCTTTTTCAGTAGACCAGGAAAGACTAACGGGGAGCAGTAAAGTAGAATAGGTAAGATGCAAGAGTTGACAAATTGTGAAAGTAGAGGTTGGGTGATTCCAGATTGTCTAAGTTTCTTAATGTAGTAGGTAAGACAGAACACTTTCCTAGAAATCATTAGGATATGAGATGTCCAAGTAAGGTCAGAAGATAGAACTAGACCGAGGTATTTTGTATTAGACTTAGTTTCAATTTTAGTCCCCTCAATGCAACAGTCTTCATGAGAACTTACTAGTGTTTGTAGATCTCGTTTATGCCTAAGGGAGAAGTCGACAGTCTGGCATTTTGAGGGATTCAGCATGAGACCATTTAGTTTGGACCACTCACTGATGTCCGACAGGAAGCTATTTAATTTGAGACAGTCTGACTGAAACTTAATGAGAAACGATACAGACAGGTCATCTGCATATTTGACGAAGTTGATTTCATCTGAGAGAGGTAAATTATGTAAGAAGAAGGAAAAGAGAACCGGAGAAAGAACAGCACCCTGAGGAACTCCAGCTTCAGTAAGCAATGGAGAGGAAGATACACCATTATATACCGTGTACTGCATCCTATTAGAGAAGTAAGAGTGCAGCCGGTTGATAGCTTGTTTGACAATAGGCCTCTAGGTACAGAGTCGAAAGCAGATGTATAGTCAAGGAACGTACAACGGACAAACTTGGCCCCTTTGTCTAAGGAGGATACAATGTTGTGATGAAACACAGCAGCAGCGTCTAGAGTACTTTTACCCTGTTTGTAAGCAAACTGCTTTGGATCGTTTGAGAAACTTAGGGAGGGAACAAGTTTTAGTAACAATAGTTTCTCCATTAGTTTCAAAAAAGGAGAGGTAATAGCGATAGGTCTGAACTTAGCATTATTACCAGAGCCTGACTTGGGTACAGGGATGATTTTAATATTTTTTCCATAGAGAAGGTACAACATTATTAGAAAAAGAAGTATTAAAAATGTTTGTAAGTGGGTTGCTTAAAATATCAGCACATTTCCTTAGGACAATGGCAGGTATACCATCGGGACCTAGACTCTGGGAAGGTTTAAGAGATTTTAAACATTTAAGAACATCAGAAGTTTTAAAACTTTGAAAGTCACTAGTCATGTTATTTGTTACATTGAAGCTAAAAGGTACATTGGGAAGGCGGATGAAAGATCTATTAAGAGTATTTACATCAATAGAGGGAGCACAAGAACTATGCTTATCACAACCTGTAATTTCTTTGAAAAGCTTCCACATGTTCCCAGGAGTTTCACATGACAAAATTCTTTGATTATAAATATTGTTTAACCTCTTGATTTCGGATTTAATTTGGATGTTTATTCTCCTAAGACCAGCTTTATCCTTAGCCTTGTACAGTCTCTCTTTTTCTCTTCGAAGCTTTTTGAGATGAGGAGAAGAGAAACCGTCTATTCTTTTGAAAAGTATCAACGATAAACCTGGTTAGACACAACGCAGATATCGGTTAGAGGACCATTGCAAAACCTGGGAGTACTGGACAATTGTTTCGTCCTAGTTTGGGACTGTTCACAGCAGTACGCACCCACCACAGGGGTTTCGAACTCAGGACCCTTCTGGTTACAAGGCGAGCTGGCTCGTAGACCATTAGGCCACTGGGACCCTATCCAATGGCTAGCCCCTGAATTCCAACTTCTGCCTCGCTAAGCTAGTAATAAGACTGGTAAAGAGGAAAGGTTGGGCATGAGGCTAGCAACTTCATCCTGTAAAAATAAACACCACTGTTACCGAAACTTCAAGCCTCTCACTTGAAGCCCTATGCTCCACTAGGAATGTAAAGGAATAAAAAAAACTTCTTATAATATATAAAGTGATGTTTGGTGTGATTGTTTCTTTATATATTTTGTAATCGTATACTTCTGTATGACATAATTTCATAAATTCCTCTTGTTTATGTCTCTGTTGTTTTGTTTTGTTTTTCATTGTGATTCAATTTTAGCAACTTGCTGGTATCATATATACAGATCCAAGTTACAAATATTTATGCACTAGTGATCGTTCTTCAAGTAAGATTTTAATCATTCAATAAAGCTTGAAGTTTTTCTGCTTGCATTTATATATATATATATATATATCATACTCATAGACATTAGATTAACTGTCTAGCTTTTATGATATATTTTTTTTGTTCAAAGTATTGTGAAGTATTTTTTTTTCTTCTCAGACTTTCTATTAGTTCCCTTATTATACCTGTTTGAAATCTGTATATGGTTCTTATGTTTATGCATAGTACACACCTAGATTAAGTTTATTATTCAAACCTCCATGACTGCTTTCCAGTGTTACTTTGCTGAGATTTGATTGGTTCCAAGCTTGATCATGGGTCGATATCAGTTAGAGAACTACTGAAAACCAAGAAAGTACTAAACAACTGTCCCAGCCTAGTTCGAGACTCTTCAGTAGTATGCACCTGTGACCCCACCACCTGGTTACGAGGCGGCGAGTCCGATGACCATTCAGCCTGGAGTTCTAGTGAGCGGAGTCATGACTAGTAGTGCCCACCAGCCGGTGATATTGGCTTGCTGTGAGGCTATTTATCGTGAATTCATAGAAGTTAAGGTTGATGAGCCATTCGATTCTACCCCAGTGGCTGAATGGTCTACCAGCTCGCTTCTTAACCTGAAGGTCGAGGGTTTGATCCCTAGTGGGGTCATGAGTGTGTGCTGCTGAAGAGTGTCAAACTAGGACGAAAAGAGTTATCCTGTACTCTCTAGTTTTTAATGGTTCTCTAAGTGATGTCAATCTCATGACTATATTTGAAGATTTCATTGCTTTTGAAAATGTTTAGTCGCTTCAACATAACTTAGTTTTGTTTTTTCTTGTAGTTTGTAATGGATGGCTATTTTGGTACATTACTGTGTATTTGTTGCTTTCCTCCTCCCTTAAGCATTTTTGCATTCCATTAATTTGTCTAGTCCAACTGGTATTAAATTCATGTATTTTTGCGATTTAGTGTCGTATTTGAAGTCGAAACTCCTACTCGCAATTAATCGCAGATTTACATGCATATAACTTAAGCTCCATAATTTTACATTTCTTCTATGAATATTATTTAACACTGTTGTATAAACCCTAGTTGGTTGGTAGTTGTTGGCTTGCGTTATGTAATTGTGTGCATATCACAAACGATAGACACTGATTGTTGGATATCGGTAGAGTGTGACACATTAAGCTAACTATTAAACGTATTTACTCATCGAATAAAACCCCTCAGTTTTTCGAATTATTCACTCCTGTACTTCCCTTTCAACTTGTATTGCAATTTTTAAATTTCTGATTGTACCGAAATGCTTTGGGTCTTTGTTGTTATATTGGTTCGTAGTGCAAAACGCTGAATGAATGCTTTGAAGTTAACTTGATTTTATTCTATCGATGATGTGTAGTAGTGGAATCCGGGAATTGTGTTTCGTCCTGTTTTTGAACTCATCAGTAATTTAATTCATAACGCTTTTGGTTTGTTCAAAATGACGATGGATGCTGTGTTCAATTCTTTATCGGGACACTATCACTCACTGGGTGAGTGGGAGGGGAGCAGGTGCTCCTAACTGATTGGGCGAAAGTACGTGTTCTAGATTCCATTGGTAGCCTTCACCGTCAATAATTAAAAAGCATCAAATTCTTTTCTCTACTTGTCTGTGTCTAATTATTATTTCTGCGCATAAATTATACAAAAATCATGTTTTGACTTCGGTTTGCTCTTAGTCATCGTTGTTGTTGTTATTGTTGTTGTTGTTTTGGCTTTGTCCTTCACTCAACACTGTTTATAGAAAGAAAAAACAGTGTGATTGGCATACTTCTCGCCAATATCCTGTTTATTCTTAACACTGCTTATTCATCGTTCAGTAGTCCTTGTTTTTATATGTTAGGGTGAAAATAAAATTTCAATATGAGCTGTTTATTTCCTGTCCTAATGTCTAAGTTGGTCGTCAGCTAGAGTGTGAAATTATAGGAAGGATCATTTTTTGTATCGAGTCAAATTATGAATGCCAATATGGGGCGGATGGCAATTTCTAAGGCAGACAACTCTAATTATTTCACCCAACTGGTGGTGGTGGTGGTCTTAACTGTCTTAGTATGATTGACTAAAATTTTGTTGTGACATCTGTATTAATGTCTGATTGTATGTATGTGTGTGTGCGTGTGTGTGTATCTGTCTGTCTGTCTGTCTGCCTATCGATTAGTGATGACTAATGTTTATTGTTTAATTTTCTGATTAATTTCAAGTTTACACTATCAGAAATTCTGGTAAGTTCAAAGTCAAGTGAATATTTTCGCCTTATTTTAATGTTGGCATCATTTAGTGAATCATCATTCGTGTTGTTCTGTTCTGTAAATTAAAAAAAAATATTTTAGCATTTGTTAAGTAAAGAATTCTTATGAGTTAAACGTTTCAAAAGTTGTCATTGGAATCAATCTCTAGTCTGATAATATGTTAAGTCTAGTGGTTGATTAACTGACTGACTGGTTTCAACATATTCCATGTAGCACACAAAGGAAGACACGAGAGAGAGAGAGAAAGAGATTCAGAAATATGAGGGAGAAAGAATAGTTCTATCCATCCTATGAATTATTCTATATATGACATTAATTTGCTTTGCCACTTGACATTTAACTACGATTATAATCACAAACATTTTAGTTTTAATTGCACTTCATATTATTATTATTTCATGCATTCACACCTATGTTTCAATTCCCTCACCGGATATAACTTCTTAAAAACCATATATATACGATTGTACAGCTTGGTGATAAATTCGTTGAAAAGAGTCTCTTCGCTGAATCATTTGTTTTGATTTTCTATATGTTACAATGGGAATTTTCCATGATTTAGAAAGCAAATTATTATTAAAAAAAAAAAAAAAAAGAATAGTAACATGAAAAAACACTAGGATCGAATTCCACCTTCAGGTCAAGATATATGGCAATTGTTGGACGCGGAAAAGTATGTCTACGTTGCAGAAGCGTCAGTTCAGGGTCACACGTGGTCGATACTGGACATCGAATCGATACCAACACAGCTTTCAGGGTTATATACCGAATTCCGAAGTCGTTATCACGTACAGTTCGCTTACGTCTGCTATACATAGCTGAAGCTTTTGCAATAAGGTCGACTAAACCGGAACTTTGTATCCAAAAAGAACACGTCCAGACGCTGTTCCTACTGTGGCCAAACTTGGATTGATGATTCTTCTTCTCACCAATAGTGCTTCTTCCCTTTGACCCTCTTGGTTTTTTTCTTTCTTTGCTTATTATTACAGTTACTATTATTTGTCATAATTTATACCCTTCATGCAAACATTCGCTCAATACTATCGAATTTTCCATTTATATTATCCGGACTTATTATTAGTGATATTATCTCTTTTCTCAATATATGCCTCCACCTGTTTCATTTCACACATTCGTTATTTCATGATGAACCTCTCATTGCAGTCTTACTATCTCCTGTTTAATGCATACTGTTTTGTGCTAGCCACTCACCTGACACCTTTTATAACCTTAAACTGACTTGTCAATTTTCCCACCCCACATTCCGCGAATCTATTATGACTAATCACCAACACCATTGTCTCCCATTTTACAATATTTTGTAATCGAATTCAGACTAGCACGTTTGTCATACAAATACGACTATTTATTTTGTCACATCCTGTAACTAATCTGTTATTCTATGTTAAAAAAATGTATCCGCCTCATAACTGGCCTTTATTGTAACGACAACAAATATTATATTTTATAATTGTACGAACCTGAAGAGGGTAAATTATTGAAAAGAATATTCTTCGTTCAGATTGACTTTTAATTCATGATATGGGGGAATATTTCACACTAATAAAAGTAGAATAACATGCTGAAAATGGTGACGAGGTAGAAACTATGCAAGAAGTTATAAAACTTACATACTACTTATTGATTCAAATGAGTAGTTGCATACCACTCAGTTATAAACAAAATAAAGACATTTTATATATTATACAGAGATGAATATTCTGGAATTTAAGGTTAGGTAATTCACGCATAAGTGGAAACAGTCACATAGTCACGTGAAAAGTTATTCAACTGAAATGAATTAGGTCAAGGGGACACAAAGATATTAGGGAAACAGATGAATATGATAAAAATGAAATGAAATTTTGACAAGTTAAGGTGAAAGAGTCAATGTTTACCAAGTTAGTGTAGTAATAAGCTAGTAACAGTGTCATTTTGCACATATAATTCGGGTTTCATCTTTTCCTGCAAAAGTTGTTCTTATTGTACGCTGCTGAAATTTGTCAAGGGATCTAATTTTATGTCTATATTATCTAAATGATTCAACTAGTCGGTTTCTTAAATTCTTTTTTCCACTAATCTTGATTGACAAATAAGGATTACTTAAAATCTAGTAGTAGGTGTGAGGTTTGACCTCCGACCGAAGTACTCCTAAACCTTTTCTAACACGTAGAAAGTTCGGTAGAGAAGGTAGGTTGAGCGTAATTCTAGCAACCTCAACCCTAGAAAACAACACCACGGCTAGTGAAGCTTCAACGTTCCACTCGAAACGTAAAAGAAATAGACAGTCTAGTTGGCTTGTTTGTTTATATTGGTGTGAGTGTGTGTATGTGTTTAATTGAAATTTTGATTTTCCCGTCGATTGATTGGACTGAAGTGCTCGGTCTCAGGTTGACATGTCGGCTTCTTGTGCAGATGCTTCGACGATGTCTGGGCATGTAATTAGTATTTAATTGGTGGATGATGACTAGCAGTGGAATCCAGGATGCTGACATTTCAACCTGAGACCGAGCACTTCGGTCCAATCAATCGACGGGAAAATCTAAAATTCAATTAAATAATTCATATGACCCGTTGCACAAGAGGTGGCTCTCGTGGCCCAAGTGGTCTAGTGGATGAGGCTTTGGCGTTTGTAACTATGGTCACTGGGTTCGAGCCTCGGCGGGAATATCATCATCACTCACTGAGAAATGCAGGTACATCCAGTAGCTGACGAGTCCCAACTAGGACGAAGTGCGCCTCCTGGATTCCATCAATTAAATGTGTGTATGTGTGTTTGAAATAAAGGTCTGTATTTAAAATGGTACTAATCATTTCAAATGTCATACAGAGAATTTCTATACTTTTCACATTTTTATACTTCTTTCCTGTTCTCTCTTTATGTCTCTGTTCCATTTCATATTTTAGCTGAAATCACTTTACCTAAATTAGAAGGTAAATGGGATTTACATTATTCCTTTGCATTCATACTTTTTCATACGCCTACATGTATATATGTGGGTACAGATATATTTATGTGAAATAGTCATCTTACACTTTCGCATTTCCCAATCGTATTTATTCATATGTATGTGTGTTTGTAAAGGCATCACTGTTTGCACATTTTCCGTCATCATCATACTGCTTTCCATATAACTACTCATTTGCACGCATGCATTGATTATGCGCTATCCTTCATTGTAATTATTATTATTAAAGCCTGGTGCTCAAATGAATCAGCGATTAACTAACATATTAATATAGACCGAATTTACCGACCAATAAAAAGTAAATCACATGACAAGAAAGTTCAAATTTCAAGTCAATAAAAAATAATCAATGGAGATGTATATAAATAACCAATCACGACGAAGGAGGTTGTCAAGGGATACAATTATATCATTAATGATGAATTCAAACAAACTTACGCTGAATATGTTGTCTAGAAAGACAACAAAAGCTCCGCAATTTGAATCAACCAGTCAGTCAGCTCAGAGAACACAATTAAATCAAAATGCATTTCATTGTATCATCGCACAAAAAACAAGACGATCTGCAACTGCAACGATCTGATAAAAGTCTTATAAGAATGACCAAAAGTTACGCTATTGTAGTGCTACAGTTATCATACTTCTTTCATATCGCATCAGTTGCATTTATTCCCCTTGTTTGCATCACAATTTTTTTATAATCATATTATCTATTTTACATCATCTACATGGCGTCATTATTCCTGTCGATAGTTTCATTGTATTTTTGTGCATTTGTGTATCATAATTCATTTTAAAAGCCTGCATCTGTACACCCACATTATCTCTAAGCTGTGCACCACAGATGGTTACAATTTTGTACCATCAGATTGAACAGGTGGTTATCAGTACATATATGTATGTGAATTTTTTGCTTTGACTAACGAAAAATTTGAAGATTAGTGAGAGTGAAATTTTTATTAGGTAGGTATGCAGTAATATTAGTTAAAACACAGGTGTTAATACAGAACGAAACGTGTGTGTGTGTGTGTGTGCAATGACCTTCGAAGATCAAATGACCGACCGGAAAGAATAAGAAACGAGAAACTCTATGAACGAACCAACCAACAAATATCCCGAAGAAAATGGAGATGGATCGGACACATGCTGAGGAGACCGTCGAATGACACCGTGCGCCAAGCAGAATTTAGACTGGGAAACGACGAGTTGGGCATGCGTCAGAGGGTGACGTCGAGGAGATCGTGTGAGGAGGGGATGAGAGCTTATAAACCATCATGGAGCCAGTTAACGAAGACTGCAGAGAACAGAATAATCAGGAGATGTTCCGTTAAAGCCCTATGTCCCAATCGGAACCCATGGGGAATAATAATAATTAGTGACTGGTTTATGGTCTCTGTTTTGTGTTGTGAAGAGCACGTTATGAAATGAGTAACGAAACTCTTTGTTTGGATGGGGGATTTCATCATGAGCTGACATCAGTTAAAGAACCACTGGAGAACCTGGGAATACTGGACGGCTGTTTCGTCCCAATTTGGAACTCTTCATCAGTACACACCCACCGGGGTTCGAACCCAGGACCCTCTGGTTACAAGGCGAGCTGGTAGACCATTAAGCCACTGGGACCCGATCCAATGGCCCATGAATTCTAACTTCTGCCAATTCATGACATAGCGCGACCATTTCGCAATGACAATGAAATCCTCCATCCAATCAAACTAAATCCCCACAAAACCAATACTTGAAAATTCTTTGTATTGGATAAGTTGTTTTCCGCCTTTGAGTGTCGTGTAGAGTGGTGTTAAAGCCACAATGCGTAAAATTTCTGGTTTCTATGGGAGGGGGAAGTTATTTTATGCCAATTAGTCCTTGAAGAAGAAAACGTTTTCATTTCTCCGTCTTCATTATTTCTTCATTGGTTATTGTTTTATCTACCAAGTAGGCTAAATATTTAAATTACAACTGTGGATTTAAATTTTCTTTCTGTCTTCTCTGATGATGTAATTTGTGCTCATACAACCGGTGTCTAAGTTATCGCTTAGTACGCAGACATTCATGTGGTCTCTGAATTGTTCTGTATATTCTCCATTGTGAGAACAGTACATCAGAAGGCTTGAATTTGGTTAAGAATATTGATCCTACACAACATAATGCATACGCAGATTTTACTTCAATATGATAAATATTTCGAAAGAGGGCGAAATATATCAATCTAACTATCCTTTTGCATGTAGCATGCCTTATTATATCATTTTCCTTTATGGGAGCTGGGTGGGAAGCATGATATATGAATAGTTTTATCCATCACTTATCTTTGATGGAGGCATCTTTGCTCTGATTATATAGGCTAGAGTGAATTTGTAGCTGTCTATTTCTATAGCTTTTCTTTCTATCCTATTTAAGATATGCTATCTGATTGAGTGTGTGTTGTTGTCGTCAAATTTAGCCTACGTTTTATTTCAAAATATCAGAGTACTGTTCGTCAGAGGTTTTATTACCTGCCTTTTGTCTTATACAGTTCATTAAAAATGGCGGTTTTATGAACTAGAATTAATTATAGATAGAGTCATCAAAATCAAGGTCGTAGTAGAAAGTTGTTTCGTCCCAAATAAGTTTATCTTGACCACCACTACTCAACTGTTGTCATATCTTCAAATTCAACTTCTTGACGTGTAACATTCTTATCAGAGAAGAGGTCTTCAAGTTAGTTATAAGATCAGATTTTATTTCATTTCTTGGGTTTTTCTCTTTCTTCAGGTCTTCTTCCTCTTTACTAGCTGACTTTGATTAGTTTCAAGTTTGAATACAGATTGATATCAGTTGGTTCGATCCCTGGCGGTGAATGCGTACTGATGATGAGTCCTAAACTAGGACGAAACAGTAGTCCAGCACTCCCTGTTGGTTGTCAATGGTTCTCTAAGTGATACCGATTTGTAGTCAAACTTGAAACAAATTGAATCCCTACAAATTAACTCTCGAAAATAACTTTGACCTAGTTAAGACACTTTTTTGCTTCAGAATGTTGAAATGGCCGCCTACAAATGGATTTCGTTATGTACTTTTTTTTACCTTAAGTGCTCTTCACCATTCTATCCTAGTGAATCAAAAATAGTTAAAAGTGAAGTGTATATGTTTTTTTCTGTGAAGCATGTTCATTTTGCTTCCTACAATTTTAACATGTTTTTGTGCTAACATCCTGTCCCCATAGTATGCATGCAGTAAAATTATTCCTTGATGTTGTGTTGTCTTGTAGATAATTGTGTTCATATGTATGCCTATGTGTGTATATTCATTGTTTTGAAGGATTTAGTATGCATATAAACGTGTATTATTCATATTACATCTTTCTACACAGCAATAACCGATTCGGTCGGTGCATGCTTTTTACTAATAGGTTTCCCGTGTAATTTTAAACATTCTGTCAACTACTTAAATATCATATTCAGTAGTATGATAAATACGAATAAATTAGTTGGCGCATGTATAATTACATCATGTAAATAAAATATAAAGTCAATTATTTCACAATCAAATCATAACCAGAATAGTAATTTCAAAAAAGCATAATGTCGGAGTGGGGGTAGCCTGAGACTTTTCATGCAAGTCACGTTAGTTGTAACTTGAATATCATCCTACCCTCTGAAGTTTTACTTAGGCAGTATGAAGTATGAAACTAACTATATTATTCGATGTATTCGTGAAAAGTCTATCTATGTGGTAGGTCGTTATTTGCATTCTCGATGAGTAATCCAGTTTATTTTTAGTCTATATGACTACTTTCCAAAACTCTAAATATCATTTTTACTTGTATATGTGAACAAACAGGCGATAAAGATGCCTTTTTGGGGTTCACTGTTACTACAACTAGTGATAATAATAATAATGATCAAATTTGGATGCTTTAAACCAATTAGCTAAAGAATAAACTAACAGATGGCACAATATGGAATTCCTGTTTATTGGATATGCGTCGGTGGCACAGCGGTTGGATACTCGCCAACCACGCCTCATGTGGTTCGGGGTTCGATTCCAGGCCGACGCACTCCCAAACCTCGCTAAACCAGTAATAAGACTGGTAAAGAGGGAAGGTTGGGCATGAGGCTTGCAATTTCATCCCATAAAAATAAAATAAACATCACTGCTACCGAAACTTCAAGCCTCTAGCTTGAATCTCTATGTTCCACTGGGAACGTGAAGGAATAAAAAAACCCTCTGTATTATATATAAGCGCGATTATCTAGTTTGTATAATAAGAAGGAGGGTAGGTGTAATACTCAGTCAATTACTGAAATTTGAGCTTTCTGTGCTTTTCATTAATTAGTAAGTTAAATTTAATATTTCTCTCCGTCATAGATATTTATCTTTTATTTCACACTGAGGGTTCTCATTAATACATGCTGCCTTTTAAACAGATTAAGCAACCGACAGTATACTTTGTGAAAAGTGTAATGATTCATGCTGTTTACTGAAAAGTGAGAAGTATGGTTACAAATTTCAAAGTAGGCGTAAGAGAAATCAAAGACAGTATATAAATAATGCGTAAGTATAAAATCAAATGATGCAGAGTTGATCATATAGGCTGAACTGTGGTCAATTTCATGGTCATTTTATAACTGACTGACTGGTTTCAACATAGGACTTTGCATAAAAGTGAAGCAGAAATATGAGAGAGAAAGAACGGTAACATCGAAAAACAATAAGGTTTTTTTGAATAAGGAAAGACTGATGAATGCATCTGCGCCACTGAGAATGATTTTAAATCATATCATCAACAGTCTCCAGTCATTGGTTCTTACCATCCCGAGGGGATTCCAACCCGGAGGCCTACACCTCCCTAACTGTCTGGATTAAACTAACTGTCAAAAATTTCATGAACTGACTCCAACTTTTGATTTGACCACCATTAGCTTTTTCTTTTTCAACCTGATCGGTCCTATGTCAGCTACCATTGGCCATCGAGGAAGGTGGCGGCTAGGCAGGCATGCATCATACATGTCCTAGCTATCTGAGTCCATGTACTTTAACAACCTCAACGGTAGATTTTCCCTCCTTACCTAATACTCGACGTCTAATGTTAACATTACCCATCCTACTATACCAACTAACATGGAGACACCTATGATGAAAGATAGCTAACCTTTTCGTATCTGCCACTTCCCATGGCCATTTGTCACAGCCATAAAAGAGGGCAGAACAAAATGTTGTAATGACTCAGTAGTCACCAACTCCTTATTGGAATGAAACACAAAAGTAAACCATAAAAGTTCTGTTTTCATATGCTGAAAATTTCTATGGGGTAAAAAGTAGGATCACTGATATATTCTTTGAAGTAAGTGAAAACCCAAAGCATATGAAACCATTTCAAAACGTAATACTCAAATTGAAGAAACTAAACCTTACCTAGAAAATAAATGCTGACATCTCTGAACACCACATCTAATAATCTAACCTTCCTTTGATCAAAAGTCTCCCTCAATTGCTTACTTTTTTTTAATATTTTTAAGGAAACACGTTTCAATACACCCTTTACTTCAGTGTGTGGGGAAGCTTTATGCATGCATTGTACTGAAATTAGAATAATTCATCTCAAGATACAGAAATGTTAAGAAAAAATTTGAATTTAGCGTGCATAACAGGCATTATTTTGCCCCAATTACTTTATCTCAGTGTGTTCATACGTTAATGTGTTTACAAGAGATAAATAGGGTAATTAAAAAGGCTCCTAAATTGTGTCCTACATTTTTGACAAGTAATTTCCCTACATGGAATTTTTATATCTTTATTTGTTATACTGTAGTTTAATCTATCTTTTCTCTATATTTGTTACGCATCAAACTCATTGGCAAAAATAATAGTTGTGTACATCCACTCAAATTATTATTGTTTCCTTTAGTTCCTAGAGGAACATAGGGCTTCAGCCGTACGTCTCCATTGCGTTTGGTTCTCCGCCAACGTTTTCACCTGGCTCCACGTCTGCCCACATGTTCTCCTCTTCACATGACCTCCTCCACTCCATGTCGCACTGACGACCAATTCGCCGCTTCCCATTCGGGTTCCACTCGAGAGAACCTGGCGTGTGATGTCACTTGATGGTTTCCTCAGAGTATGGCCAATCCACCTCCATTTCTTCCTGCATATTTGTTGCACAATCGGTTCCTGGTTAGTTGGTTCGCTCCCAGAGATCCCTCCCTATTGCTGATCTTTTCTGGCCGGCCATCTGATCTTGAGTAGTATTGAGCGAAGACAGCTGTTGATGAAGGTTTGTAGTTTGTTTGAAGTGCCCTTCATGACGAGGCGCCAAGTCTCTGATCCATAAAGTAGCACTGACTTCACATTGGAGTTGAAAATCCGGATCTTATTTTCATTTTCATGCTGAGTCCTGTTGACCTCCACACAAACTTGACTCAGACACACAGACTCAAATTATAAAGCCTTATAATTCGAAGTTACGTCCAAGACTGCCTAACAATTGCTTCCAGTCATTTGACATTAGTTCAAAAAAAGTGTACCTTGATGTTGGATCGATAACGCATCACTGATTGAATGATAGAATTCAATCAATACCGCTAAGGATTAGACATATTTTTATTATTATTGTTCTCTGCAGTCTTGTTTTTTAGCTGGCTCTACACGATAGCCTATAAACTTTCATCTCTTCTTTATACGATCTCCTCTATATCACCATTGGTCTACGCCTAACTTGTTGTTTCCCATTCGGGTTCCACTCGAGTGATGGCCTGTAGTGTGATATCATTCAACTATCTATTGATTGTATGCCAAATCCATCTCCAGATCCTTCCGCATATTTTTTGGGCGGTAGGTTCTCGGTTGGTTCGTTTGTAGAGTTGCCCGTCGCTTATCCGTTCTGACAGGGTATATGATCGTCATTATCGATCCAGCAAAGACGGCTGTTGATGAAAGTCTGCAGCAGCCTGTTGGAAATGCTTTCGATGACATGACAAGTCTGTGAACTCTATAAAAACAATAACTTGACAGTGTTGAAAATATCGAATCCTGTTTTTTTTATTTTTAATGCTGAGTTCAGAAGATTTCCACACTGATTACAAATTAATGAGGGTCTGTCTTGCCTTTCTGATCCTGGCTATAACGTCTTCATCCGTGTTTTCCGGTAGTTGAAACGATGCTGCCTGGATGAATGAAGGAAATGACATCTTTCAAATTTCTCCCGTTGACAGTGATCCATACTTGTTGTTGGTGATGATCAGATATTAGATGGTTGGAGGCAATCGACAGGAAGCCCTGTCTAGACCTAGGTTTCGTGCTTGTTGGCACTCATCAGCAAGGCGTATCTGCAATCTCCAGGGGAACTCACGTCCCTTCTGAGATTCGAATCCAAGTCACCCAGTGCTGTTGCAGTCAGAGACGTTACCACTGAGCTATTCAGGCTCGTGATTAACCTCCTCCTGTAGGACTGTATTGGATATTTTTGATTGGACACTGGTCAGTAACTAGTGTAATGTGTGTGTGTCTAGTCCTATCTTCGGAGGAGACTGAATTCTATCAGTCAGTCAAGTTTGCAATGTGGCCACCAGGTCATCTAGAGTCCATATGTTAGTTCACTGTATGCGCTTGTCTTCTCACTAAGGAGATTAGGCATATGACACAGGTCACTATATATATTCTCTGTTTTTATTCACTATAAAAATCGATTTCATTCATGCATGATACACTTTTAATCTGTAGTCATATATATAATGTCACTTTGGTTTTCATCAAAAGCTTGCTATTGTTGTCTCATCTTGTAAGTAATAACTTGTTTCCAGATGAAACTTATCTATAATCTTGCATTCATGTTCACCTGTATGCATGAGAGTTCAGATTATTATTATTATCACTATCATTATTACTAGCTTCGAATGTTTTAAAAGCATTGTTTCTAACCACTTTTTTATAACTCTAAATCTTTTACTCTCTTCTGAAGCGTTCATTACAACTAATATTTAATCTTAGTTTTCATGTATGAGAAGATCGATGGAGTTGTAGTTACTCCCGTGACCACCCCCCACTTTTTATGCTTTGTATCTAATGCAGTGGTGCTTAGTACCTTCTGAAATGGTCAAACTCGTCATTTGAGGTACCGTTTTATCAAGTGTACTTTCCCTTCAGTCATCGATACCGTTAGCTTAAGCATTTGATATGTTGTTTATATGACATAAGGTAATGTTATCAGCTGGAATACTTTTTCCTTCTTTAATTATCTGAATAAAAGTCTAAAATCATGTTGTAAGCTATAGAAACTAATCTCCAACCATTCGAGTATTTTTACAGGTTTAAAGAATGTCAGCTATTTTCACTATGTGCTCTGTGAATGATGGGTTTCTATTTTCAGCCTAACAACAAAATTTACATCTCTATAATTGATAATTGCTTTGTTTGCTTGTTTGTTTTTGTCTTGCTTGAAAGCTTTTTAATGATCCATATATATATATCTCAAATTTTTCTAGGTGGAGTAGGTCCATTAGGTGGACCAGGTTTTGTACCTGGTACAAATGACATTGGACAAATTGACTCAGCGCTTCAATCCCCGGTATCACCATCACGTCCTTCATTCAGTGAGCATTGTCAATTGATTTCTGCTGCAAATTGTACAACTACTACCGGCAACAGTAACAATATTTCTTCTGGATCACCGTCGTCTTGTGTGCGTACAATATGTATCAGTCCAGATGGTCGTCATTTGGCGGCTGGTGATCGTGATGGTAGTTTAAGGTAGGCGATCTGTTTGTTAACAGATTGTTTTTTTTTTGTTGTTGTCATTGTTGTTTCAAGTCTTACCTAACTAGGAATGAAAGTGTTAGTTTTAATTATGTACAACTAAACCTTCTTCTTGGCTTTCTGATTGAAAATGTGCGTCGGTGGCACAGTGGTTAGGACTCTCGTCGACCATGCACATGGTCCGGGGTTTGATTCTCTGCCGAAGCACATCTGATATCAATGGTCGGCCTGTAAAATTTGGGCTACCGATATCCATGGTGAAAATTCCATACTTGTACTGAAAATACGGTGTGGCATCAAGCTGTAATCAAAAATTAAAATTAAAAAAAATTAAAAGTATAGTAGTCATTGTTTGTAATGACTTGTATTTATGATGTGCTACGCACTATTGTCTGACTGACATGTGACTGGTTGAATACTAATCACACTGACCATTGGAACTTGCTAGTCAAATCGATGGCCAGCTTGCTGGCACTGGTTTGATTCATCTGAAAGTTGCGAATCATTTTAAACTATTCGAATTCCGGTTATCTATTTAGGCGAACTGGTAATATAATAAATCCAATTTGCAATTTGTGATGTACACACAGTTTGAGGTGAAATGTCACCACATATAACAATATATGATCTACTTAATAACATGAGTGGTAATCATGAAAGCTAATTGGATTCTAATCGTCATTAAATGTAACCTGTTACTTGTGACAGCTGATCATTGCTCCCTATTTTAATGTGATAAAAATATTTTCAAAAGAATGGACATGGAACAAAGAGTACTCTTTTCGATAGCTTCATCATCAGGCTCTACAGTTATATATACATTATAATGAATGAATAAATTAGTCTTCAGAACGACATTAATGTTGTTTGAGTAACATCGAATCAATAATATTGCTAGATTACAGCTGAACAGCATCAACATAAAATAAGCTGAATGTCAGAAGAATTAGGAAAGATAATATTACAAATTCATGAGTTTATAGTCTCTACTGAGGGCCGGCCAGGGAAGTAGTAGGGGCTAGACTTGTTTCTTTTGGACACAAAGCACTGGTTGTTTGAAGGCGAATTGCAATAGCCTCTACTGTTTGGAGCATGCGGTGGTTCGATGATGATTTTGGCAATTTATTAGGCACCCAGTAGATGATAGAGAAGGATTCTTTAATGCTGGCTTTGTGACCGGTTTGCACCAGATGGTCCAATATCGAACTGTTAATGGTTTTAACTACACCTTTACTTAGCCATAGTGGAATATGTTCTCGAGCATGAGAAATCAAGTTCCTAGAGCAACGGCCAATATAACTCGCTTCACCACAAGCGCAGTTGAATTGATAGATACAATTTGAAGTGGCTAGTCTAGGTACTTCATCTTACAGTCGAGGTAGCACCATCGGTCGTGTAGAGAATCAGACGTGTATTTGAACTGATTTTCTTAATTTCTTCGTAATTATCTCGCTTGGTATATCGCCCTTGAATCGTAGTCGTAAATAAAGTGGCTTCTTGTTTACAGACAGTGAGTAGTCCTTTTCCGCTTTCTCTGTCTTGTGTTTCTTGATAAATTTGTCAGGATCAAAGTATCATATACAATGCTTAATTCATCTTTAATTACTTCTTCTGAGCATATAGCTCTAACTCTGTGGCTGAGGGTCTTCACTAAATTTCTTTTGTACTTAATAGAAACGAAGCTGTGAAAATGTGTATATTGTCCTGTCCAAGTGCTTATATTTGGCGTAATAAATGTGTTTTTCTGGAGATATTATCGGTCATCATTAGATGTATGAGGAATAGTCAAGACCTGGACCCCTGATGTCTTTTGGATTGAACCACTTTTGGGAGTGGGTTTTTTTCATTGAAGACTATGTCTAAAACATTTTGGTGAATGCCATTAACTTCACATACATACCACAAACCAAACAGATTTCATATCAATCTCAAGGAAGCGGAGACACACAGCCTACTGGATACTAAGTCGAGAAGGGGAGAAGATGTGGGCTCAGACCGTCATCTACCTAGTTCAATGAACTTTCAAGGTGAAGCTGAAATCCATGAAAACAAATGGTAACAGACCACAATTCAAGTTCAAAATTCAGAAACTGAAGGATAAAACTACAAGGGATACCTTCGCTACAGATCAAATCAGAGCAAAGTTGGAGACACTGTGTGTCATCACTGAGGAAACTGGTGTGGAAGAACATTGGAACTTTCAGAAAGTGATATTTAAGGAAACGCGTACAACTGTTCTAGGAAGGAGGAAGAGACAAGACAATGAATGGCTGTCAACGGATACCTGGAAGCTAATAGAAGAGAGGAGAGGAGGATGGTGAGAGAGAACATGACTACTCAATGCAAAGATGGACAACAGAAGAAGGAGAAGCTGAGTTCAATGTACACTGCACTGAATAAAGAAGTGAAGAAGAATAATTAACTTGACAACATTGTCTCCCGAACTGATGAAAGAGGAGATGAGTAATTCATCTCCTTTTTAATAGATCACCATACATTAGTTGTTAAAACTTGAAGGTGTTCTACTATGATTCCCATTTCGCTTGGTTTTTTTGGCCATCCATATGTAGTGACCCCATATTTGTTGACTCTAACTCACTGGCTTAATTTCACCGTAGAAATTTGTACACTCGATGTGGCTCACAAAGGTAGACAAAGTAAAGAAAAAGATTCAGCGGAGCTAAGATGAACCGAAATGTGTGGCAGAGACAACAGTAACCTGAAAAAAAAACATGATGGTTTGGTGGATATGGGAAAACACCCCAAGAGTGATGAGTGCATCTGAACCATTGAAAACGATTTTGAGCCATATCACCAATTGTTTGTCTCCAACCATTGGCTCTTAGCATCCCGAAGACTCCAACTAGGAAACCTACACTTCTCTAAATGGCTCAAATCAACTGTCAAAGACTACATGGATTGATGACAGGTTCTGGTTTGACTACTCCTAACTCTTTTCTGACAACTTTATGTTAACTAATATTACTCGTTGAGGAGGGCAATGGCTTGGAATGTGCAACACGTGTTCCAGCCATCTCAATCCATGTAGCTTCATGACCTCATCGATTGGTCTCCCCTCTCTAACTAACGCCCTACCCCCGGCTGACGCACACCTGATATCAATGGTCTGCCTACTACATTTGGGCTACCGATATCACATGCTGAAAATTCCATACTTATATCCAAAATACTGTGTGGAATCAAGCTATAATAAAATAAAGAAAAATAATGAACATAGATAAAACAGGTGAACATAGATAAAACAGAGGTAATGAAAATTCCTGGGCAACACCACCAACAGCAACAACAACAACTGACAACAATCAGCATAAGTGGGAGGAACCTGAAAGAAACAACCTCCTTTACCTACCTGGGAAGCATCGTTTCAACTACAGGCGGAACTGACGAGGATATCAAAGCAAGAATCGGAAAAGCAAGACAAGCTTTCACAACTCTCAAGTCTACGTGGAGGTCAACAACACTCAGCATCAAAAATAAGATCCGGATTTTCAACTCCAATGTGAAGTCAGTGCTACTATACGGATCAGAGACCTGCACTGCGCGTCATAAAGAGCATCTCAAACAAACTACAGACCTTCATTAACAGTTGCCTTCGCTCAATACTCAAGATAAGATGGCCAGAAAAAATCAACAACAGAGTTGGATCTTTGGGAACGAACCAACCAGGAACCGATTGTGAAACAAATAGGCAGGAAGAAATGGAGATGGATTGGCTACACTCTGAGGAAACCATCAAGTGACATCACTAGACAAGCCATTGGTCGAGTGGAACCCGAAAGGGAAGCGGCGAATTGGTCGTCAGTGCAAGGGTCACTTGGAGGAGGTAATGTGAAGAGGAGATGAAAACGTGTGGGTAGACATGGAGCTAGGTGAAAACCCTAGCAGAGAACCGAACGCAATGGAGACGCACGGCTGAAGCCCTATGTTCTTGTAGGAATTAAAGGCTACAATAATAATAATAAATAGTGAATAAAGAATTATTCACCGTATTATACCGCTAAAGATATGAGACAGAATGCAAGCGTCTGTGGTTATAGACAACTAACCTTTTCATAAATCCTACTTTCAATGGCCATGTCTCACAACCATGAAGGAGAACGGTGTGAACTACTTCGCAGTACACACGTCCTGTGATCGGTAGCCAGCTGGATATCACGTCTACACCAGAGAAGATGTAGGCTAGAAAATACTGCAGTAGCCTTTTGTATTCACGCTGAGATTTATGCACCAATCAGTCCGTTGGGACTGAAGCAACTTCCCGAATAAGTGAAGTGTTCAATAGGCTCTACCACTTCACTCCCAATCTTTAAGCTGGGAGTCATTGCAGTCAAATCCTGTATCATCATCTTACATTTAACACGAGAGAGTCGTACGCCAAACATTCGGAGACTGATGCTCTAGGTGTTCAGAAGACTTTATATTGTATCAGCGTCTTCACCTAGGAGGACAATATCATCCGTATACTCCAAGTTAACAATATTGTTCCCTGACAATAAGTAAATCCCTAAGTTGCTAAATTCCGTTAGCATGAGTTCCATGAGTTATTGAGTGGTACAATGATCAGTACATTAGTAGCATGAAGATAGTTTACAGAGGCTAATTTTACTTAACTAATCTTCATCTCCAGTAGTGCTAATACTAGTGGGATTTGAAGCTGATTAACAGAAGATCTTTATTTGTCGGTCAGTTCATGGTTTATTCTGAAGCATATATGGTTCTGTAAACATGTTGATTCTCCAGTAATAGTCAATATAATCTCGAAATAACCGAAGATATGCAAAGATTAGTCGACATGCGATTATCCTTTTGATTTCATCACTGATCTCATATTCACTTATAGCTGATCGTTGAGTTTTTTGATCTTTGGTTATTTTGACTACTGAAACAGATAATAAGTAACACAAAGCTGAATATGGATTATTTCACTAAAATTTATTAGTTGGTGAGATACAACAGAATTGTGAGGAGGATATGTCTGTCCGCGGACGCGGTAATCTTGTAGTTCTTCGGAAATAAACATTATTCAGAATATTTATTTTCTCAGTTTAAGAGTGACTTACAGTTCTCATCAAATATTTATAAATTATAACTGACTTCATTTAATCCCTGTCATCTATAGGGTCCACATAAGGCGTCTAACTTTGTTTTTATGACCCGCGTTATCCACAACCGAACTAAAAACCTCATTATACAAGGCAAATAATAATAATTCACTATGAAGAAGGCTAGTTAGGATAATTGAAACTGCTTTCGACAGTCATCTACATCAGGCGTATTGTATTGTAAGGTGGAATAACAGACTGTTACGCAATACATCCATTCAGTGTTAAGTCTCCCTACTATCACTTCAACGCTCTCAAAGTTGCCAATGCATTCAGTTGTTTTTCGTCCTCACTTTTAAAGATTAAACCAGTCCTTCATCGTGTCATCTTACATCTACAGGTTCAAAAATACAGGTTACATAAATATCCTTCTGCAAAAGACGTTGAGATTAAACTTTGTCTGTGTTTCAGTGCTTCCTCATGTTTCTATCGTCATAGAAGAACTCCTTTAAGAAGAGACTGGAGTCTTTGTGTCGACTGAGACCGACTTCTTTGGGTCTGAGTTCAGGAAATCGATCTTCGCGTCCTACTCTTACAGCTAGCCAGAACTTACTTGACTTACGCGCAGTACAAAAAAAGTCCCGACGGTAATAAAAAGACAGTTATTTGCAATAAAATCTATGTTACTATTCAACTACCATAATATCCTTCAACAGGGCCATTAGGCAGCTATACAGATACAATAGTTTCTCCAGTACAAAACAAGTACTACACAACAGAATTATTTAACCACAATCAGCCAATATGAAGTATCTGAGAGTCAAGAAGAATATCTCCAACAGTATAGTGGGATCAAACTCTGTCCACAAGAATCACACACCAAACAATTCTCGCACGCACTCCAAGGTCAGAATGACCATGACTCACTCAAACAAAACAACATTAAAATTATCGATTAAACAGAGACATAGAAAAATAATAAGAATCAAGTCAACGTATGATATGCAAATGTCAGAACAATGATATATACAGTCTAGGAGAGAAAAAATAACGGATAATAATTACAAAGTTAGTTGAAACATCCATAAGCCATTGAGTCCAGGTCCTAGTGATTAAATGGTCTACGAGCTCACCTTGTAACCGGAAGATCCTGGATTTCGAAACCAGATGGGCTCGCTGCGTACTGCCATGAGCCCGAAATCGGGACGAAACAGCTGTCCAGTATTCCCAGCTGCTTTTCCACTGGTTCTCTAACCGTTGATATAAGAATAAAACTTGTGCACTGTGGTAGAGTGTAATTCCATTATGGGTAAATTTTGTTTTGATAAAGTCTCACAGTGTTATACAGTAATGTTTACTGATAACATTTCGAGCACAATTTATTGCTGCTCATAATCATATCAAGGTAATCACACGACCTCCTAAATTCATTTATATAGTTCCGTTCTTTTTCACTTGATTTGATTGGTAGTAGTATTTTCCATATTTCGGGTCTGAGTGATGAATCATTCCTATTGCATGTGTTAGGTTTAGACTCGATGAACAAGGATTCAGTAATCGTATAAAGAGGGGACATCTGAGCCCCTACGTAGGATTCTAAATAAAGCAGGAATTAGGGTGGCATTTAAACCTACAAACTCACTCAGGGACAAGCTCTGTAGGTTGAAGTGTAACAACAGAAGACAAGGGCCAGCCAATAAATCGTTTATTAAGGAAAATCAACACATATTTATAGATTTTAATGTACATTATTGTAGATTATTGTTATTAGACAATACAGTCTTTTGATTGGTTGTTTCTCACAGAAAGTTAAGCTTGCATCTCTTTGTGGCTGTGTCATATCATCCATATGCTAACTGTATCCGCCTAGGCAAAGCCTTTGTTCTGATTTTCTCACCACCAATATTGGGGACATAAACATTGACGTCAATTACTGTCTACTAACTTTGGCTAGCAGCCATCTCTCACCACAAAAGGACCCAGTTGACCCAATTAGACAAAATAATATAATTTACAAAATACCCTGCAATGACTGTGAGTTAAGTCAACTACATAGGTTAAACTAGTAGATCGGGGGTAATCAGATTATCGGAAGATAAGAATTTAACTAAGGTAAGAATGGTTGACCCCAAGAAGATAGTAAGTAATTTACAAAAAATGTTTGCGATTCCGCTGCATACATTAACACACAACCACACAATAGGGAGGGAGAGGGTTAAAATTCTAAAAAGTAATCTATGTAGGTGGAGAGAGAGGTTGATTACTGAATTCTTGTTCATCGTGTCTACATTCAACAAGTGCAATAGGAATAATTCATCACTCATACCGGAAATATGGAAAATATTACTACCAATCAAATCAAGTGAAAAACAATGGAAATATATAAATGAATTTAGGAAGTCGTGTGATTAACTTGATATGATTATGAGCAGCAATAAATTGTGCTCGAAACGTCATCAGTAAACATCACTGTATAACACTGTGAGACTTTATCAAAACAAAATTTACTCATAATGGGTTCTCTAACCGATAACAGTTCTATATGTCTTTCAGTAATCACCCTCATTTATTCCTCTGTAATAGGTTTAGGGTGTAACTGTTTCGAGTCCATTAGTAGTGAATACTCCTCACCTAATTCATACAAGTTTTATATGATGATGATTTCAACTCATTTATTTTCTACTGGTATGAATATAATATTTATTAATGCTAATTGGTTGTTAGTATCATTTTTTTTTCATTATGTATTCATATACACACACCTAAGTATTTAACTATAATTCAGTAATTATATATATGTATATATATGACCTATTTTATATATTTCTTCTTTTGTTTAGAGTTTATTCTTTAGAGACATTGGAATTATTTTGTCAAATACCTGCTCATGATAATGAGATTTTATCACTGAACTTTTTTCGATCACATTCAGGTGAGTTATTATGAAACGTACTCGATATTGTTTTTCTCTTAATAGTCAGTTTATTCTCTTATTATCATTAATTGGTTTATTGAGATTATTATACATTTGATATTGGATATATTCGATGATTGTTCGTAATGAAATTGTTTTTCCTAAGTGTACCTTGTGTGTAGTTAACATAAACTCCATTATGGATAAGATTTTATTTTGATAAACCACACAGTGTTGTACAATAATATTAACTAATGACATTTCGAGCACAAACTATTGCTCATAATCATATGATTATGAGAGGTCCCCGGTTCATACCCGGGTTCTCCCTTCACTTTGTGCGTCGGTGGCACAGTGGTTAGGACGCTCACCGACCATGCACATGGTCTGGGGTTCGATCACCTGCCGACGCACACCTGATATCAATGGTTGGCCTGCAAAATTTGGGCTACCGATATCACATGCTGAAACTTCCATACCTGTACCAAAAGTACCGTGTGGTTTCAAGCTATAATTAAAAAAAATAGTTTGTGCTCGAAACGTGGTCATCAGTTAATATTACTGTACAACACTGTGTGATTTATCAATATAAAATCTTATCCATAATGGAGTTATGCTCTACCACAGTGCTCAAGTTTTATACTTATATCTGTTAAGATAAACTGTTGGGTAAATAATTAAAACTTTGTGCCACCCTATGAGATGGCGTGGTTTTCAACGGGTTATGTGAATCTCAAAGTGTAAAACTTTTTGGTTCGAATTCTTTACAATATAAAGTGAATTGGTATATATCTGATAAATGTTTATATTTCAGAAGACTGATGAGTGGACAAAGAATATTCTTTTCGATAATTTCTTTATCAGTTTCTACAGTCATATATCCACTAATGTTTTTTTTTCAATAGCATTGAGCCATTATAATCAATAGTTCAAGAAGTGTATATGAGGAGATTTTTACTAGATTAGCGCTCATTTTTTTTCCCGTCGATCGAAAAAAACGTGTGTACTGCTCAGCAGTCAGCTCGATCTTGTGAGAGATGGCCATTATAAGATGTTTGTTGAATGGTATAACACATGGTGAGTAGTATTGAGGTTAGGTGTCAAGTGTTAGGTAAGGGGGGGGAGGAGTAATTAAATCATTGGTAAGGTCGTGAAGCTGAATCGATTGAGAAGTCTTTGACACGTCTTACGCATTCGCCTTTCGCTATCGCCTTCTTCATCCAGCAATGTTGGCTAGCATTGGATTAGGTTGGCGGGGGGGAAGAGTTGACAGTGACTGATAGAATTCAGTCTGTAGTAAGCAAAGAACTAGACGTGTGACATTAGTCAGTGTCCAATCAAAGTGTATGGTTGTTATCATAGGTAAAGGTTAACAATCATGTTAATCTGCTACTTTCTCACTTTACCAAAATCTTCAAAGCTGTTAACTGTTATGTAATCGAATTCATTTAAAAAAAAGAATAATGAACTATCTTTTATCGATTTGTGCGGAATAGCAAAACATCATGTTAATGTCTTCTTGTCGTGTCAACACGCGTAAAAATTACCAGCTGTTATTTATATCGATACATTGTTGAACTAATCAATAACCAATTGTGTGAAGCAGCATAAAATAGTTGCTTACAACCCTCTGGACAATGAAATCAGCGTTGCATTGCATACACATAATTGCAGCAATTTGTTATCTTTTACTAACTTAATGTCATATTACAGTCTATCTATGTATCGCCATGATTATTCATTTATTTTAAAAATAGATCTAAGTATTTTAGTTTTAATCGATTTCAGTCAGTGATGAATACAAGCATGTTTGTGCACTTTAATATGGTCCACAATTCTATTATGTGAATAAAAAGTATCACATTAGTAAATAAAGTTTGATTTAGACAAGTAATTATTATCAAGAGTTGATTTGTAAGGATTAAATTTCATCCTAGTTTTGGACTCTTCATCACCCACCTGGGTTCAAACCCTGATGGTAGGTGCGTACCGCTGAAGAGTCCCAAACTAGACTTGCGAAACAGCTATACAGTACTCCCAGCTGGTTTTCCAATAATTCTTTAACTGATGTCGGCTCATGATGAAGTCCTTCCACCAACCAAACTAAAAGAAATCCCTACAAAAACCAGTACTTGACAATTCATCTGATGCTCACTAGCACCTGGCCCTATTCAGGCAGTTAACCTGGGGTTCAAGTGGGAAGCCGTGACCAGTAGGGTACAGCAGGTTGAAGGTGAGGCAGTAACTCGTCAAAGAAGACATTGAGAAGTGGACGCGCTATGTCATGAATTGGCAGAAGTTAAAATCCTGCGCTGGCGATTGGATTGGGTCTCAGTGGCTTAATAGTCTACGAGCTCGCTAGTCTTGTAACCTGAAGGTCCTGGGTTCAGACCCAGTTCGGGTGGGTTCGTGCCGATGAAGAGTCCAAAACTAGGACGAAACAGTAGTTGTCCAGTTCTCCCAGCAGGTTTTCCAATGGTTTTCCAACTGATATCAATCCGTGGTCAAACTCGAAAAAGTAATTATTAGTTTATTAAATTTTCATTGTTCAGCAAATATTCTGTAGCAAATGGAGATGAATCAGACACACTCTGAGGAGATTGTTCAGTAACATCGCGCGTCAGACACATTCTCGAGTGGAATCCGAATGGGAAACGATGAGTTGGGCGTGTAGGTCAAAGATGACATGGGGGGACATTGTGCGAGATGGAGATTGAGAGCTTATGAGTAATTGTAGTGCCAGCTAAAAGAGGAATTCAACGGATAAGAAAAAATGGAGATATCCTGTTGAAGCCCTAGGTTACACTAGGAACCCAAGGGGATAACTGACAAGTCACTAATTTCATGGTTTGGTCAGAAAAATATGGATAACGAGAAGTGATTGTCTTTAGTGACAAATAATACATGTTATCCGATTGTTAGAATAAATTAAACTCATAGTAAATTATTCGATTCTCCACTTATTATAATAATGATTATTATTTTAATTATACTTTTAACAGTTCCACAACTCGTGCTGTTATGTTCTGCATCACGTGATCGTATGATACATATCTTTGATCCGAATAAAGAATACTCTCGTGTACAAACGATATCTGATCATTCAGGGGCAATATTTTCAGCAAAAATTATTGAAACTGAAGATGGTGAGATTCGTTTAATCTCTTGTGGGATGGATAAATCTTTATTGTTTAGAATACTTGAAGTAAGTAAGAAATTCTTTTTCTTGGGGTTATTTGAAACTGTGAATGTGTAATGGTAATAATACAGTAGAGGTTTATTAAGAGATACACACATATATATTAATATTAATGCATATATCACTTTGATACTGTTTATTATCCTAATGCATATGAACTGTTTGACATTGACGGTAAACTTCGAAATTAGTATGCATTATGTTAACAGATTTAATTTTATATATAAAGAGATTATTACAATTAAGAGAAGATTTAAATATCCATCTTGAAATTATTATTATTCCTTTGTGGTCCGAGTGAGACCTAGTGCTTCAGCAGTACATCTCCACTTCACTCTGTTGTATCCTTTGTATCCTTAACTGAACTTAACGACTTAGGAATCGACTTGTTACCAGGGAATAGTCTTATGGACTTAGAATATGCAGATGACATAGTCCTGTTAGGGGAGGATGCTGACAAAATGCAGAGTTTTCTGAACACCTTGAGCAACAATCTTCGTATGTTTGGCATGCGATTCGCCCCTGTGAAATGTAAGATACTGCTTCAGGACTGGACTACGTCAACTCCTAGCTTAGTGATAGGGAGTGAAGTGATAGAACATGTTGACCACTTCACCTATTTGGGAAGTTGTATCAGCACCAACGGATTGATTGGTGACGAAATCTCAGCACGGATCCAGAAAGCTCGGGCTGCTTTCGCTAACTTACACCGTCTCTGGCGTAGGCGTGACATCCGGCTGTCAACCAAGGGACGTGTATACTGCTCAGCAGTTCGCTCCGTCCTTTTCTATGGCTCTGAAACATGGCCAATACGAGTTGAAGACATGAAAAGGTTGACTGTTTCAGATCATAGATGTCTACGATCTCTTTCTCACGTGGCATAATAAGGTAAGTAATGTCGACGTTAGGAGTAGAGTGTTGGGCAAAGAGGGAAACTCAATCTAAGAGGCTATAAAGTTACACAGATTGAGATGGCTAGGTCACGTGCTGCGCATGCCTAACCATCGCCTCCCCCGACGGACGGGCATTACTAGCTTATATAGTTGCAGGTTGGAAAAGAGTAAGTGGTGGCCAAGCAAAAACATGGCATCAATCCATGAAATCCTTGACAGTTAAACTGAGTCAGGTAGGGAGATGCAGACTTCCAGGTTGGGGCCCGCCCTCGGGACTCTAAGAATCAATGGCTGGAGACAATAGGTGACATGGCTCAAAATCGTTGTCAATGGCTAGCGCAGATGTATTCAGTCTCTGTAACCTTTCATATTCCTTTCTACCATTACTCATTTAGTTTCACTCTTATACTTGTCAAAACTCTATTGATTCTCTTCACTCATTTTCATGTCTATCTTTGAGTGCTATTTGGAACGTGGCAACTCGAACTGCTGCACTTCGGTGCCAAGCTCTATGTTGAATCCAGCAGCAGCAGCAGCAGCAGCAGTATAGTATATAATGAGTTAATATCATAGCTTACTATAATGTCTTCTTTATGAATTTCTCGGTGTTCTATTTGGGATTTGAAATCATATGAATTTCTTACGATATTTTGACTACCCTTTTGTAGTGGTTGTAGTATCGAGAGTAAGTATTTAGAAAGGTTGTATGTCGGTGAGTTGGTGAAACCTATTACTGGTCTTAATGGAATTGTGGGTTTATGTATCTTTGGTTGACCGTAGAATCTTGAAGGTACATACGATTTTTGTGTAAACCAGAGAGAATTTCCGATTTTGGGTTTCATTTCTTGAAGGAGTCAGTTTGTATTTAGTTTCATTTTGTTGAATTCGGCGGATTTCTTCTTCTCTTCAATGAGTGAGTCCTTCAGATAGGTGTTCAATCGTCTTCTTTTAATAATCCTTTCTGTTCACTATCACAGTGACGTTTTCCTTGTCGGCTTTCGTTATGACGATGCTTTTGTCTTTCTTCAAATTTCTTAAGGCTTCATATTCTTGTTTGGTGAGATTAGATGGTATGTTTCGTTGTATCATTAATATGTGTGATATCTTTTAACGAACAGATTGTGGTTCTTCATTGGTGAATTGTTGTAGAGCAGGTTCGATCATAGGTGCTATTTCTTGGACCGATAATGGCTTTCTAGTGATTTTGAAATTCAGACCTTTCTGTAGTAATGAGATTTCATTTTCGGTTACTATCTTGTCTGACATGTTATGTATGGCTCTAATATTCTTCATATCATTTGCTGAGGTTTTCTTTGGTCGTTTCTTTTTTTCGAGTTTCAAGAATTTTTGTATTTGTCTTCTTTTAGTGACATTATGAAAATGAGATTCTCGTTCATTAGACAACTTTTGGAAGGATTCGTACATATGGCTTGTAATAAGTAATGTTAAACAGTCATCTATATTTTTGATTCTCGTTCGATAAGATTCAAGTTTGATGTTGCAATTATGTATTCTTTCTCGTAAAAATACTTTGGAGGTATGATTTGCAGCAAGTATGGATTTGTGCGAATATTCAAGAGGTTTAACTCGTAGTGACTTTGGAATAATCCCAATTTGTAGACAGTGTACTAAAAGTTCATTTTTTTCATAAAATTTATTGTATTTTTTGTTTGTCATTATTTCCTCCAGAATTTCCTTTTTTTTCTTTAACTACACTTTCTTGGTAAACTATTGTCAAACTTTTAGTGAGTAGGAAGTGAATTTCAGCTAACGCGAAATGTGTTAGTCTACCCTTTCTAATCTTATACCTTCATTCATGTCACTCATATACCTACTTTTTTTAAAATTTATTTTTAAGCCTGATGAATCTGGTCAAACAGCTCATTTTGCCCTTGAACACCACTTAGTTGGTCGTCATTCTCAACTGGATGCTACAATTACGCCTACATTGACTACTTCACCACCTGATAGCCGTACAAATTCTGTTAATCGTAAACGTTATCTAGCTGTTGCATGTCAGGATAGAAGGTTAAGAATTTATAATGTTGTTACAGCACGTCCAGTTCGATGTTATCGTGGTAGTTATACTGAAGATGGTTTTCTTGTTCGGTGTACTATAGATCCAACTGGATCTATTATTGCAACTTCAGGTAAGCTTACCTGTTCTGTCCATTATCAACTGTTTCATCGAATTGTTTTTTTATTTGTTATATATTTATATATATATATATATATATATATATATAACTCACGAATGTATTTTTGTAATAAAATTTGCGATGCATTTATGGCCAACCTAAAGGATAGCGACCACAGAGTGAGAACGCGCCAATTACCTTGAATACATGCCGTTCATTGGATTACAGAACCTTCCATTATTACAGCGCTACTATGAACCTTTGCATGAATTGAGGTGCAATCGCATCCTGATATCGTTTTTAAGTACTGTTTAGACAATAGTTTGATAGCATGTTAGCGTTAGGACTGTGGTTAGGATTAGTATCAGGGTTAGAGTCAGGGATAAGGTGAGCAATATTGAGGTTAGGCATCGGTTGAGTGCTAGGTAAAGAGGGGAAATCAATCGACGAGGTTGTGAAGTCACACCAACTGAGATCGTTAGGACATGTGTTACGCATGCCTAGCTCATCGCCTTCCTCGACGGGCAATGTTAGCTGAAATAGGGTTGGTTGGAAAAGACCTAATAGTGGTGAAACCAAAACATATCTTCATCGGTCAATGAAGTCCACAACAGTTAGTTTAAGCCAGCAACCACGTAGGTTGGCGTCCTCGGGATGGTAAAAACCATTGGCTGGAGACAGTTGGTAATATGGCTCAAAATCGTTCTCAATGGCTGATGCAGATACATTCACTCTTTGTGATTTATAATATCCAATAAAATTCTATTGTTCTTCCATATTACTATTCTTTTTGCCTCATATTTCTGTTTATTATCTCTCTTTACTCTCTTTTGCTTTGTGTGCTACATGGAGGGAGTGTGGCAAGTCGAACTGGTGCACATTGGTGCAAAGTTCTATGTTGAAACCAGTCAGTCAGTCAGTTAGAGTCAGGGTTAGTATTATGGTTTAAGGTCAGCATTAGTATTATGGTTAAAATTAAGGATTAGGGTTGTAGTGTTCTATTTGAAACTTGAAAACTGATACTTTTCATTAGGAATTATTTTTCAATTACGTAAGGTTAAAATATCTTCTTTAATTCGCTTCACTATTGTTAATTTTTCTCGTAGATAAAAAACGTCTTTTTGATGTCTAATACATGACAAGTTCTGTAATTTAACGAATGAGATGCGTTCAAGGTGATTGGCGCGTCCGTTGTCGTACTCCATATTGATATAAGAATAAAACTTGGGCACTGTGGTAGAGTGTAATTCCATTATGGGTAAATTTTATTTTGATAGAGTCTCACAGTGTTATACAGTAATATTTACTGATGACGTTTCGAGCACAATTTATTGCTGCTCATAATCATATCAAGGTAATCACACGACTTCCTAAATTCATTTATATAGTTCCATTATTTTTCACTTGATTTCCACTTGATTTGATTGGTAGTGTTATTTTCCATATTTCGGGTATTAGTGATGATTCATTCCTATTGCACGTGTTGGGTGTAGATTCGATGAACAAAGATTCAGTAATCAACCTCTCTCTCCACCTACCTAGATTACTTTTTAGAATTTTAACCCTCTCCCACCCTATTGTGTGGTTGTGTGTTAATGCATGCATTGCAATTGCCGAGCTTTTTTCTAAATTACTTATCTTTCCTGGGTCAACCATTCTTATCTTAGCTAAATTCTTATGTTCTGACAATCTGACTACCCCTGACCTACTATTTTGACCTATGTAGTTGACCTCACAGTCATTGCAGGGTATTTTGTAAATTATATTATATTCCTGACCTAGGTCAGGAATAGTCAGATTGTCAGAACATAAGAATTTAGCTAAGATAAGAATGGTTGACCCAGGAAAGATAAGTAATTTAGAAAAAAGCTCGGCAATTGCAATGCATGCATTAACACACAACCACACAATAGGGTGGGAGAGGGTTAAAATTCTAAAAAGTAATCTATGTAGGTGGAGAGAGAGGTTGATTACTGAATCTTTGTTCATCGAATCTACACCCAACACGTGCAATAGGAATGAATCATCACTAATACCCGAAATATGGAAAATAACACTACCAATCAAATCAAGTGGAAATCAAGTGAAAAATAATGGAACTATATAAATGAATTTAGGAAGTCGTGTGATTACCTTGATATGATTATGAGCAGCAATAAATTGTGCTCGAAACGTCATCAGTAAATATTACTGTATAACACTGTGAGACTCTATCAAAATAAAATTTACCCATAATGGAATCGTACTCCATAGTCGCTATTTCTTTATGTTTGCCACACATTTATTTGTATGAAAGATTATGCATTTCGAGTGTCTTATGTTTTTGCTTATTCTTCGGTGTTTATGAAAAACAATAAAGGCTTTTTTGTTGCCACTAGCTGGCTAAGTGAGGTTTAGGAATGCGTCTGTCGGGATTCAAACCCTAGATCGCATACTCTACCAGTAGTGAACCACGTACTCACTACTAGAACGATGGAAAGTACGAATCCCAAGAAAAGCGGCTATCAGACATTCACTTGTTATCACCAATAGTCTATTTCAGTTATCCACATACTGTCACTCTTATTCCTTCTCAGGTTTGATATTTTTTTCTGAAAATTATGTTCATTTTGATTTGACACTAGTAACTAGTGTGATGTGTCTAGTCCTCTCTTTAGTGCAAACTGAATTCTATCAGTCAGGTTGCAATGTGGCCACCATTCTAGGTAGCTCGCCATCACGGCGCACATTGATTTGATGATATTAGATTTTTGGAGGCAATTGGCAGGAAGCCTTGGACACCACTTAGGTTTCGTGCTAGTTGGCACTTATCAGAAAGGCGTATCTGCAACCTTGAAGGAACTCATATCCCTTCTGAGATTCGAACCCGTGTCACCCAGTTAGTACTGCAGTCAGAGACGTTACCACTGAGCTATTCGGGCTCGCGATTGACCTCCTGTAGGACTATAGTGGATATTTTGATTTGACACTAGTAACTAGTGTGATGTTGCAGATACGCCTTGCTGATGAGTGCCAACTAGCACGAAACCTAGTTGCAAGGCTTCCTGTGGACGATTGCCTCCAACCGTCTAATATCATCAAATTATGTTCATTGTCTGTTTTTGTGCAGTTACAAATTTTGTTAATTCAACTTACTGGATCTTTATGTCTAAATATCTAATTTGACCTACTTCTTTGTACTGTTTTTGTTTTGTGTGTGTGTATGTGTATAGGTTCAGATAAACAGCTGAATTTATTTCATTTACTCACTGGTGAATCCATAGCCACACTTTATGGTCATTCAGAATTAAGTTTAGGCTTACGTTTCCTGCCAAATCTACGGTATTTAATCTCAGTCAGTGCAGACAGCTGTATATTTGTCTGGCGTTTATCCTCCAATCTTACACAATATTTACGTGAACGTATAACATCAACGTCATCGTCAACAGCAGCGGCATCACATATACATAAAACATCACTAGGCAATTCAATTAGTTATCCTCAATTGGATGGTATTTCTTTGAAGACAACAGCATCAAGTGCTAGTGGCGGCTGCGGTGGGGCTGAATACGGTGGATTATATCGTATTAATCGATCAGAATATTCTCGTCTTCAGAATAAATCATCTATGTTAAATTTAAATGCACCACGTAAACACGTGTGTAAAAATTTCAACAGTGATGGAGATCATGATGAAGGATCACGAGGAGGCGTGGTAGTCAATCATTGTGCAGGATATAATAATAATAATGAAGGTGGTGAATATGTTGATGAAGAGGAAGGCGACGTCATCATCGACGATGAAGAAGATGATGATGATGAATCACATCAGCCAGTCAAACATTGCCACCTTCTGAATGGAATGATTCACTTGGTGAATATGATAAAATGGAAAATTTGTACGGTGATGATGATGATGATAGCGAGTTGGATGCCTATCCTTTAGATGACGTGTTATCAGTGGATAATATGTCGAATTGTATGACCACGAACATGAGTCATATTCATAATCATAATAATAGTAGTGTAAAGAAACGTAAATCTGCTGTTAGGTAAGTAAACTGTTACATAACTTTTTTCTTATTCATTCGCTTATTCACTTAAAGTTTTGGAAGTTAGTTGGTATTTATGAACTGGAAGGAAGATTTAAGCTCGAACAGTTTGAAAGTGGAGCCCCTAACTTTATTCAGATGTGTTGTTTGATAGGAAAACGTGTAATTTGAAGGTAAATTTCACCGCAGGCTCGCCATGTTACCTTAAGCTTCTAGTTTCATTCCCCTATGTAGTTGTGGGTGTGCACTGCTGAGGTTTTGCAAAGTGGGTTGAAATAGCCATCAACTGCTCCTCGGTTTCTAGCGATTCCATAGCCTGGGTCTGTTGGTGATTTAAATCCACCTTGAAACCGATAAAATCCCCACAAACCTCAATACTTCTGATTTCGTTTATTGTTGCATAATGTCAGTTACTGACCGGATAAAACTAGATGTCTTCTGAATTAATTGAACTTCTAAATCATAGTTCATTGTATGTTAATCCAGTGGATAAATGACTACTTATTCTCTTGGCAACCTGTTGTCATTGGATCAATTTGTAGGTGTGTACTTCTGAAGAGTCTTAAACTAGGTTGAAAGAGCTATTTAAAAGACCCTAGTTTTTAAAGCACTGCTTGTCATATAGCTCAATTTTGATTATTGAAACTCTGAGGGAGTATTTAAAATAATAGGATTTCTGATGACTACAAAAATATTGGTTAGGCATTTTTATTATTATTGTTCCCCTTGGATTCCTATCCTCTGCGGTCATCTTAAGCTGGTCCCACGATTGTCTATAGTCTTTCATCTCCTCTTCACACTAACTCCTCCCTGTCACCCCTGAAGTGAGGCCAGTTCGTTGTTTCCCATCTGGGTTCCACTCAAAGGTTTGTCTTAGAGTGCGATGTCATTCGACAGTCTCCTCACTGTGTATCCGACCCATTTCCATTTTCCTCGAAATATTTGTTGAGCACCAAGTTCTTGTTGGTTTATTCGTTCGCAGACTTTCTTGTTTCTAATTCTTTTTTTGATCGGCCATCTGATCTAAAATATAGAGCCAGCTGTTGATAAAAGTGTGCTGTGGCCTATTGGAAATTCTTTTGGTGACGTGTGTGCCAAGTTCCTGACCCATATATGTAGAAGCAGTGACTAACTTAAGATTGTTGCTGAAAATCCGAATTCTACCGTTTATCCAAAATGCCTCGTCTTTCCTATTCTGGCTTACTTTGACATCCTCATGTTTGCCGACTGCTTGTAGTTGAAATGATGCTACTTAGATAGGGAAGGCAGTGACCTCTTTCAAATTTGTTCTGTTGATAGTGATTGGTGCTTGTTGTCGTTGGTTGGTTATTTTCATCACCTCTGTGTTTTCTATGTTCACCTGGAGTCCTGTCTTGGCTGCCGACCTGCCTCTTCATCCACTTTGTTGGTTTTCTCCTGTCTGTAAGTCTTCGAGTTTGTGTGACATAAGACATATATCATCTACACGAGAAATCCAGATCTTCTAGAGTCTTCTTATCGGTCGTCCAGAGTATTCCTGACTCCTCGCCCCTAACAGTCGGACGCATAATCCAGTCCACCACAATTAAGAATAGGCAGCCAGCTTGTCTTACTCCTGTATGCACTTCGAACGCCTCATTGAGTTTTCCGTTGTGGATCACCTGTTACGTGGCATTGTCATATAGCCAGCTGTTGAATGAGGTTGATAAAGAGTTGGGCATTACATGCCATAGTGTTGAAGTTGTCTCCAAATTACTTCGGGTTTTGATTAGGCTTAGTATGGGGTGGAGGGGAACCCATTAACCAATTGTTATTGTACTGTTATACCTATCTGTAGCTTTGATTATACGCACTCACTAAAAACGATTTTCTATAATTTCTTGTAACTGATTTGAATTTTATTCTTCGTTTTTTTTTCGGTTTAGTGAAAATGACCCAAATATGTGGGGTGACACCGTAACTAATCATGCGTGTAAAACACGTGGAACAGTGGCATCGACTACACTCACAACTTCAGCCAATAACAATAGTAATAATAATAATGGTAACAATCGTAATACAAAAAAGCCTGAATTCTATTTCAGTGTTAGTGCACTTCCTGCTTGGGCAAGAAGAAAGGTATGTGCTTTATTTTGTGTACTAGATGATATTATTATATTATATGCATTACAGATCATTATTATGTAGAAATCTCGTCAGAACGTACTGCATATCCATGATAATAATGATTTTTATGAATGCCTTGTTTTCGCTACAATACCTAATATTGACACTCGATTTCAACCGGTATATCAGGCTTCCTAATCACTCTAGGTATTATAGTCTTGTTAGACGGGGAGTAATATCACTAGTTTCATACTCTAAATGTGACATGCAATAACCTCCCATCTGGTTAATGAGTAGTTATACACGGTTAATTTACGATAAGTGAGAAATGTGTATAGGATTAGCATGCCACAAAATAATATACCATACTGTTAAAATGAAGGATATCTGACATATTCTGTATTACTCAGTTGTCATAATGTTTTAGAGTAGTTACTGGTGGGTATAAATTGCATTTAATTTGATGGAATCTGGGACGTGCATTTCGTCCTATTTGGGACTCGTCAACTGAACATGCTTGCATTCCTCAACGAGTGATGGTGTTCCTCCCACTCTGAGACTCAAACTCAGTACCCTTCGTTTCAAAAATCAAGGCATTATTCACTAGACCATTTGGGCCACGAGATCCACCTCTTTCCCGTTGATCGATTAGACCGAAATGTTCGGCGTCTGTTGACATATCACCGCCTAGTACGAAGGCTTCGAAGATGTTGAAGGATTAACATGAAGTTATTTTGGTCTCAATGGGAACAGTATCACTCACTGGGGAATGCAGGTGTCCATCCAGCTGACAAGTTCCAAATAGAATGAAATTTGCATCCTGGATTCCACGCTGCTAGTTACCATCCACCAAATTACTTCAAGGTAAGCCTCAGACATCATCAAAACGTCTCTTATGGGAGCCGACTTGTTAACAGAGGCTGAACATCTTGATCCAATCAATCAACGGGGAAATATAAATTAAAATAAAAATCAATAATAAATTCTATATGCTTACAAAAGTCAGAAAAGTGTTGTAAAATATTTATTCGCGAAATTGTACATCTTTGATTGGACACCAGTTGGTGAATAGTATCATGAGTCTAGTCCTTTTGTTTACTGCAGACTGAATTCCATCAGTCAAGTTTGCAATATGATCACTATGCCACTGGGTGGCTCAACATTACGGTGCACTTTGAACTGTTGTTAGTAGATGGTTGGAGGCAATTTGCAGGAAGCCTTGCCTGGACCTAGGTTTCGTACTCACCAGTCAGTCAGCAAGGTGTGTTCCTTCTGAGATTCGAACCCAGTGCGTCACCCAGTGCTGTTGCAGTCAGAATCATTACCACTGAGCTATTCGGGCTCGTGATTGACCTCCTCCTGTAGGACTGTATTGGATACTTTTGATTGGACACTAGCTAGTAACTAGTATGTGTCTATAAATATGAGTTCATTCAAGATTGCAGATACTCCTTGCTGGCTGATGAGTGCCAACTAGCACGAAACCTAGGTGGAAGTCATCCTGCAATCGGTAGGAAGCCAACCATCCAATAACAACAATTGAGAGCGTACTGTGATGTCGAGCCACCTAATATGGTGGCCGCATTACAAACTTGACTGACGGAATTCAATTTCCACCACATAAAAGACTAGACACATTACACTAGTTACTAACTGGTGTCCAATCATAGTAGATCGGTGTCAGTTAGATTATTGGAACATAAAAATGTACCTAGACCTAGAATGATTGACCCTGCTAAATTAAATAATCTAGAAAAAAGTTCGGCTATTGCATCTCATTCACCTGCATGTAACCACACAATAGGGAGTGGGACAGGATGAAAGTTTTCGAAAGTAGTCTAGTTAGATGGAGAGAGAGAAGAGAGGTTAATCACTGAATCTTTGTTTAACGAATCAACACCGATCATTTGCAATCGAAATGATGCAACGCCTATGCCAGGGATATGGAAAGTGGCAACAAACAACAAAGAGCATAGAGAAAGCAAGAAATACGCAGGTAAAGCAAGTCATGAAGCCGTGTGACTACTTAATTGTTATGATTATCAGCAATAAATTCTGCTCGAAACATCATCCAGTTACTAATACCGCACCACTGTGTGATATTTGAAATAATACAGATTTACACTCTAACACAGTAGCTAAGTGCTGCACTTACAATTAAAGTATTTAACACTTACAGCCTTACTATTATACCTTTAATTCTTATAAACAAAGTTTTACAGTAATTTTACAGAGAATTACTTTGCTGATCATGCTTAGTAGTAAAAAATGGTGGTATAAGTATGAAGAAATTGTTATTTTGTTCTTCGACTAATAACGTTCGTTTCTGTTGTGAAAACGCTCTTTTATAAGTAAAAGGCCTTCGACAGAGTCGATTGAGAGGTGATTTGGAAAGTACTTTGTTACTACCAAGGGATGCTGCCAACAATTATACACCTCATCCAACAGTAAGTTGTACGATAATGTCGCATGCCAAGTAATCCACAATGGGAAACTCACGGAATTCCTCGAAGAAGTGAAGACGGGAGTAAGACAAGGATCGCTAGCTGCCTATTATCTTCGGTGATTTTTCTGATTGCGATAGACTCGATGATACGACAAACAGCTAGCGGGCAACGAGAAGACAGTCATAAAATGGACCCACACAAAAGACTTGGAGGATCTGGACTTCGCCGATGATATATGTCTGATATCCCAAACACTGGAAGATATGCAAGTGGAAAGCAACAAGTTGGCAGAAGAAGCATCAAAGATAAGTGATGAAGATTCCTGGCCAACAGCAACAGTAACAACAACAGAAAACAATCAACATAAATGAGAGAAATCTGAAAGAAGCAACCTCCTTTACCTAACTACCTGCCTGGGAAGCATCGTTTCAACTACAGGCGGACGGAACTGACGAGGTTATCAAATTGAGGATTGGAAAGTAAGGCAAGCTTTCATTACTCTCAAGTCTATGTGGAGATCAACAGGACTGACTCAGCATGGAAAATCACATCACTCCAATTTGAAGTCAGTGCTACTTACTGTACGGATCAGAGACTTGGTGCGTCACGAAGGGCACTTCGAACAAACTACAGACCTTCATCAACAGCTATCTTTGCTCACTACTACTCAAAACAAGATGGCCGGCCAGAAACGTTCAGCAACAGGGAGAGATCTCTGAGAATGAACTAACCCAGCAGGAACCGATTGTACAACAAATATGCAGGAAGAAGTGGAGGTGGATTGTATTGTGGCCATACTCTGAGAAAACCATCGAGTGAGTGACATCACACGCCAGGCTATCGCTTGAGTGGAACCCGGATGGGAAGCGGCGAATTGGTCGTCAGTGTGAGGGTGACATGGAGTGGAGGAGGTCATGTGAAGAGGAGATGAAAGCATGTGGGCAGACGTGGAGCCAGGTGGGAACATTGGCAGTGAACCAAACGCAATGGAGACGTGCAGCTGAAGCCCTATGTTCCTCTAGGAACTAAAGGAAACAATAATAATAATAAGTAACAGCTGAGTTACCTAAGCAAAAATACTTCAAGCAATCTGTTAAAGCTCTAAATCCTGAAGAATTTTGTTTATTTCGGTTATTACTCAGCTTGTTTTGTTTTCTAATCTATGCATAATCCATATGCGCTTGTACTATCCGTTTTTTGTTGTTGTTAACTTTACTTTTTATTTAATCTGTTTTATCTATAAAAAAAAACACAACACTAAATACTGTATTTCTATACAAAACAGTTGAGTCGACGTGAATCGGTCACTCTTGTGCCAACATCTTTATCACAGGTGATGATGAAAAACAACTGCATTGGTGTTGTTTATATATACATATATATAGTGTTTTATTTAGCTGCTTGAATAATAACTGTTTATCGCCTTTCTAGTATTATGCATGTATGTGTGTATGTGTGTGCATGTATGCCGCGTATTTATTGCATGCTGTCGTTCTATTTCGTTGCGCTTTGTAAATGCTGCTCGCGAGTATATAAATAAGCAATATATACACACAGCGTTTTTGCATGCTTATTAAATGTCTAGCATACTTAATAATACTAATAATAATAATAATGGCACTAATTAATGCTTGTGTATACAGGTGGGATATTCGTCTTGATGTGTGACTGAATTGTCTTCAGCATCAGCATGATCATCGTCATCATCAGCAGTAGTCTATTATCGCTTTCATTTATATGTACTATGATCTTAAATTCTACTAACTTGATCATCTTCCATTTGTTTTGTTTTTTTCGTCAACTAACAGTAATTTTTATTTCGTCATAATGTGTTGCTGTTATTTATTAACTGGAATGTTTAAAGTATCATAGCTAAAGCCAAGGTCTTTCAAGATTTGACCTTGAAGAACCAATCAGATACAAGGAACGTAATGGAAGGTCATTCCAAATAAATAAATAAATCATGTCTGCCTTTCTGGACTTACTTGAAGAAGGCAGATACAGTATTCCACTTATTTATTCTCTAGGTACTTTTTGCTGTAAATCTACACTGTTATGGCTTTGTAGATTAGGGTTTAGGGTTTACGGTTAAGGTTAGGATTAGGGTTAGAGTTAGGAGTAGGTTAAAAGAACAGTGTCAGAAATATCAATAGATCTCAAAGTACTATTGTAATGACAGAAGACAAGGCCCAGGCAACAGATCGTTTATTAAGAAAATCAAGAAGTATTTATAGATTTTTATGTGCATTATTATTAGCGTTATTGTAAACGGTGAAGCACACTCTTCTGATTGGTTGTTTTCTTGCTCAGGGTTATTCTGTTATCTCTTTGTGTGGCCGTTTCTCAGAAAATCAAGCCATATATCTATGAATCATATTTCCAAACTTAAACTCCGCTGTGATTGCTTGGTGATTCTCTCAAGGTTTAACTTTGTTATTGGTCTTTTCTCATGACCCTGATTCCGGACGTGAACATTGACGTAAATTGCTGTCTGCAATTTTGGCTTGCAGCCAGCTCTCACCACACTATGACCTGCAGTCAGTCACCTGGATAAATGCATCTGTCGCGCATGGTATGATTTCTCTATAGACCATCTGTATACTGACTGGGAGAAATTCTTACAACACATAAGTGACAACTATGTATTATAACATTATGTTTGCAATGTTTTTAGTGCGTCGGTGGTGCAGCGGTAGAACGCTAGCCGACTATGCACGTGGTCTGGGGTTCAAGTCCCAGCCGGTGCACACCTTTACCTTAACTTAGAGAAAAGCCCAGATATAGCATTATTACACGCAGTCACATACAATCACACAATAATATTTGACGAAATGGCAGTATTAAAACCGAGTGGAGGGAAAATTTAATAACTGAAACTTTATTTATCGAATCAAATGACAACTTGCAGAGTAGGAATGACTTAATGCGTATCCCGGACATCTGGAAAATCATGCTACCCTTACGACAAAATGGGAAGAAAGGGGGGAGCTATAAAGCTGTAATTTCTAAGCTCTGCAGTTTAAACTGATATAATTTTGAACAATAAACTGTGTTCAAAATGTCATCCAATAAATAATTTAAAAAATTAATCTGGAATTCTGTATTACAAAGCGACCGAATTTTACACATATGATGAAGTGGAGAGATGTTATTTACAGTTTTGGTGACGAGTTGACATCAGTCAGATAATCATTGGGAAAACCATCAGGGGAGTACTGGACAACTGTTCCTCCCTAGTTTTCAACTCTTGAGTGGTACGCACCCACCGCCAGGATTCGAATCCAGGATCTTCCGACTACAAGGCCAAGTTCGTAGACCATTTATTTAGCCCCTGGGACCCGATCCAATGACCAGCCCATAAATTCCAACTTCTACCAATTCGCGATAGGTGTAGCACAACTGCCAGCCAATGTCAGGCGACTTGGTGAACCCCACTCGTGACGACGTCTCACTAGATTTTGAGGTAACTTCCTGAATAGAGCAAGACACTGGTGAGCATATCAGATTAATTATCAACTGTGGATTTACGGGGATTTGTTGGGGTACAGCTTTGAACACGAGTTCACATCAGTAGTGTGTGTGTGTGTGTGTGTGTAGCTAATCAAGAATGAAAACGGCGGTCAAATACAGTTTGTATGTTTTCACTAATCACTGTAAGTTTATCTTGTAGGTTTACTTGGCAAAGGTCTTCAAAAGACAAGCATAGTTTTCTTTAGTAGCCATTGGCGTTGCTTTCAATCATAGGTATTTAAATCTTTTGAGTCTTTTATTAAAAAACACAAAATAATTGAGCAAAGAATATCCTTTTCGATAAATTCCTCTTCTGGCTCTACAATTATCCATACACTTATATACATAGAATATTCTAGATTAGTAGTCAATAACAATATTAGTGTTTTTTTAAATAATATCAATTTTTAAATTAAGATCAATGGAATTACAGTTCAGTAAAGATGCTTAAATAATAATAATAAAGAAAGAGTACCAAATAGAATATCAAATAAAATTGAGGATCATTCAAACCTAGATGGCCAAGGTAAGGATAATGACTGAATTAGCTTCTTTTGGATGCACAAATTAGGCTTAATATGGATCTTAATATGGATCCCAACAGCCAGTCTCAGCAATATTTAGTAGTCGAACTCTTAAGGTGAAATTGAGATTTGTTGGTATGTGGTAAATGACCCTGAAAGCCTGGTTAACATCAATCTTGTGTTCTGTATCCACAAGATGAGATAGAATAGCTCTACGGGAGAAAAAACGTAAAAATCTCAAGCTTCTAGGTAGACATACGTTGATTTATACTTTAAGCGTATAGTAATCATCTTAGAAGTTTCTTGTCTAGTGATTTTCTTTTTCTTTTTGGTTTTTGGAGGACAAGAAAATCCACTGCCTATGAGTTACTTTGGATTGATACTATCCTCCTACATTGACATATGCGTGTGCTCATAGAACATTTGACTGTTAGAAAGTAACTCGGTCAGATATTTAATGAGCATATACTTTTCTTTCTCTCTCTGATTACTTAAACATTTTACATATACGTGCAATTTGATTATTATTTCACGTTCATGTGAAAAAAATGCATTAAAGTAGTTTAAGAATGTTGAATTCGTTGTAATAGTTGTGGTCGAAAATCATCGTATAATTCCCAGCGTATCGTTACTCATAGAGAACTCTGTTAGCACTAAGTAGTGCAAAGTAAGTAGAGCTGTTCCATACAAACGATTCCCTTTTATTAATTTGAATAAAGAAAAACCAAACATATTTGCAGTCTCGATGATACTGTGGCGAGAGCTGTCTTCGAACAAGCCAAAATTGTAGACACCAACTTACGTCAATGTTTGCTTTCCGAATCAGGGTCATGAGAAAAAAAACAAAGCTTAACCTTGAGGAACTCACCAGCTAATCACAGCAGACTTAACGTGTGCAAATACAATTCGCAGATATATGGCTTAACTATTTGAGAAACGGTCACGAGCAGTGCAGAATAACCTAGAGCAAAAAAACAACCAATTAGAAGGCATTACTTCTCCGCTGATAATAATGCACATAAAAATCTATAAATATCTGTTGATTTTCTCAATGAAGGATCTGTTGCCTGGCCCTTGTCTTCTGTCGTTACAATACGACCTCGTTTTATTATCTTGTGGATTCCCTCCAACTGTGTGTTGCATCCTAAGCAAAATCAAATTATAAGTTACACAATTTCTGAGCATACTTTTCTCCACGTAGTGTCAAGTTATAGATAGAAAGTATAAGCAACATAGTTTCCAAAAAAAATGATGTAAGTAGACAAATTATTCAGTGTTAAAAAGGGACTAACTATTTATAGTATAGCTAGACAAGACATAACGAAGTTGAGAATTTCTGCTGGCATAACTCAACCTCTTCTCTTACAATTTGTTAATTCATGTATTCTGCCCATTCTCCTTTATTGTTCACCCCACTTATTCTTCCCTGGACTTCTCAAAAAAGGGTTGTATCATATCACGTAGAACACTGAAGGCTGTCATTAGGGTTAGTGGTGTGCCTTTGACTCACTCAACTAGCTGACATTATTATCAATAGGCACCTCAATTCTTGCAAGTATTTGGCTAAAGTTATTTTAGATAAAGCAATAAGAAGACGTAATTTGTCTGAATCGTGTAATGTATTTATTCGCGCAACACATTTCGAACAATCTGATCACACACGGACTTGTCATAGGAATATATTTGAAACTAATAAAGAGTTAAGAGGTGAGAAAATAGACTCAGGTCAAGTTTAAAGGACATATTCAAGGTCAAAGTAACAATGAAGACCACTAAACCGCTATGGCTTTAAAACAAAATTTACCAAGGAAGGTTTAATGTGATGACAAATTGTTTTTCAACGCCTAAAGGTGGATTAAACTTTCTAATTGCTAGGGCTTCCACAAACTTCAGGATACGCCCCAAACACGTCTTATAGATAGATAGGTTTAAAAGACGTGGAAACATCAATTTCATGTCCTGTCTCTATAATATGTTTCGCAATAGAGGAGATAGGTCTCCTGTTCTCACCATTAATTGGTTCTGAGGATTCTATTTGCTTCTGGAGCCATTTAGGAATATACTCTGAAGCCAACCCTTACTTATAGAGATCAATGAGTCCTCCCTATGTATGTGTGTCGACACGTACATTCAAATTGGTAAATACAGTGGGATGTGACATCATTTTTCGCATGTTCGAATATGTCCTTTTAACTTGACCTGAGTCTATTTTCTCACCTCTTAACTCTTTATTAGTTTCAAATATATTCCTATGACAAGTCCGTGTGTGATCAGATGGTTCGAAATGTGTTGCGCGAATAAATACATTACACGACTCAGACAGATTACGTCTTCTTATTGCTTTATCTAAATTCATAAAGGGAACTAATTGTTTTAAAGTTATTTTACCTGATACTAACATCCTCTCTGTGATCAACTTTCTCCCTGTATCTCTTCGGGTTAAACCAAAAGAAACTTCATAAGAATTTACGCTCGTACAACTAAATATAAAAATTTTACCATACCACCATATTTAGCATGGGTTTTGTGTGAAGAGAGAGTCATTTGTCAGAAAAGAACTTATAAACTTTTTAAATCAGTAATCCGAACTGCAAAGTATAAGCGAGGATTATGATTATTACATGTATTATCTATGATACTATCTACTTATACTTCATTATGTTTCCACCATCATTCTGTTTATAGTGGCTTCATTATTAATATTATTTATTACTATTACTATTCTAAAATTTATTTATGTACATATTTATAAAAGGAGCTACATTGTTGCAATATGTATAAAAACGCTGAAAATTCCATTCCGTATAATTATTACTGTTTGGAATAAAGGGATTATTATTATTCTTATACATGTGCATGTCAGTAAGAGAAATATCAAGAGCAGATTTTATGTGCTTGTGTTCAAGATGGTTGGAATGTGTAGTCCCTTCATTTCTGTCTTCATTGGCTAAATAATACCACTGAAATACTATAGAAATGAAATAAAGTTAATTGGTGGATGGTTACTATCAGTGGAATCCAGGATGCGCATTTCGTCCTATTTGGGACTTGTCATCTAGATGTATCTGCATTCTGCAGTGAGTGATGATACCCCCCCCCGAGGTACATCCAGTGACGAGTCAGCCCCAAATAGGACGAAATGTGCATCCTGAATTCCACTGCTAGTCACCACCCACCAATTAACTTCTAATTACATGTCCAGACATCGTCGAAGCATCTGCACAAGAAGCCGATATGTCAACCTGAGACAGGGTACTTCGGTCCAATCAATCGACCGGAAAATCTAAAATTGAATTAAATAAAGAAATGAAATAAAGTTTGAATCTTGCTTGTATAAAGCTGGACAGTTCCTGCGACGAAATATACGAATTTATTCATAAGAAAAAAAAAACACTTTTATTCAGGGAAGAAATATCTTTAAGGATTTAGAGTGTGTAGGTGGGATTTGATCTCTTTTACAAGTTTGACAATGGATTGATATCAGTTAGAGGGAACCACTGAAAACCAACTGGGAGTATTGAACAACTGTTTCGACCTCCACCCCGCCCCCCACTATTGTGGGACCCAATTCAATGGTGCATGAATTCTAACTCTTCTACTAATCTATGTTATGAAATTGATAATGCATGTGCTTCTCTCTGTTTGTTCCATAGCGTTTTTTCCATATCTCTACCTTAAAACTTCTCATAGATGAGTTTTGTTTGAGTATCCGGTGGTTTTATATTTAGTCAAATCTCATCACCTTCCCTCCTTTTGATGTACTTTTCTCTGTTGTCATTGTCGTTTTGTCTTAATGATTTAGTCTTTTCACTTGTCATACAAACATCAACTTTTGTGGTGTAAAGTCATCTTAATGCACAACCAAATCTGCTGATGCTTCTTCTTCTGCTATTGCTGCTGATTACTGTTCAATACGTAGTTGTGTTCTAATCTTATCTGCTTACTTATATTTTTTTTGTTTCAGGTTGTCAATACTGACTTAGATGTTGTTGGATCAGATTCAGCGAGTCAAGCGTCTGTAGGAAGTGGTCCAATACTGCCTGCATCGAGTAGTCCTGGTTCACATGAAACTATTCCTGATCATATTCCTCTATCGACAATGACAAGTAGTAAAATATCGAAATATAATAATCGTCTGTCTAGTAAAAAGTCGATTGATGACGATATTTCTGAAAGAGTAAGTCGTCAGTTAACTGCTATATAAATATATATATATATATATTGTATGGAGGATTTCATCATGAGCTGACATCAGTTAGAGAACCACTGGAAAACCTGGGAGTACTGGACAGCTGTTTCGTAGTAGTTTGAGACTCTTCAGCAGTACGCGCCCACCATTTCGCAATGTCTTCCTTAGATGAGTTACTGTCACGCTATGTCGCGCTATGTCGTGAATTGGCAGAAGTTAGAATTCAAGGACCATTGGATCGGGTCCCAGTGGCTCAATGGTCTACGAGCTCACCTTGTAACCAGAAGGTCCTGGGTTCGAATCTTGGTGGGCGCGTACTGCTGAAGAGTCCCAAACTAGGACGAAACAGCTGTCCAGTACTCCCAGGTTTTCCAGTGGTTCTCTAACTGATGTCAGCTCATTATGAAATCCTCCATACAATATATATATATATATATATATATATATATATATGGGTGTTTGTATGTGTTTATATTAAGGTTTGTGGGAGAGGAAAAAATCGATTTTACTTCAACTATAAATTAACAACAACAAAAATGCTTTATAAAGAAAGCTTTACTTTCTGAATTGCCATTTACACATTAAGAAAAGATCAATAAATTGATTGAGCGAAGAAATATGCATTGCTTTTCAATTAGTTCCTCATCATCGGCTGGCTGGCTCTACACTAATATATATAGTTGTTTTTTACATCAAAACTTTTTTTTACCAATCAAGTGGTTATTTTAGTTAATCAGTTTTAGGTATAGGCGGGGTGGGTGGGTGAAATTAAGAGGTTAAAGGTCATCAAAACAATTAACTAACAGGTGTTAGTAACAAGATATCTAAGTTTTGATGGAGGGAGGGGTGAAAATTAATTACTTACGGAATTCAAGATTAGTTGATTCTTAGGCGTTAGCAACAAGTTATTGCATAATTAAGAAATTTGTAAAATAGCAATGATGACTAAGAAGAATAGGATGACTCAGAAGAATTACGTAAAATACAAACAAGTTAGTGGAATTAGCTAGAATTGTAAAAATTAACAAAGTCAAAAGATAGTTACAAGAGGAGAGGGGAAATAATCGTTTTTAAAGACTTAATACATATTATGTAGTTGGTCATGGCAAAGAAAGCGGCTATACAAATTTCTTTCTTCCAAAGGACTTCCAACGCAGCTAAAGTGTGCTGTATTTTCTCTAGCCAGCCAATACTTAGTTGAAGAAATGAGGACAGACTGCCGTGTTTCACCTCTCCCATGTGTATTTGTAGTTTAACTGCCCGTGTGGAGCTAGTTACATCGGGCGCACGATCAGGCAAGTTCATCGTCGAATTCCTGAACATCTCCCATCTTGGTTTCCCAAAGGTTCAAATAAAACTATACGCAGCTCGATACTAGCTCATCTCGTCGATACTGGACATCAAATTGACTCTAAAAAAGAGTTTAAAGTTATTTACAGTATATCTGCCAACCTCTCCCATGGTCTACGAGTCTGACTTTTACATACAACAGGGGCGATCGGAATTCATTTGGACAAGGCGAATCGGTATTGAAAAGAAATTTGTATAGCCACTTTCTTTGCCATGGCCAAACTACGTAATATGTTTTAAGTCTTTTAAAAACGATTATTTCCCCTCTCCTTATAACTATCTTTTGACTTTGTTATCTTTTACAGTTCTGGCTAATTCTACTAACTTGTTTCTATTTTATGTAATTTTTCTGAGTCATCCAATTCTTCTTAGTTATCATTGCTATCTTACAAATTTCTTGATTGTATAATAACTTGTCGCTAACGCCTAAGAATCAACTAATCTTGAATTCCGTAAGTAATTAATTTCCACCCCTCCCTCCATCAAAACTTAGATATCTTGTTACTAACACCTGTTAGTTAATTGTTTTGATGACCTTTAACCTCTTAATTTCACCCACCCACCCTGCCTATACCTAAAACTGATTAACTGAAATAACCCCTTGATTGGTAAAAACAGTTTTGATGTGAAAAAACAACTATATATTTCTTTTTTTATATTACTGAGTCATGAATTTTATTTCATTTTATTATTGTTAACCATGTTAGTTGTAAAACTGTTGTAAGGAAACTACGAAATGATATCATCTCGCGAAATTTGTCCTCTGAATGCCTTATTCAAACTACATATTAGTGTAGAGCCAGCTAACCAGACGATGATGAGGAACTAATTGAAAAGGAGTGCATATTTCTTCGTGCAATCTGTTGTTTTTCTAAAAGCTTTACTTGTCTTTATGTTGTAGAACTTATTAAGAACATTTTTTTGATGTAGTTGTGTTCTCTGAGCTGGATAGTTTATTTGCGAAGCTTTCATTGCCCTACTAGGCAACATCTTCAGAGCATACTTCAATTTGAAGTGAGCTTTTAGATTTCTCCACAAGTTTATTAGTCATCTCTCCTGGTGACTTGACCTTGAACGTGATTGGTTGTTTTTGTGTATTTTCACACCAATTGATAAGAAGGAAATCTCACACACAAAAAGGTCAAAGTTCAAGTCAAGGAAACAATCAGCTCCAATACAAGTAGCCTAGAGGGTGTGAAAATACACAAAAACAACCAGTCACGTTCAAGGTCAAGTCACCAGGAAAGATGACTAATAAACTCGTTGAGGAATCTAAAAGCCCACTTCTAACTGAAGTATGCTCTGAAGATGTTGCCTAGTAGGGCAATGAAACCTTCGCAAATTAACTATCCAGCTCAGAGAACACATAACTACATCAAAATCATCCACCTGAGCTACAAATCTTCTCCATTATTAAGAACAAATTTTATATATTATGGTAATATAAGAAATTATTTCTGCCTGTACGTGTAGATATATTCCAGATATTCTGATATTAGCTAAAATGTTGTAATTGTTCGATGTTCTCTCAGCATTGACTGACATTTGATCGTGAACGTTTAATAACTAGGCTAAGAAGTAGTTGGAGTGCTTAACGAAATACTCACTGATGAAAAGCTATATAGCCCCGCGTAATGAAATGCTCAAATCGTAGATTGCGGTTTACACTCCGTGGAACCTGTCACAACTCACTAACTAGACAGGGTATACTATCATATTATTTATATTTAAAAAAAGCACAGAAGTGTTTATTCCTACTACTCAGAATAATCTAAAAAGAATTTTTCCTTGGATATTTTTTTTCAAAGAATGTGTTAACACCAGTATCTGGAGGTGTACCAGTGACTATTGCACAGTCTACAATGCCACAAATTAAAACATACAATCAAATGTCACGATCTGATTATAAAGCTAGAGAATGTTACAATTTCAGTCAATCTAATGATGCTAATCCCAATGAACAAAATCGTGAAAGAAATAAAATGAATTGGATAACACGTGCTGTCTCTGCTCCGGATACACCTCGTCCTTACAAAAAAGATGCTCATAATATAGATAATAATAATAATAATATTCGAAAAAGTGTGTTGACGACAACCACCGTACCGAGTGTAGTAAAAACACGAAAACCTGTTGATAGTTGTCCGAAGAAATTGCATCCAACCCAGGGAATTGTTGAACCGTCACCACCACCACCGACATCTCATACCAATCGATCGTCTATACAGAATAGACCTAAAGATTTAGTAAGTTATCTTTTAGTTACTCTTGTGTGTGTGTAATGTGGGACATTTTTGTACCTCACCAGTGTAACATATTAAATATTTGTAAGTAGTTGTTCTTTTCATCTATCCAACTACGTGTATGGTTCGGAGTTCGATTCCCAGTCGACGCGCTCTTAAGCCTCATCAAGCCGGTAGAGTAAGCCCGGTAAAGAGGGCTGAAAAAATGCAGAGTCATCTGAACACCTTGAGCTGCAATCTACGAATGTTTGGCATGCGATTCGCTCCAGCCAAATGTAAGATGATGTTACAGGACTGGACTATACACTGACTCCTAGTTTAGAAATAGGGAGTGAAGTGGTAGAGCACGTTGACCGCTTCACTTATTTGGGAAGTACCATCAGCCACCAACGGGTTGATCTCTGACGAAATCTCAGTACGGATACAGAGGGCTAGTTTCGCATATGCCAGTTTACGCCGTCTCTGGTTTAGTAGACGTGATATCCGGCTATCGACCAAAGGGCGAGTGTACTGCTCAGCAGTCGCTCGTCCTCCTTTATGGCTACCTGGCCATTGAGAGTGGAAGACATGAAAAGATTAGCTGTCTTTGATCATAGGTGCCTGCGTTCTATCTCCCGTGTGAAGTGGTATAATAAGGTGAGCAATATTGAGGTTAGGCGTCGAGTGCTAGGTAAGGAGGGGAAATCAATCGACGAGGCTGTGACAGTTACATCGATTGAGATGGTTAGGACATGTGTTACGTATGCCTAGCCATCGCCTTCCTCGACAATGGGCAATGTTAGCTGACATAGGGTCAGGCTGGAAAAGAGCTAGCGGCGGTCAAACCAAAACATGTCACCAGTCAATGAAATCCACAACAGTTAGTTTAAGCCAGTACGTAGGAAGGTGTAGACTTCTTGGTTGGGGTCCTCGGGACGGTAAAAACCAATGGTTGGAAACAATTGGTGATATGGCTCAAAATCGTTCTCAATGGCGCAGATGCATCCACTCCTTGTGACTTATGATTTCAAATGAAACTATATTGTTCTTCGTTATTACTATTCCTTTGTCTCACACCTCTGTTTACTGTCTATATTATGCATTCTTCTACTTTCTTCTCTTGCTTTGTGTGCTACAAGAAGGGAGTGTGGCGACTTGAACTGCCGCACATATGTGCAAAGTTCTATGTCGAAAACAGACAGACAGAAGCTTGAAGCTGAATGTTCCACTGCAAACGCATAGGAATAAAATAGTATAATAATAGTAATTGTAATTTAGAGATACTAACGTTGCTTTAGTTTCGAGGAAAACCGAAGTAGTTTAAATTAACCATTGCTTCCACATAAGAATAAGGCAATATTTCCTACTCAGCTGAAATATAATATTTGTCCATAAAGCTTCTGACTATTATTGTTGTAGGTTATATACTGAGCTTCAAACTTTCTAATTGCATATGTCATTAAGACAAAATGAACGACTTGAAATTTTGGTGGTGATATTATTCGAAATGGGTACTTTAGCCAGAAATATATCCTTGTCTAATGTTTTTTTTTGGAAATTTTGTAGGTATTGTGTTGTACTTCTTTTATCATTATTATTCCCTGGGTTCCGAGAGCAACATACGGCTTCACCAGCATATCTCCACTATGTCCTATTGATATAAGTATAAAACTTGGGCACTGTGGTAGAGCATAACTCCATAATGGTTAAGATTTTATTTTGATAAATCACACAGTGTTGTTACACAGTAATATTAACTGATGATCACTTTTCGAGCACAAACTATTGCCACTCATAATCATATCAAGTTACTCACACAACTTTTTACTTCATTTATATACATATGTGGAATCGATTAGATATTGGAATAAAAAATCAATACAGGATAATGTACATTCAGAAATAATAATATGAGTGTTATCAATCAAGTACAATCAGATGGGAAATAATACGAGTGTTTTTATGGTCATAATAAGTTACTTCTTAGAATGTTGTGATGTACTTGAATTGTAATAGAATTTTGAGATTCTTTATTATCCTCTTCTGATTTGACCGGGGGTAATAATATCTTCCATATTTCTGGTATTTGCATTGAGTCTGAAAAATCTTATAATCTTAAAGTCTTATAATCTTAAAATTCTATTTCAATTCAAACACATCACAACATTCTAACAAGTTACTTATTGTGACTATAAAAACACTCGTCGTATTTCCCATCTGATTGTAATTGATCAAAAACACTCATATTATTATTTCTGAATGTATCTTATGTTGATTTTTATTCAAATGTATGATCGATTCCACACATGTATATAAATGAAGTAAAAAGTTGTGTGAGTAGTGACTTGACATGATTATGAGCAGCAATAGTTTGTGCTCGAAACGTGGTCATCAGTTAATATTACTGTATAACAACCACTGTGTGATTTATCAAAATAAAATCTCATCCATAATGGAGTTATCCACTATGTCCTCTTCATTACAATACTGCTTAACTGGCCCCACAATTGCCCATAAGCCGGTTCCATGTCACCCTCGGATCTACGCCCAACTCGTCGTTTCCCATTAAGGTTCTCGTCTAGCGATGACCTGTTGCACAGTGTCACTCGATAACCTCCTCAGAGTGTGTTCAATCCATCTCTACTCTCTTCGACATATTTATTGAGCAACAGGGTTCTTGATTGGATCGTTCGTTCACAAAGTGCCTTGTTTCGAATTCTTTCTGGTCAACCATCTCTTGTTCAATATAGAACCAGTGAAGGAAGCATCTGTTGATAAAAATCTGCAGTGGCCTATTGGAAGTGCTTTCGGTAACGCGTTCGCCAACTTTCTGACCCATATTGAGGTAGTGACTGACTTAAGATTGTTGTTTATGCTGAGGCGAAGTGCAGACGATTTCCCTACTGATTTCAGTGAGTGATGAAGGTGTGCGCCTTGCCTTTGTGATTCTGGCCTGCTTTGAAATCCTCATCCATGCTGTCCGTCTGTAGTTGAAACTATGCTGCATAGCTAGATAAGGAAGTGAAGGAAGTGACCTCTTTCAAATTTCTCCTGTTGATAGTGGTTGGTTGTTGTTGTTGCTATTGTTATTGGGGTGGTGGTGGTTAGTTGGTTTTCTTCATCATCTCTGCCTTCTCTATGCTCACTTGAAGTCCTGTCTCCGCTGTCTGCTTCTTCCGCCAGTTTGTTGGTTTTCTTCGAGCTCGTATTACATTAGACTTAAATCGTCCAGGCACACACACAAAAAAATAACTAACGTATCCTTTCTCCAGCTATTATCATAAAGATGTTTATATTTATTACGAAATATTTCAAACAGAATACCTAATAAGACCTAAGGAACAAATCCTAGGAACAGGGTTTTAGCCGTCTGGATAAAAAGTTGTCATTTAATCTCATCGTGGTATTCACCTATTCTCATGTGATCATTAACTTTGTCATTGTATAGTTACTTTCCAATGTCTTAAACTGTAGTATATTAAGACGTATTCAAAAGTGCTTTCCATCTGTCACCAAGCCAATGTAATAATATGTGTGTACGATTGAAAATAAACCCCTGCAAAGAGTCATTCTTCGCTGGATATACATACATACTACTTAACATATTTCTCAATCTGGAGAAGACTTAGTCATAGGACAAAGCTGCCGCCCATTGAGAAAATTATTATAGGAATTCAATTATGCCTTACATCTACCATCTTTAAATTCTAGAGTAAAATATATAAACAAACAGATAGTGTAGCGATGGGGTGGATCACCAATATCCCCTATCGTAGCAGATATCTTTATGGACAAGCTGGTAGGGAAAATATTGCTCTTAATACATTTAATCCCACTCCAAAAATAATATGGTGGAGATATGTGGATGACACTTTCACTCACAGTGTTAAAAATAGAACATATCTCTGGCTTCTTCACTCATATAAACTCACTAGTAGAGGGAATAAAATTCAGATTCGAATCGAAAAATGAACAAGGAGAATCAGCTATGTTAGATTGTAAAATAAAACGAACAGAAGAAGGTAAACTGCACACTGGCGTTTATAAAAAACCAACACATTCTAATAGATATTTAGACTTTAATTCATCGCATCCGTCGTAGTCTCTAAAGGAAGGCTTAGTTAAGTGTCTAACGAACCCAGCAATAGCACTAAGTAGTACAACAAAATACCTAAACGATGACATCAAATAGATTGAAGAGGCGTTGGTGTTAAATAACTAACTATCCTATAAAATTCATTAGGAAGACCAGAAATAGTCAAAAGCAAAATAAAAATAATGGTGAAACTAATAATGATAACATAAATAAGACAGAATATAAGTCATCTACTGTTATACCATATAAGGAGGGGACATCTGAGGCCCTACGTAGGATTATCAACCAAGCAGGAATTAGGATGGCATTCAAACCTACAAATTCACTCAGGCAGGGACAAGCTCTGTAGGCTAAAAGACCCGGCGGACCCAGTTAAACAAAATAATATAATTTACAAAATACCTTGCAATGACTGTGAGTTAAGTCAATTACATAGGTCAAACTAGTAGATCAGGGATAGTCAGATTATCAGAACATAAGAATTTAGCTAAGGGAAGAATGGTTGACTCCGCGAAGATAAGTAATTCAGAAAAAAGCTCAGTGATTGAACTGCATGCATTAACACACAACCACACAATAGGATGGAGAGGGTTAAAATTCTAAGAAGTAATCTATGCAGGTGGAGAGAGAGATTGATTACTGAATCCTGGTTCATCGAGTCTACACCCAACACATGCAACAGAAATGATTCAATGCAAATGCCAGAGATTTGGAAGATATTATCAGTCAAACCGGAGAATAATAAATAATGTTAAGATGTATTCAGTTCACATTATAACATTTCAACAAGTTACTTATTATGGCTATAAAACCACTCGTCTTATTTCCCATCTGATTGTACTTGATTGATAACACTCATATTATTATCTCTGAATGTACATTATCTTATATTGAATTTTATTCCAATATCTAATCGATTCTACACATGTATATAAATGAAGGAAAAAAGTTGTGTGAGTAACTTGATGTGATTATGAGTGGCAATAGTTTGTGCTCGAAACGTGGTCATCAGTTAATATTACTGTATAACAACACTGTGTGATTTATCAAAATAAAATCTTATCCATAATGGAGTTTTACTCTACCGCCACAGTGCCCAAGTTTTATACTTATATCAAGAAGAAGACATTTCGCTCTAATCTGTGTGTGTGTGTGTGTGTTGAGACAATGTCTGATTGTAAAGAGAGTACTGAAAAACTATGCTGTGCTAATTGAGAATAATAGTAATTATTAACGCATTTAACTGTGCAAGAGTTTATGGAGCTTTCGTCTGAAGTGACAACAACTACTGAAATACAACAAGAATGCTCACTATTCGTATTACACGCACACACAAACATATCAAATAGTGAATCTGTGTGACTTCAACACTTTAAGCTTCCATATGAAAACTAGAAAGACCTTGTTGAACTGAAGCAACTGAAGATGGCATGGTTGCTCAGTGTAAATACACAATGACAAATCAAAGTTTCCCAAACAATCTGTGTAAAACTTACGATCCATTTGTTATGTGTTCTGCCCCTGTCAAATGTAAGACGATGCTATAAAACTGATTCATACCGACTAGTAGGTACAAAAAAAGACTGAGAGTAAAACAGTCGGTGAATATGTTCACCATTTAACTTATTTAATAAGTTGCTTCAACTTTGATTCAGATAGGATAAATGACTACCCATTTAAAATGGGTGTTTAATGCATCAGTGAATCAATCTGCCCTACTTTATGGCTGACAAATGACCCCTGAAAGTGGGAGGCCCTCTTTTAATCGTTCACGTTAGACAGACCAACATATTGTGTGAAAGCCAGGGATACTAGGCAGTTTCCCGAGATGACGTAGATGGCTGAAAGCCGGCTGATTAAGCCAATGAAATGCATATCCAGTAGGATTAGCTTGTAAGAGAGTTAGTGGTGATCAGACTAAAATACAGCACCAATCAATGAAGACATTGACAACTGCTCCGAGTCAAATGTAGATCTCCTTGTTAGAGACATTGCGGTGCTAATATCCAACGATACTTGGAGACTCTTAATGAAATATGTAAAAAAAAGGATAATATTCCACAGTTTAAATATTTTTAATACACTTCACTAGACCAGTTTTCCCCCACACGTACTTTTCTACTGTGGTATCACTGTATTTCTCTTCTCTTATTTTATGTGCACTCTTTTGAAATGTGGCTAAAATTGAACGGATACAACACGTCTTTGTACAATTCCACGTTGATTCGTCACTGAATCATCTGTTCATATGATTACGCAATGCAATGGTTACTTTTATAATTTAGCTATCCAGACTTCTGAAGATGAAAGTAGATTAACACCGGTAGCATATTAAATTAACAATCTACTGTTTTCAGGAATTGGCTTTTCTAGGGATTCTTATATCTATTTCAGGTTAGACCACGGATTGATATCAGTTAGAGGATGGAGTTCCCGCCGATGAGATTGGTTGGTGCTAGTCGCGCTAAAATCACGAATTGGTAGAAGTTAGAATTCATGGACTGGCCATTGAAATCGGGTGGGTCCCGGTGCCTAAATAGTCTACGAGGTTGACTCGTAACCAGAAGGTCCTGGGTTCGAACCCTGTCAGTGGGTGAGTACTGCGGATGAGTCCGAAACTAGGATGAAGTAGCTGTTTAGTACTCTTTACTGGTTTTCAATGGTTCCCTAACTGATATCAATCCGTGTTCTAACCTGAATCTACTTTTTAAATCAATAGGCCATTATTTCTTATCATAAATCATGATGTGAAATAAGAAATACACCGAAAACCAACAATTCGGCAAAAAAGACAAACAGAGAAGACAGAAGACGGAATTGATGAAAATAACCAATCAACAACAAGAAGCACCAACCACAATCAACAGCGAAATTTTGAGAGAAGTCATTTCTTTAACATATCTAGCTGTGCAGCATCGTTTCAACTACAGGTGGACAGCATGGATGAGGATTTCAAAGCAGGCCAAAATCACAAAGGCAAGGCACGCCTTCATCACTCACTGAAATCAGTGTGGAAATCGTCTGCACTTCGCCTTAGCACAAACAATAAAATTTGGATTTTCAACACGAATGTTAAGTCAATCACTTCTTCTATATGTGTCGGAAGCTTGGCTCACGCATCACCAAAAGCATTTCCAACAGGCTAGTGTACACATTTATCAACAGCTACCTCGCCAGTCAGAAAGAATTACAAACAATAAACTTTGTGAACGAACTAACCAATCAAGAATCTATTGTTCAACAAATATGTCGAAGAGATTGGAGATGAATTGAACATACTCTGAGGAGACCATCGAATAACACCTTAATGGAAAGTGACAAGTTGGGCGTGAATCCGAGTTTGACATGGAAGAGCTCTATGCGCCATTGTGGTGCCAGCTAAGGTGGACCGCAGAGAGCAGGCTTAAATGGAGGTCAATCGCGAGCCTGAATAGCTCAGTGGTAACGTCTCTGACCTCGAGTTCGAATCTCAGAAGGGACATGAGTTCCTTCGAGGCAGTTGCAGATGCACCCTGCTGACGAGTGCCAACTAGCACGAAACCTAGGTCAGGCAAGGCTTCCTGTGGCCGATTGCCTCCAACTATCTAATATCATCAAATGGAGATGTTCTGTTGAAGCTGTATGTTCCACTTGGTACTCAAGGGAATAATAATAATAATTTTAACAATGATACCCAACTTATGAAGTCAGTAAGTAAGTCTGGATAGCATTCGTTATATTTTGCATTAATAGTTGTGTGTTTTTTTGATAGAATAATATTGTCAGCTTTTACTGGATGATTGTTTTATTCTGTTTTTAAAATCACTTGTTATTTGATAATTAGGCAATTGAACGACTCGCATCACCGCGACCGTATGAAATTCGTGCAGATGATCTCCTGGTTAATGAATCAATAGCTGGTAAAGATTGTACAAATCCATTGCCTTTATTTAATCGACCTAAAACTAGGTCGAATCAACGATCATATTCAGCCACCCAGTTGGTGCATACAAGGTATGATTATTTTTTTCTTATTTTTCCCGTTATATTTAAGTCTTTAACTGATTGTGAACTGCTTTTCTTGTTGGGTTTGAGATAACATTTTTACTTTCTACTGGGTTTTTTTCATTCCTTTGAGTTCCGAGTAGGATATAAGGCTTCATGCTTTAAACTTGGAATTTTCGGAGGTGTGTGGTTGGGGTTGCTGGCCTCATACCGGGAGACGAGGTTCAAGAGTGTTATCAGACAGGAATTGAATCCGGACTACGTGAGTGGTGTTTAGCCAGCATTCTACCTTTGAACCACTAAATCCCATTTCTTACTAATTGGTCTTGTCAAGCAACCTAGTTCAGTGGATGTCTTCGGTTCTTAGTGTAACAGAGGATATTAATTAAGAGTTTACCTGTATAGGAATTTCGCAGACAATGAAGCCAATATTGAAACTAGGAGTTCACGGGAAAGTTTTGTTATACTACTGTACTTGTATCTGTTTCTAGCTGTCAAATTAGTATCAGTCAAAAGGGTTTGTGAATTATTACGCAATCATTTCACTGAAAATGGGATTTAAAAATAAATGAATTTAGTTTATCAGAGACAGAAACGCTGGCAAGTGTCCAGTATTCATATATGAATATAATTTTCTCAATTGTTTTGCAGAGATACAATAGATTTTATAGACAGTTTCCTCTACTTAACTCTTGATTACTCTGTGATGAAAAAGTCCCGTGGCATTTATTTTTATGAGGAACATGCTTCCATCCAACCGACAGTGAGTAAACGCCGATCTCCGCTTCCAAAACTCTGTCATGTTGTAACAACAGAAGACAAGGGCCAGGCAACAGATCGTTTATTAAGGAAATCAACACATATTTATAGCTTTTCATGTACATTATTATAGATTATTGTTAGCAAAAAAACACAGTCTTCTGATTGGTTGTTTCTCACTGAAAGTTAATCTTTCATCTCTTTGTGGCTGTTTCTTGAATGTCAGATCATCTATATGCTAACTGTATCCGCCTACGCAAAGTCTTTGTTCTTATTTTTCTCACGACCAATATTGAGGACGTAAACATTGACGTAAATTACCATCTACCAATTTGGCTAGCAGCCAGCTCTCACCACAATGTGATCTCAGTAACTCCTATAACATCCACTGTTTACTGGCCCTAGAACAACTGGGTGGGAAAAAGAGGATGGGTAGTCAGCTTAAGACACGTAGTGCTTTGGTTTGATGAAGAATAGTTGTGTTCGGTTAGCCTGTGTTGATGCATCATGACTCCCAGAGTGACGTTTGGAAAACCATCTGAATCAGTGGTTTTAGTCGGGATGAAATATTTCTGGGATTTGAATGAGTTTCCTCCTCTTTTATCCTTCTGATAGCAGTGTGAAGTGATGAACGCTTCTCTGAATCCTCTTGATGAGTATGCTTACTTGATTTTCAGGATACACTATCCCTCATCAATTCTGTTTCTCCTGTTTCCTGTAACGCCAGTAGATGAGAGAATTGATAACGCACCTTTTTGAAGGAAAAACACATCATATTTATGCATTTTTAACCACTACATTAAAATTCGGCTAGGTCAGTGGACAATAAATCTTTCTGATTGGTTGGCGTTTGCCCCAAGGTTAAACAATGAGATGAAAAGTTGTCCAATGAGATTATTTCATATCCAAATCGTAAAGTAGATCCAGATTTGAGGAAGAAACACTTCTACCTCTTCAGCCATTGGCTTAAAATGTTGATTTCAATTTTGGCTGCTTCCTATTGAGATCTGCATGTATATACTACTTATAAATCTTGTCAATAGCTAACACGCCACATTCTTAATATATTTGTGTTATTTTTGTGTGGCGGTATCTCTTGGCACACATATATTCTATCTGCTTTTTGTCTCAAATAAATTATAAATGTCAATTAACGCGAATACCACCCATCATCATCATCCGTGAGTTCCTATCCTCATATCAGTTATGATTCATTACTCACAATAGAACTTTACATTAGAACCTCAAGGAATCTATCACTAAGCTGGTCATTAATATGTTAATTGTGTAGGTAAAGAGAATGTATTACTAATTTTATTGTTCTTATAGTTCAGTTATACTACTGATTATTGAAATTCTAATTAACTAAAATTAATATTTAGTGTGTTTATTTACTGTAACTTTTGTTTCTCCACTTTATACTTGGTACGGGATCACTGAGCTTTACTCTAAGAAGGCTGTTTTGTGTGTTATTACAGAAGCAAAACACTTTCTCCTTATCAATCTAGGTTGTGAGTGGAACACAGGTCTTCACCAGCACGTCTCCATTTTGTTCTGCCCTATGCAGTCCTCTTCAGCCGGTCCCACGATCGTCCATAAGCTTTCATCTCCTCCTCACACAGTCTCTTCCATGTCACTCCTGGGCACCCACCTCGTCTTATCCCACTCTGGTTCTACTCGAGGGCCTGGCGTGTGACATATTCGTCCATTCAATTGAACCTCAGCCATTTCGCCTTCAACGATCAATTTGTTTGTATGTGGTGATTGAATCATACTGCGGACAAAGGTGCGGTTGCTGTATTCTGGTGTGATTGTGTATCCCTGTATTGTCTTTATACTTGGACAGCCGTAAGTATTATATTCTCCCTTCACTAGTTGAGGCGGTGTAAATAGCAGCCTGATCACCAGGTTAGGTGGGCCTGGCTAAAGAGTCAGCAGGTAGTGTGGCCAAAGCGTAGGTCTAGCAGGATAGATAGTCACAACAATAATCATGAGTGTTATTTCTAGTTGAAGCCAATGGGAAAATGAGGTATAAGTTGTTCGAGCAGCCTAACTAACTGCCTTCCTATAATAGCTGAGCCCAACGTGATTCGAACACGTGGCCAAGTTAAACTTTAAGCACCAATAATTACCAGGGAATGACCTCGAATGGTCCACTGAAGTTCATACACGTGAGTTCAGGATTGTATAGCTCTTGATTCGTTTCAAATGCGTGCTCTAACGAACTTACGCTTGCAGTTCAAGGAGGATAAGATTTCGCAGTATTGTCTGGATTCGGGGTTGCTTAAGAAGGAGAGGATTTATTCATGTGGAGGTGTCATGAGTTTAAAAAGCTTTAGCAGGTCGATTGATGGATATGTCCATCGTTGTGCAATTTGTTTGAGACGAGTTAATATTAGGAAAGGTAAGCTGATGCCCTTATTATTTCGTAGGAACATTTTTTGCTAGGTCGCATCTCTCCCTAACCCACTATTTGTATATTTGTAATTACAACCGTGGTCGTGAGCGAGCTAACAATGTTTGGGTGATCGGTTTATATAACACTTCCCTACGGAAAAGATTCGTGGAGAAAATACCAGACAGAAAGCCAACTACTTTAATACCTACTATTGCTAGACTTGTGAAACAGGGATCCATTGTACATACTGATGAATGGAAAGGTTATAACTCGCTGTCATCTCTTGGATATATTCATCACAGAGTGAACCATTCCAGTGATTTTGTGGATCCCATTACAGGGACACACACAAATTCTATAGAAGGATTTTGGGGAAGATTAAAAAATAGGATTAGGGCTATAAATGGATCTCAAAAGGGTGTCATTTATAGTCATTTGGATGAATATATGTACAGAATGTGGTGTAACTTTTCTATTGACACTCCTATGCTAAACTGGGAGATGTTTCTGTCACATGTTAGAGAAAGATACCCTATGTAATAGTTTTATGCAGTTTTTATGCTGCTTTTTTTCATAAATATACGTTTTCCATAATCAAAAATCCCTCTTTCACGTGATTGGTTCGTTGAAGGTCGTTCGCTGATTGGTAGTTAGTGGTGCTTAAAGTTTAACTTTGCCGAACACGCAATGTGATCTAAACGCCACAGATAACCAAATTGATTTTTCAAGGTGAAATGCCTAAGGTTCAATTGAATAAACGAATTTCTTTGCTCTTCTACACTATCACTAATCTTTTAATTAAGTCTGAAAGTTATACGAGAACTTTGACTCTGAAACTGATAAACTTAAATCGTCTTTTTTATGTTACTCGATGTTTGTTCTGGTTCCTTCATAAGCCCACCAAGTCAGACAGCGATATATATATATATATATATATATATATATATATCTACATAACCAACCAACAACAACAGCAGCAGCAACATCCAGCGCCAATCACCATCAACGGGAGGGATTTGAAAGAGGTTACTTCTTTCACTTATCTAGGGAGCATTGACTCAACTACAGGAGGAACGGACGAGAATGTCAAATCGAGAATCGGGAAGGCGAGAAACACATTCATCAGCCTGAAACCAATTTGGAAGTCTTCGTCAATCAGCATCAACAACAAAGTGATTCGGATTTTCAATACAAACGTCAAGTCAGTTCTTCTATACGTACGGATCAGAAAATTGGCGGGTCACAAAGAATATTTCCAACAGCCTGTTGCAGACCTATATCAACAGCTGTCTTCGCTCTATACTGAAGATCAGATGGCCGGAAAGAACAAGAACCAACAAGAAACTATGGGAAGAAACAAAACAAGAACCAATCGCCCAACAAATATGCAGAAGAACGTGGAGATGGATTGGACACTCGCTGAGGAGGCCGTTGGGTGACATCGTGCGTCAGGCCAGTGCTCGAGTGGGACCCGAAAGGGAAGCGGCGAGTGGGACGTCCGAGGGTGACATGGAGGAGATAGTGTGAAGAGGAGTTGAAACAGTATGGACTAACATGGATGCAGGTGAAAAGTACAGCAGAAGACAGAAGCAAGTGGAGACGTGCAGTTGAAGCCCTTTGTTTCACTAGGAACCCAAGGGAACAATAATATAATAATAATATATATATCGCTAATTGGCAGAAGTTGGAATTCACGAGCTGGCCATTGGATCAGCTGCCAGTGCCTTGATGGCCTATAAGCTCGCCTTGTGACCTGAAGTTCCTGGATTCGAACCCTTGTGGTGGATGCGTGCTGCCGAAGAGCCCCAAAGAAGGAGGACGAAACAGCTGGCCAATACTCTGTGATGCTTTCCACTGGTTGGTTCTCTAACTGATGTCAACTCGTGATAAATAATCCTGTAACCAATCAAATAAATCGTTGTAAAATAAACCCAAAAACAAAGATAGGTGGCATACTACTTTCTGCTGATGAAATCAGCTGACTTACTTTTAACCGTCGTATGCCTAAATAACTGACTGATACGCCCAACTTTTTGTTTATTATATAAAACATTATAAATTTTTCAATTTCTATTCAGTGAACTATCTTCTAGTAATCAGAACAAACATCCAGAAAAACGTAATATTCGATGTCGTGCCAGTTGGTTTCCTGTTAGGTATATTATATCACATTCTAATACCCCAATATATGGATTATTGGTTTTTTTTAACGGGGTGTATGCGTGTGTGTGTTTGTCTTATGCAGAGTAACCCATTCACATGCGCACATATATCCATTTATGTATGTATGTATGTATCTGTGAGCATATATATCAACTAACCCAATTTTTTTCTTTTTTCGTTGAACGATTTTATTTCCTTTTTATGGGTTTTAATGATAAATAAACTTTGGGGAATATATATATATTTGTGAATCATAGTTTAACGGGAGAAGACACGAGATTTGGTAACGGAATGTTTATTTGGAATTTGGTATCTCTATATATACAGCCCCAACGGGTTGATCTCTGACGAAATCTCAGCACGGATACAGAGGGCTAGTTTCGCATATGCCAGTTTACGCCGTCTCTGGTGTAGACGTGATATCCGGCTGGCTGTCGAGCAAAGGGCGTGTGTACTGCTCATCAGTTCGCTCTGTCCTCCTTTATGGCTGTGAGGCCTGGTCATTGAGATGGAAGACATGAAAAGCGGACTATCTGTCTTTGATCATAGGTGTCTGCGTTCTATCTCCCGTGTGAAGTGGTATAATAGGGTGAGCAATATTGACGTTAGGCTCCGGTCGAGTGCTAGGTAAGGAGGGGAAATCAATCGACGAGGCTGTGAAATTACATCGACTGAGATGGTTAGGACATGTGTTACGTATGCATGCCTAGTCATCGCCTTCCTCGACGGGCAATGTTAGCTGACATAGGGTCAGGCTGGAAAAGAGCTAGCGGCGGTCAAACGAAAACATGGCACCAGTCAATGAAATCCACAACAGTTAGTCTAAGCCACGTAGGAAGGTGTAGACTTCCTGGTTGGGGTCCTCGGGACGGTAAAAACCAATGGTTGGAAACAATTGGTGATATGGCTCAAAATCGTTCTCAGTGGCGCAGATGCATCCACTCCTTGTGACTTATGATTTCCAATGAAACTATATTGTTCTTCGTTATTAGTATTCCTTTGTCTCACACCTCTGTTTACTGTCTATATTATGCATTTCTCCTACTTTCTTCTCTTGCTTTGTGTGCTACATGGAGGGAGTGTGGCGACTTGAACTGCCGCACATATGTGCAAAGTTCTATGTCGAAAACCGACCGACCGACCGATCTCTATATATAGCGAAATTATATACACCTTATCTGAAAATCGTCATTTGCACAGATCTTCCGTGTTGTTCTACTTCTGCTCTTCGTATTGTGTTTCTTTATCTTCTTTTCGTGTCTCCCATGTCTTTTCGCAATACTGATTCATTTGCTCTCTTTGACGTCAAATCTATCTTGCCACTATTTGATATTCGTGTACCGATGAACGTCTCTTAAAATATACTACTGACAAACCTTGTCAGTAGTTCATGTGTCTTTAAATCGACCATTTCTTCATTTAATGATTTTTGTAAATAAAGACAACAGATTAGTGTATCTTTTGAGCATTTGTCATAGAAAATGAATAGCTCCCTTACGTTTGTTTTACAACCTCAAAGTTATACTTTATAAACTTTTGGTACATTAAATGATGGGCATCAAGTGATGCGCTACACAAAATCGCATAGTTCGCTCTAGGACTGGGATATTGCCCGAACGCCTAAACAGAAACTGGTGGGTTGTTTTTAGTGGCCACCTCCTCCCGAAACTTTGACTTGAAGCCTTATCCACAAAGCTGTGGAGCTACGTTCTTAAAACAGGTTTATATACCATTCGATCCTGTCGGATTCTGGAGTTTGTATAGTTCCGGAATCAGGGTTTTCCTGCTCCCCAATGGTGGCCATGCATGTCCATCAGTTCGATTTTATTCGCTAGACATTCGAATTCGCCCTTTTACTCCGGTCGCATGAGGCAGTAAATAGAAATCACCTGGCTGGTGGGGCCTATGAATGTATTGCCACATAAGGGAATTTTAGAAAGGAACAGGTCGTAGTTGCACACCACTCATATCAGCCAGTAGTGCTTGCTGGCCAGCCATATCGAGGTGATCTAAACACCGGACCATTTACCATTTATGGTATCAATCAGATCACATGTTGTGATGATCGGAATAACTTGGTTTCCAGAGGAAACTACCGTGAAATTTCACCACCCGAACTGTGTAAATTGCTTAGTAACTTGTAAATTGTGAATTTTATTTATGGTATGACCAGTTCGACTCAGTAGCTAACCAGAAATCGAATGGCTTGAACCGATCTGGCTCTCTGACTGAGCTTGGTCACACCGGGTACACTGCTGATGAGCTCGGCTCAAAACGAGCGAAACGGCCGCCCGGTGTTTGCATCACTTCGATATGGCTAGCAAACATTACTGTTTGTTGTGAGTGATACACAACTACTCATCTGAATCAATCAGTAGTATGTAGTTTTCTTCATTTTTGTCACACCTTGGATAAAAGGTATCCTGTATAACAGTTTCATGCCTTTTTAATCATTATTTTTATGAATACATGTGTATTTTATGCGTAAACATCGTCTTTTTTCATGTGATTGGTGCGTTCAAGGTCATTTTTCCGTTGCTACATTTTAGCGCTTAAAGTTTAACTTCAACTTCTTATAAATATGGAATTTTCATCTGCATTCACTTAACTGATATTTTTAAAAGATATCCCAGGAAAATATGTTCTTATTTTAATGTATCCCTCAGGTGTATTTTACATTGAATTGATGAGTCACATTTTGCCCGATCTGTTGTACCCTACTGGTCACGACTTCCCACTAGAACTCAGATAACCACCTACCTGAATAGGGCCAGTCACTGATGAGCATCTCATTGATATTCAATTGTTGGTTTGCAGGGATTCGATTGGTTTAAGGATACAAGCTTAGCTTTCTAAATAACCTACAAATTTAATCAATGCATTTCCAAGCAAAATCTTTCAAAATACGGGTTGTGCTAACGCTGACGATGAATATAGCTTCCGTTTTGTTTGTTTTTTTTCTTTTTTTGTGGTGTATTTCTCTCTTCAATTAATCCCTTACACCTTTCTAAGTTTAATGAACAACAGCAACAACAACACGGTAATGGCATTAATTAATTGATTTAAACACTGTATTTCATTTGGTTGACTACATTTCACATGGATGGGTTGTTTTTTTGTTTTTGTTTGTTTTTTTCATGGTTTGGGGCAAATGTATCTATCTATCTATCAATTAAATGATAAAGTGTTAACCATCATAAGGAAAGCAATTACTTAACATTTATTTTTATTATTTTTTGTTTTGTTTTTGACTTTACTTTCCAACTAACGTATTCTCTCTCCTTTTTTCTCTCTCTCTCACAGTCTTCATTCTGAAAGGTATTCTGTTGTTCCTTATTGTCTTTATTTGTTTTTTCTGTTTGTTATGGTTTAGTTCACCGACTCAGCATACTTCTCCTTCAATAATTGACGATGATGAATCAATTAGTTTACGGACAACGCGTAAACACTGTTTCATTGATGATGACATGAGTGCTAATCATCCTCCTCCACGTTGCAGTGTTCATCACCATCATCATCACCAATGTCAACAACAGTCATCACATCAACTGAATACTTCTAGAACTCTACGTGCATCTGTAAGTTTCTTTCTTGTTTTGAGTTTTGACTTTCTATTTTTACATTCCATGATAACAAATAAAGAGACAATAAGGAAATGTTAATTTTCAATAGTTGGTTTGTAAGGATTAGATTTGTTTGCACGAGTTGACCACGGATTGATATCAGTTAGAGAACCATTGAAAACCAGTCACAGGGAGTACTGGACAGCTGTTTCATCCTAGTTTCGGAATCATCGGCAGTACGCACCCACCACAGTGGGGTTCGAACCCAGGACCTTCCGGTTACAAGGCAAGCTAGCTTGTATACCATTCAGCCACTGGGACCCACCCGACTCAATGGCCAGTCCATGAATTCTAACTTCTACCAATTCGTGATTTAGCGCGACTAGCACCAACCAATGTCATTGGTGGGACATCCATCCTCACACTTGACTGGACGGACCTCACTGGTCACGACTTCTCACTAGAACTCCAGGAAACTCCGTCCTGTAGCAAGTCACTAGCGAGCACTAGATTAATTTTCAATAGTTGATTTAAGTAGCATAAAAATTCCCATTGAGTCATATGAAAAAGAGAAGACGTTCAGCCAAGAGACTCTTTTCGGCGAATTCATTCACATAGCTGTACAATCGTATTCATATATAACTATTTTGTGTGTATGTGTGTGTATACATGAGGTTTGTCAAGTTTAGATAATTGATCAGGTAATACAAGAATGATCTAATATAGAAACAAGGTTAATTAGACAGCAACTAAAGTAAGATTGAGTTAGTAAGTTAGATGACGTAATATAATTGTACGAGTCACACTTCTTCAAACTGCAGAAGCAATGGCAATTCAAGTATTGGTTTTGTAGGGGTTTTTGTTTGATTGCATGGAGGATTTCATCATGAGCTGACATCAGTTTTCCAGTGGTTCTCTAACTGATGTCAGCTCATGATGAAATCCTCCATGCAATGGCAATTCACTTGCTAAGCCCTGAACTCTGCATACAGAAGTTCGTTCAATCACTACACTTGCAATAGACGTAGACTGTCTTAATACCCGACAGGTAAATTCTATCTCTTTCTTTCTGTCTTTTCATTAGTATTATTTTGTCTTTTCAATTGTAATATTTTACACTTTCAACCTTCCTGTTGTCTACCCTCACCCAATTTAATTTCTACACCTCACTACCACTGTTACTGGCTTGACTAACGCTCAATTTCTAGTCATTTATGTTACGTCATCCAACTTATTTGCTCAACTTCAATTCTAATTTAAATGGCATTATTCTCTACCCCATTTCTACTTAGTCTCTTCCTGTAATTACCTCTGTTGCTACCCTGACCTAAGTTGAAACATTTTAGTCAATTATATTGCGTCATCTAACTTACTAACTCAATCTTACTTTAGTTGCTGTCTAATTAACCTTGTTTCTATATTAGATCATTCTTGTATTACCTGATCAATTATCTAAACTTGACAAACCTCATGTATACACACACATACACACAAAATAGTTATATATGAATACGATTGTTTACGTTTATAATAGTGCTATTGCTCCAGACATGTCATCAGTACACGTCATGAAGTGGACATCACGAAGTCCTTTAAAATTATCAATAGACAAAATAGTTCAATTCTCGCCAAGTTTGTTGAAACGATTGCAACTATAAACGTCTGAAACCCGATATGTATGTGTTCAGAAAGAATCAGTTGTCAGTCCTTCTTTTCCCTCGTAACCACTTGTCTTTGTTATCTCTTTCATTTGATTACGAAATCTTTGTCACTGACACCTCCCCAGTTTTCTGTCACTAACTGACATTATGTAACACTCGCAAGTACATTGAAGTTGTTCTGTACATAAACTTAATGATTTCTTTAGCCTGTAATCAACTGATGACAAGCTTATGAAATAAAAGATGATACCATCTTATTCTGTACCAACTGCTGATTTGCGATATTCAGCACCACCACCAGCCAGTGACTTCCTCTAACTGATATCAATCTGTGATCAAACTTGAGACTAATTAAATCCCTACAAAGTAACATTTGCAAAATGGGGGTTACTCAGCAATCACTTGCAATTCGACGTGATTGAAAAAGAGCCACATTTATTATGGTTGAGGGCTATTGATACTACCTGTCTGATCAAACCTGGGTAGATAGATGGAGAGGATAATAGAGAAGATTTGTAGCTCAGGTGGATGATTTGCAATTAATAGTGTTCTCTGAGCTGGTTGGTTTGGTTGCGGAGCTAGAATACTGAAACCGTTTGATATAGATGTAGCACACAAGCCAGTCAAATCGCTTAATTCGATATTATGCAAACCGAAAGATCCAACAGAAAAAGGAGATAAAATTAATACCATTTACAAAATAAATTGTATGAACTGCAACAAGCATTACGTCGGCCAAAGTTGGCGTGAAAAGACACGATATATATTCTTTAGTATCAATGCATATAGACAATTATGGACATCAATTTGATTGGGAAAATGTCGAAATCTTAGACAGAGGAAACACCAAAAGTGCCAGGGAATTCCTAGAAGCCTGGTACTCAAACGAATATGCAATCAAAATGATCAATACATATGTAAAGATGGTTACCAGGAGACGCAATTATATCACTCGTAAAGAAATTTAAATCATTTCACTTTATGCTAAATATTGCGCTGAATGGGGATGTTGTCCAGAAGGACGACGAAAGCTCCGCAACCAAACCAACCAGCTCAGAGAACACTATTAATTGCAGATGGAGAGGGTTTCGAACCCTTCACCTACTGATTGGTGCACTAATGGAGTCAACCAGTGAGACGGGATATGTATATATATATATATATATATATATATATATAATTCAGTAACCTCAAGTGGGTTGGTTCACTACATAGTCTAGTACGCTTATCTTGTCAGTGATAATAATACTAACTGACTACCTCAGTCTTTGACAGATGGAATCTTAACATGTGACTGGTTGAAAGTCGCCTGCTAAATGCATATATCCTTAACATTACTGCATGTAAGATGAATTCCATTCCCATCCTTAAATCAAGTCAACCTGTCCCGTGATCATCGATTAAACTTTCCAGTACTTTCGATGCCACTAGGAGTAGTGCTACTGATTTATAACTGGTGGTATTTTGCCTATTCCCACTGTAAGCGCAATATCGCTTGAAATTAAGTCACGCGTAGATAAAGGCTATCCCGGTCCAGAACAAACAAGAAGCCGGTCACTGTTTCTACGGTACTATTAATAAACAAATCAATTAATATATATACAACAAACCTTAACGGTTTCAAGAGTACAATACACAATGCTTAACAGAAAGCAAGGAACCGCTATCAGAGCGGAATAACGTTAAAGCCAAAATTACGAACTAGCCGGATCAGACACGACCGTTCAGGTAAGCAGTCAGTAGAAGAATGAACCCAAGTAAGAGATAGACAAAGCATAGGCACAAAGATAGAATTTAATTGGCTACTTAACCAATCAATAAATAAGATAAACTCAACAGAATAATACAAAGTAAGACATGGGGCAGCAAAATAACAGTTCACAAAAATACTCTGATTGGGTCATGAGTTCAACTGTCTGACTAAAAGGATCGAAGTAAAAACACACATACACAGTTAATTAAACAAGGTGGGATAGACACGTTGGGCATGGATAATTGTGTTGCAACAATGCTAGGCTGATCCGGGACAGGTTGACTTGATTTAAGGATGGGAATGGAATTCATCTTACACTGCATCTGACAAATCATACTGGGGTGTAAAGGGGTGTTATTCGTATGTGCTTGTGTATGTGTCTCTGTATTATGTTTTTCTTTTCCTATTTACATTTTAGGTGGATTTCACTTCAAAGGTATCATTGATGTCACTGTCATCTTCATCCTATCAAGGTTAGTTCCTTATGATTAGATGCTGTTAGATTAATAAGAGATTATATGCATATCATATGTAGAACACGTAATTGCCTTGAGTTATGATACTTTTTTTAAAACAGTTAGTCCCTTTTATAAATTTTGATAGCATTATTAGAAGACGGAGATTATCTGAAAAATGTGATGTATTAGCGCTATACATTTCGAACAATCTGATCACACATTTACTTGTCGAGTCAATATATATGGAAAAGTTAAATTAAACAAGGTGACACCTTGTTTAATTTAACTTTTCCATATATATTGACTCGACAAGTAAATGTGTGATCAGATTGTTCGAAATGTATAGCGCTAATACATCACATTTTTCAGATACTTTTTTTAAAGAATAATTGATCTTAGATATGGAAATCCCGATCCGATAATTTAAAGTTGTGTTTACTCTCAAAGGAATAAGTATTTGTGGAGTCCTGTCGTGTGTTGGCGGTTTAGTGAGTGGTAGAATGTTCGCCAACCACGCCTCACGTGGTCCGAAGTTCGATCCCTAGCCGACGCACTCCTAAACCTTGCTTAGATGGTAGTGATGTAACAACAGAAGACAAGGGCCAGGCAACAGATCCTTTATTGAGGAAATCAAAAGATATTTATAGATTTTTATGTACATTAGTATTCGTTATTACTAGCAGAGAAGCAGCGTCTTCTGATTGGTCGTTTTCTCACTGAAAGTTATTTGGTCATCTCTTTGTGGCCGTTTCTTTGAAGGTCAGACCATATATCTGCTAATCGTATCCGCCCACGCAAAGTCTGCTGTGATTGGTTGTTGAGTTAGTCTTTGTTCTTGTTTTTTTTCTCATGACCAAGATTTGGGATGTAAACATTGACGTAAATTGCTGTCTACCAATTTTGGCTAGCAGACAGCTCTCACCACAGTAAGACTGACAAAGAGGGAAGGTTGGGCATGAGGCTAATAATCCCACCCTGTAAAAGCCAAAATCACTGCTATTGAAACTTTAAGGCTGAAGCTTGAATCACTATGTTCCACTCAGAACGCAAAGGAATTAAATAAATAAATAAATAAACAGATAATGAAGAGTTGTATCTAAACAAAATTTAAATATTCAAGTATTGGTTTTTGTAGGGATTTAGTTTGATTGGTTACAGGATTTCATCATGAACTGACATTAGTTAGAGAACCATTGGAAAAAAAGCTGGGAGTACTGGACAACTGTTTCCTCTGTCCTAGTTTGGGACTCTTCAGCAGCACGCACCCACTATCTGGGGTCGAACCCAGGACCTTCTGGTTATGAGGCGAGCTAGCTCGTAGACCATTCAGTCACTGGGACCCGATCCAATGGCCAGCCCATGAATTCTAACTTCTAACTAAATCCCTACAAAAACCAATACTTGAAAATTAATCTGATGCTCACTAGCGACTGGCCCTATTCAGGTAGTTGGAAGCCGTGACCAGTAGGGTACAGCAGGTTGAAGGTGAGGCAGTAACTCATCGAAGAAGACATTGGCTAGTGGTCGCGCTATGTCGCGAATTGGCAGAAGTTAGAATTCATGTGCTGGCCATTGGATCGGGTGGGTCCCAGTGGCTTAATGGTCTACGAGCTAGCTCGCCTTGTAACCAGAAGGTCCCCATTTAGGGTGTGTGCGTACTGTGAAGAGTCCCAAACTAGGACGAAACGGTTTTCCAGTACTCCCAGCTGGTTTTCCAATGGTTCTCTAGCTGATGTCAGTTCATGATGAAATCCTCCAACCAAAATTTAAATACTTCAGTACTTTTTGTTTGTGACTACTTCTAATGTTAGTTTGTTTGGTAGTATTGTAACGACAGAAGACAAGGGCCAGGCAACAGATCGTTTATTGAGAAAATCAAGAAGTATTTATAGATTTTTATGTACATTATTATTATTATTAGCGTTATTGTTAACGGCGAAGCACCCTCTTCTGATTGATTGTTTTCTTGCTCAAGGTTATTCTGTTATCTCTTTGTGGCTGTTTCTCAAAAAATCAAGCCATAATATATATCTGTGAGTCATATTTCCACACTTTAACTCCGCTATGATTGGTTGGTGATTTTCTCAAGGTTAAGCTTTGTTATTGGTTTTTTTTCTCATGACCCTGATTCGGGATACGTGAACATTGACATAAATTGTTGTCTACAATTTTGGCTTGTTCGCAGCCAGCTCTCACCACAGTATCTGCTGCATAGTTAATTCTTTAAATGTATCACTTTATTTCATATGTAATACTTGGTCGTGGTAATTCTAGTAAGTTTGGTGGATTAATGGATGGAACTGCAATACAACACCATACGAAGATGGCCTGATATTTATCCGTAGTGTAACAGTAGAAGACAAAAGACTTGGTATCGGAATACTGATTTAGAATTTGGAAATCGCTATATGGAGAAATTATGTACACCTCACCTCTGCGAATCGTCATTTGTACAGATCTTCCGTGTTGTGCTATTTCTGCCCTTCCTTCGTATTGTGTTTCTTTGTCGTCTTTTCGTGTCTGCCATGTTTTGCCGCAATACTCTGGTTTATTTCCCCTCCGCTATTTGATATTTCTATGTCTATATACCGCTGATTAATTTTATCAGTAGTACACTTGTATAATATCTCGTTTGTTTTGACGCTACTTAATGGTAAGAAAAATAAGCTTCACGTTCATATACAAAGATTTGGGAGCTCTATTACACTAAGATATACAAGCTCTCTCTTTTATCCCTACCTACGGTTGACGTGGAAAGTATATGTGAAGACCTTACAACTTTTGAAGTGCAGACGTAATAGAACCACAATGTGAGCAATTCTGGGTGTGGTTCGGACGATGACATGGAGGCGATCGTGGAGAGATCAGAGACTAGGGACGACAGTAGGGCTAGCCTAAAAGGACCGCAGAAAATAGGACAAAGTGGACACGTACTGTTCAAACCCTATATTCCACTCGGAACTCAATGATCTCTCTTTAATCCCCGTATACGGTTTTGAGATAAAGTTGTTGACGTGGAAAAGATACAAAGACGTTACAACTTCTGGATGTAATAGAACCATAGTGTGAACAATTTTCAAATTACCTTCCAAGTGTTGAACGAAACGGATGAGTTTATCTTTGATGATGTGACTATTATCCACCAATTAGAATGGCTGAAAATTTCGTTACACTTATCGATCCACCCTATTCATGAACAGACAATCTCAATCGAATTAGGATTGCTTTGAAAGTAAAATAATAATGGCTAAATTTAAACATAATATCATTGCATGAATGGTAGTCAAACCTCTACCTCAACTTCATCGACTTCGAAAAGCCCTTCGACGGCGCTGACCGAGAAGATATTTGGAAGCTACTTTCAACACTATGGCGTGCAGTGCCCAAATCTTTATCAACTTCATTCAACAGCTATATGACAACACCACGTGTCAGATGATCCACAACGGAAAAAGCCTTTGAAGTGAATACAGAAGTAAGACAAGACTGTCTGTCTACTATTACCAATGATATTCCTGATTGTGGTGGACTGGATTATGCGTCAGACTGTGGGGAGTGAGGAGACAGGAATACGCTGGACCACCGATAAGAAGACTCTAGGAGATCTGGATTTCACGGATGATATATGTCTAATGTTACACAAACTCGGCGAAAACCAACAAACTGACTGAAGAGGCTGGCAAGCAGCAAAGACAGGGCTGCAGGTGAACATAGAGAAGACGGAGGTGATGAAGATTACCAACCAACACCAACAGTAACAACAACCAGCACCAATTACCATCAACGGGAGAGATTCGACAGAAGTTACTTCCTTCACTTATCTTAGGAAGCACTGTTTCAACCACAGGGGGGAACGGATGAAGATGTCAAAGCCGGCCAGCCAGCCAGAATCGAAAAGGCAAGATACGCCTTCATCAACCTGAAGCCAGTTTGGAAATCTTTTACACCCAGCCAGCATAAAGAAGAAGATTCGGATTTTCAACGCCAGTGCCAAGTCAGTCAGTGTTTCTATGTGGCTCAGAAACTTGGCGAACGCGTCACGAAAAACATTTACAAACAAAATAATCGAGCAAAGAATATTCTTTTCGATAAATTCCTCTTCCAGGCTCTACAATTATATATATGTTTTTATACACAGAATATTTTAAATTAGTAGTTATTAACAATATTAGCGTTTTTTCAAATAATATCGATTTGTAAAGTATGATCAATGCTATTGCAGTTCATTAATGATGCTTAAATTATAATAATAATAAAGATATAACAGCGGATAGAATATCAACTAAAATTAGGGAAATTTCACAAAATTCTGGATTATTCAAACCTGGATGGCCAAGGTAATGATAATGACTGGACTAACTTCTTCTGGGTGCATAAATTAGGCTTATTAATATGAATCCCCACAGCCTCCGCAATATTTAGAAGTCGAACTCTTAAAGCGAAATTGAGATTCATAGGTATGCGGTAAATGACCCTGAAGGCATGATTAACGTCAATCTTGTGTTCTGTCTCCACAAGATGCGCCAGAATAGCACTGCGAATAGATTTTGTTTGACCTTTGCTTAACCAGGCAGGGTGATGTTCGGAAATTCGACGAGAAACACGCCTAATTGTACGGCCTATGTAACTGGCTCCACAGGAGCAGTTAAATTGGTAGATACACATGGAAGAGGCGAAATTAGGCAGTTTGTCTTTTATTCCCGAACGCAGAAGAGGAGTGGTTTTGAAGATACAGCGCAATTGAGCAGCAGGGAATGTTCTTTTTACCGCATTTCTGAGGCGATGTGTTAGTATTTCACTTGTGTTGTCTCCTAGGAACTGCATCTGCAAGAACAAGGATTTCTTTGGAACTGTTGGTACCTTGGATTGTTTTGGTTTTAGATTCATATTCCTATCAATAAACTTTTCCGGATAACCATTCTCACTTAGCAAACGTTTAATATTGTTGAGCTCCTCGTCAAGACATTCATCCGAGCAAATCTCTCTTGCTCTGTGGACCAGGCACTTTATCAGATTGCGTTTGTATTTCAAGGGCACAAAGCTGAGAAAATGTGTGTACTGGCCGGTTGATGTAGGTTTCCTATAAACATTTCTTCGTATTGTGCCATCCTCTTTTCTGGTCATAAGGACGTCTAGAAATGAAATACTAGAGTCTTTTTCTTTCTCAATAGTAAAATTTATTGCAGGATGTACCTCATTAAATTTATCCAGGATGTCCTTTGCCTCATTTTCGTTCTTCATAATCAAAAAAGTATCATCCATGTATCGACAATAAAATTCGAGTTCATTAATAACATCTTTCAAAGGCCCATTTTCTAGTTTCGCCAGGAAAATGTCGGCTAGAATGGGTCCTAGTGGCGACCCCATTGCCACACCGTCGATTTGTCTATACAGTTCCTTATTAAATAAAAAGTGGACATTCATTGTACATTTCAAGAGAAGCTCCTTCATGAAAGCTATAGGAATGCCAATCTCGATGTTTCGTCTTTTGAGTTCTTCACATATAAAGTCCACTGTTTCCATGAGAGGTACATTGGTGAATAAAGAAGATACGTCAAATGATATCATAAATTTGTTATCAACATTTAAATCTCTTATCCTTTCAACGAATCCAAATGTATCCTTTACACTATGTTTCACCAACTCAGTATGAAGGGGCTGTAAGAGTTCAACTAACCATTTGGCTACCGGATGGTATGGTGAATTTAGCATATCTCTTCTCTGGATCCGGTTGAAAAGATAGAGATGCAGTTGGCGGAAACACTGAAAAGACTGAAACAACAAGGCTTCATCTCACAGAGTCAGTACACGTCACTTAAACCCACCGGAACGTTCACACCAAGACTATATGGCTCGCCTAAAGTGCACAAAAATGGTGTACCGCTACGACCAGTATTAGATATGCTAAATTCACCATACCATCCGGTAGCCAAATGGTTAGTTGAACTCTTACAGCCCCTTCATACTGAGTTGGTGAAACATAGTGTAAAGGATACATTTGGATTCGTTGAAAGGATAAGAGATTTAAATGTTGATAACAAATTTATGATATCATTTGACGTATCTTCTTTATTCACCAATGTACCTCTCATGGAAACAGTGGACTTTATATGTGAAGAACTCAAAAGACGAAACATCGAGATTGGCATTCCTATAGCTTTCATGAAGGAGCTTCTCTTGAAATGTACAATGAATGTCCACTTTTTATTTAATAAGGAACTGTATAGACAAATCGACGGTGTGGCAATGGGGTCGCCACTAGGACCCATTCTAGCCGACATTTTCCTGGCGAAACTAGAAAATGGGCCTTTGAAAGATGTTATTAATGAACTCGAATTTTATTGTCGATACATGGATGATACTTTTTTGATTATGAAGAACGAAAATGAGGCAAAGGACATCCTGGATAAATTTAATGAGGTACATCCTGCAATAAATTTTACTATTGAGAAAGAAAAAGACTCTAGTATTTCATTTCTAGACGTCCTTATGACCAGAAAAGAGGATGGCACAATACGAAGAAATGTTTATAGGAAACCTACATCAACCGGCCAGTACACACATTTTCTCAGCTTTGTGCCCTTGAAATACAAACGCAATCTGATAAAGTGCCTGGTCCACAGAGCAAGAGAGATTTGCTCGGATGAATGTCTTGACGAGGAGCTCAACAATATTAAACGTTTGCTAAGTGAGAATGGTTATCCGGAAAAGTTTATTGATAGGAATATGAATCTAAAACCAAAACAATCCAAGGTACCAACAGTTCCAAAGAAATCCTTGTTCTTGCAGATGCAGTTCCTAGGAGACAACACAAGTGAAATACTAACACATCGCCTCAGAAATGCGGTAAAAAGAACATTCCCTGCTGCTCAATTGCGCTGTATCTTCAAAACCACTCCTCTTCTGCGTTCGGGAATAAAAGACAAACTGCCTAATTTCGCCTCTTCCATGTGTATCTACCAATTTAACTGCTCCTGTGGAGCCAGTTACATAGGCCGTACAATTAGGCGTGTTTCTCGTCGAATTTCCGAACATCACCCTGCCTGGTTAAGCAAAGGTCAAACAAAATCTATTCGCAGTGCTATTCTGGCGCATCTTGTGGAGACAGAACACAAGATTGACGTTAATCATGCTTTCAGGGTCATTTACCGCATACCTATGAATCTCAATTTCGCTTTAAGAGTTCGACTTCTAAATATTGCGGAGGCTGTGGGGATTCATATTAATAAGCCTAATTTATGCACCCAGAAGAAGTTAGTCCAGTCATTATCATTACCTTGGCCATCCAGGTTTGAATAATCCAGAATTTTGTGAAATTTCCCTAATTTTAGTTGATATTCTATCCGCTGTTATATCTTTATTATTATTATAATTTAAGCATCATTAATGAACTGCAATAGCATTGATCATACTTTACAAATCGATATTATTTGAAAAAACGCTAATATTGTTAATAACTACTAATTTAAAATATTCTGTGTATAAAAACATATATATAATTGTAGAGCCTGGAAGAGGAATTTATCGAAAAGAATATTCTTTGCTCGATTATTTTGTTTTTATAGATGTCTGAAAAAACATTTCCAACAAGTTACAAACTTTTATCAGCAGTCGCCTTCGCTGGCTCTATATTGAGGATCAAACGGCTGGCCGGCCAGAAAGAATTAGCAACAAGAAGCTATGGGAACACATACTAACTAAGAAACTACAGTTCAACAAATATGTAGGAGAAAATGGAGATGAAATGGACACAGACTGAGGAGACCGTCAAATGACATAGTGCTCCAGGCGCTTGAGTGGAACCCGAATGTGAAATGACGAGTGGGTCGCCCGAGGGTGACATGGAGGAGATTGTTTGAGTTGAAGGAGGAGGAGGAGATGAGAGACTATGGGGAGTCGTGGGGCCAGCTATAGAGGACCTCAAAAAATAGGACAAAGTGGGGATGTGTTGTTGTGAATCCTTATGTTCCATTCGGAGCCCAAGGGGAAAATAATATTAATGATTCCGTGAATTCCATTAATGTTTATGTAAGTTGTATTAGTATCTTCAGTAGGCTAAGAATTAACTGCTTAAAAATCTCGTTTATAATGTTTAGACATCTGTTTCATGAATGTAGATTTATATACTCTTTATAGAACTCAAGATGTGAGGTGTTTTTACTAAGCTTTATATAGATAGCTATTCTCTTTCTTATCTCATACCTTTTTCTCTTCTGTTCATCTTAATATCAATTATGATTTCTGTTTGCCTCTTTCTTTGTAGTTTAGGAAAGAACTTGGTAACTTGAACTGGTACACTTTGTGCCACATTCCACCGCAGTTGACTTTAAATTTCATGTTAGGTGGTTGGAGGCATTCAGCGGGAACCCTTGGACCTCTGAATGATAATACTAGGTGTTGCGGATTCGAGTCTTTGAAGCGGCATCGCTTCATTCGAAGTAATCTCCTGTAGAACTGTAGCAAAATGACATAGGCAACTCATCACTATAAACTCAATTTCTTGGAGCATATATTTCATATACCAGAGACGTTAAGAGCCACATGTATTTTGTTTAACTCAGTCATCATTCTTTTTTTAGTCTTTTATGTTCCCAGTGGAACAATAGGGCTTCAAGCTAGAGGCTTGAAGTTTCGCTGGCAGTGGTGTCTATTTTTATGGGATGAGGTTGCTAGCCTCATGCCCAACCTTCCCTCTTTACCAGTCTTATTACTAGCTTTGCGAGATAAAGGATTGTGGCGGGTAAGGAGAATGGAGAATGATGCTTAGTAAGGCTTCGTGTGCCTTTGGAAGTGTGTGGGCGGTTTTTACTTCCCGGCTGCCCACACCTTGGAAGTTGATTGATTCTTCGCGTACCTGAAACAGAAATAAGGTTAGTGTTGAGTGACCGCAGAGCCCAGGGGACAACTGCTTGAGGCAGGCCGGTCACACACGGCCTGTATGAACTGGTTTCTTGGATTGGTTCTGTATTAGTAAACTTACCGCCGGTTACGGACCACCGTAGGGTAAGTCGGGATGTACAATTGTTGGGGTCGACGTTTTCTAACCCCCTCTCTCCAGAGTGGAGAGACAGCATAGCTGGCTGGCATGCTGGTCATCTGAGGGAAACACCCTACTACTGTTACATCCTTGTTCCCCTCTGTTCGCCCACAGACCCCCAGCATAGTGTAAAAAAGATTCTTACACTATTCCGGTAACTACTTTAGTCTAATCGCTATCTTAACAACCTTCCTGGCATGGTAGGACCTGCAGGAACAATAGTTCCAACCAGTGTAGCTTGTTGGGTCATCGCGATGTGCGCAATCCCGACCACCACGTCAAGGTAGGTAGCAGCTATCGGTCGGGAGTGCGTCGGCCCGGGATCGAACCCCAGATCACCTGCGTGGTGGTGGTTGGCGAGCATTCTACCGCTGTGCCACCGACGCACAGTCATCATTCAGTGGTTCTTAATCTCATGAATTCATTGGCCGCTTTTAACCTGATTGCCCTACTTCTATTCCCTACATTCATTGCTTCATATCGTTACAAAGGTGCAAACACGCATAAATTTCCTTTCTTCCCCTTATGAGAATTTTGTTTTATTTCAAAATATTTGAGTATATATTGTTTTGCATCTTGTTTTCGTTTTTCTCCATTTTTTTCCTCCCCCTTATCAGATCCTGAAAATACTTTTCTTACTGCAAGAAGATATCCATCCCAGTCGATCACCAGTGGTAGACAAACTGACGATCGAGTGACTAATAATAATAATAGTAATAATAACGAAACTCTCCGAAGAAGCTCAACACGAATGTCTAATCCAACTTTGGTAAATCAAAAAGTTTTTAATAATAATAAGAGTAATAACAATAATGATAAAAATCATAATTATAAGAATAAGAACAATAGTAATAATAGTTGTGACTGCAGCACTCCCTTTATGACTACTCGTCATAATAATCGCATGACTGTGACCGCCAGCAGTGTTGATAACAACAAAACAACAACAACGATAATGATAGCAAACAGTTACTCACCAGTAGTATAAGTTCTGAGCGGATTAATAAAATCCCCATAAGTTTGCCATCTACTATTGGCCTACGACAAAGGAATCAATGTCCGCCAACAACAACAACAACAGATTTTCATTGTCCTATTCTAAGTGCATCATTGCCTTCATTCACTACAACCACACGAAAATCGTGTAAATCACTGCTTGAAAAAAGACGACGATCAATGCTAGTCGGTCGTACTGCATTGAATGTAATCTCTGAAGATGAAAATATGCTTATCGGAAATCAATTAAAACTGAAAAGTGAAAATTATCATCGACTTTGTCGACAACCGATAATAGTTCAACAATCAATGGATTATAGTATTCTACATACTACTGATAATGATAATAATAATAACGGCGACGATAATGAGCAGGAGGAAGAGGAGGAGTATGGGGATGGTGACGTTGACGGGGATTATATTGACAATGACAATGTGAATAATGTGTGTAGTAGTCGTGGGGAGGAAATAAGTTTATACGTGCATCATTCCCTCAACCGAATACAAACATCGCTCAGCACACATCACCACTGAGATGCTTGTTACAGAATAGTACATGCATTGATACATCAACGCATCATCAACACAAGATATATGTGAGTCTATTCCACTCGGTGTGTGTGTGTGAGTGTGCGCGTTGATGCAGAGATAACTAACAATTAACCCATTCATATGGGAATAATATAAGTCATCAAATAACAAATAACAAGATGTGGTCAATGTGAATTATGCTCATTTCTATTTACTTATATCTATCTCCCCTCATCATACATTCATCATATTTTCTAGTTCCTCTGTTTTTGTTTTTGTTTATTTTATATTTTATTTGTTTTTGAAACTAATTAATGCGTGTAATATTCATGCGAATGTAACAAATAACAATGAAAAGTTCCCCATGTTACATCAATAACTGATTTCCTATACCATTCTCTAACACACTGATCAATATGTATGCCAACAGTCTAATGAGGAAATGAAGACATCGAGTGGCGTGTGTTTGTTTGTGTGTGTGTGTGAGGGTTTTTTTAAACTCTGACCTCCGAAATTCATCAACTGGTCTCTCTGTATGATGTTGAATAATAACATCCCAACAGTCTAAGTATCACTAGTTGAGTGGAGACAATCGACAAGAAGCCTTGCCTGGACCCCTAGGTTTCGTGCTTGTTGGCACTCACCAGTCATCGAAGGCATTTATTACAATCTTGAAGAGACTTATATATCCGGGTCACCGAGTACTGTTCCAGTTAGACACATTACCACTGAGGTATTTGGGGGCTCGCAATTGACCTCCTTCCTATACGCGACTGTATTGGATACTTTGATTGGACACTAAGTGGTGAGTAGTAACTAGTGTCGCATGCATGTCTAGTCCTTTGTTTGTGCCTAGCTGTGATTGGTGGACTTTCTTCCGATGATTGCCTTCAATCATCTAATAATAAGAATTCAGAGTTCACAGTGATGATGGTGAGCCACCTAGGGCAAAGTTAAACTTTAAGCACCACTAACTACCAATCAGCGAACGACCTTCAACGGACCAATCACATGAAAGAGGGATTTTTGATAAAGGAAAACGTATATTTATGAAAAAAAGCATGAAAACTGCATAAAACTATCTTTCTCTAACATGTGACAGAAACATCTCCCAGTTTAGCATAGGAGTGTCAATAGAAAAGTTACACCACATTCTGTACAAATGACTATAAATGAGATCCTTTTGAGATCCATTTATAGCCCTAATCCTATTTTTTAATCTTCCCCAAAATCCTTCTAAAGAATTCGTGTGTGTCCCTGTAATGGGATCCACAAAGTCACTAGAATGGTTCACTCTGTGATGAATATATCCAAGAGATGACAGCGAGTTATAACCTTTCCATTCATCAGTATGTACTAAAGATCCTTGTTTCACAAGTCGAGTAATAATAGGTATTAAAGTAGTTGACTTTCTGTCTGGTATTTTCTCCACGAATCCTTTCCGCAGAGAGGTGTCATATAAGCCAATCACCCAAACATTGTTGGCTCGCTCACGACCACGGTTGTATTTTTTCTTCAATAAGACAGTTTCGTCCACGTGTACGACGACACCTTCTCCTGCTAACAACAAAGTAATTCTCTCCATTTTCCATGGGGCGATGTCTCTGCAGTGCTGGTACCACTGAACTGTTGACACAAGGTTATTTTCAGTTTCAGCAGCTGCGCCTCTCACAGGCTGTTTTAAAACCGAAAAGTTACAAATATACAAAAAGTGGGTTAGGGAGAGATGCGACCTAGCAAAAAATGTTCCTACGAAATAATAAAATCATCAGCTTACCTTCCCTAATACTAACTCGTCTCAAACAAATTGCACAACGATGGACATATCCATCAATCGACCTGCTAAAGCTTTTTAAACTCATGACACCTCCACATGAACAAATCCTCTCCTTCCTAATCAACCCCAAATCCAGGCAATACTGCAAAATCTTATCCTCCTCGAACTGCAAGCGTAAGTTCGTTAGAGCAGGCATTTGATACGAATCAAGCGCAATACAACCTTGAACTCACGTGGATGAACCTCATTGGACCATTCGAGGTCATTCCCTGATTGGTATTTATTGGTGCTTAAAGTTTAACTTGGCCCCACCTAGTAAGCGGTATAGTAGTAGTCACATTGCAAACTTGGCTGGTAGAAGAATTCAGTCTGCAGTAAAAACAAAGGACTAAATGCATAACATAGAGTCATTTACTACCTAGTGTTCAATCAGTGTCTAGCATAAGCATATTTTTTCTTGAGTTTAGCTTGCATAGAATACTACACTACATTACAGTGGAAGCTTTAGTCTTCTTTGATAATAATAGAATAGTATTGTGAAATGTAGGTTCATGTACCAATGTTGAAGATTTGTGACATTAGCTAGCTGATTGTTGGTTTTTGAGTTGTATAAAAGGTGTAGAAAGAAAGACTAAGTGTAACGACAGAAGACAAGAGTCAGGCAACAGATCGTTTATTGAGAAAATCAACAGATATTTATAGATTTTTATGTACATTATTATTCGTTATTGTTAGCAGAGAAGTAACGTCTTGTGATTGGTTGTTTCTTTGAAGGTCAGACCATATATCTGCTAATCGTATCCGCCCACGCTAAGTCTGCTGTGATTGGTTGTTGAGTTAGTCTTTGTTCTTGTTTTTTTCTCATGACCAAGATTTGGGACGTAAACATTGACGTAAATTGCTGTGCACCAATTTTGGCTAGCAGACAGCTCTCACCACATAAGCATACCTTCTTTCCCAAAATTGGTCTAGTGCATAACGCTTTGGCGTTTGAAACGGAAGGTACTTGGTTCGAGTCCCACTGGGAGTGCAGTTGCATCTATCCAGCTGAGACGAGTTAGTCCTAAATAGAATGAAATGCGCATCCTGGATTCCATACTGTTAGCAACCATCCACCTAAGTAAGATCAAAGCAGTTCAGTTCTCATAAACTCAAAATCGGAATTGACAAAGAAACTAACTGGTTGCACTAACCAAGCATTTGGGTGTCATAACAATTGTACCCTGCATCTCGCCACCCTCCCTCACTAATTACCCCATTATATTCATCATTTTGGATAAATTTTATGTGTTTTCCAGAATTATTTTACTGAATTTTTTGTTTGTTTTTAATATCTCTTTGTTCCAGTCGCATACAAGAGAAGAGACGAATTCAATTAAATCAGCTATAGAATCATTGCATGCTCTACGTGTAGCCTTAGACTTGGCTGTTGAACGCCTAGCTAAATTAACCTGTCACAATCATAAAAGTAAAGAATACTCTGGTCTACGTGATATTGTCAGTGAAGAACTTGAATGGCGATTTTCACGACTACGTGCTATGCTTGGCTTGTCACCGGTTTGTGTTGAAGCACCAGTTGCTCGTGTCCTACTCGCTGATATTGTAGAACGTCTTATACCAGAGTTGAAGTCAGCTAGTGCAGGTTTAGAAGTACAAAGCTCAATAATAGACAATGATAATACTACTACTACTACTACTACAGACAGTGGAGCATTACAGTATATTAGTCATCAATCAGAATTATATAAATCTCTTAATTTATCTGATACTTCTGTATATGATTTAACGGAAATGAGTAATTCAACTATTAATCCTAATAAAAGTAAAGATGCCGCCACTCTTGATGCTGATGATATTGATGACGATGATGTTGATGGTAGTTGATGATGAAGATATAGAAGGCGATCATGTAGAGAAAACTAATCACTCAAGCGGTAATATTGTTAAAGCTAACACTGAGACGTTGTCAGCATCCTCACCAACCTCTTCATTAAACACTTCACGATTGTGTTGTAAAGTTGAAATGAACAGTCGCTGTAAAGAAGAAGAAGAAGAAAAGTGTAGTACTCAAGAGAATAAAACACTAGAGACAACATGAGAGAACACTATACAGTTGTTTTTTTTCAGTCTTTCTGTGCGCGCTGTCTTCTTTTTTTCTTAATTTTGGTCACTGTTTTGCTTTCCTAACTATTTTCTTCATTTTTGTCTTATTTTCCTTTTCTGGTTTTTTTTTGTATTTAATTAATCGTTTTATAATCAATCATCATGTGAAAATAATTATTTTAAATTGATAGTGTTTAAAAACGAAGTGAACCAATTTGATGACCACCCGACCAACCTTCCTTCTTTACCAGTTTTATAAACTATCTTATAGAGAGGCAAAAGGAGTGCGTTGAGTGGTGGCCGGGGATCGAACCCTGGACCACATGAAGCCTTGGTTGGCAAGCATTCTACCGTTGTGCCATCGACGTACTCAATGTTGTATACACTAATTTAATTTTGTGCATTTATAGCGCCTTTCTCACTCTGGTATCCACTTTTATGGCGTGTGTGTGTGTGTGTGTGTGTATGTATCTCCTTTTGGTCTCTATTGTGTGTAACTTCTCCGACTGAATGTGAATGTGATAATCACGACAGTGAGAAGGTGAAGAGAACCGTTGGTGTGTGTACTCGTGCTGTATGAATGACTTCCAATACACAGAATTCGATGATTTGTAATCTGTTATGCCAGTGTGTGTATGTATGTGTGTGTGGCCGTGTCCGTGTACGTTTAATAATATTTATTGATTTATTGATTTTACCTGTGACTGACTGACTGACTGAACAATATTCTTCATTCTTTTTTTTCGGAATTTTTTTGGTTGTCAATTATTTATCAAAATTATAATATATGATGAGAGTTTATCAATGATTTATTATTTTCCCCGTTGATATTATTATACTAATATTATACTTATATATTTTTTTGAAAGCTTTTGCATAAAATTTCTGCTTTAAAATAATGCCCTGTAATTTTTCATGAACTCTTTCGTAACTGCTGTTGTTGTTTTGTTTTTTTCTTCTTCTCTGGACTACTACTTTCCGTTTCTAAACAGTATTGTTCTTCGATGACGGTTAGATATGTTTGTGCGCACGCGTGTATGTGTGTGGTGCGTGTGTGCGTGTGTGTTGATATTCGAATACTGTTCTACCTAACCTCTATTTATTTTACGGTTTTTCTGTGTATTTTTGACTTGTGCTTCTATCTGTTGCTGATACATTTACGCATATACATATAATGTCTCAATCTCTCATGCAGTGACCACAGTTCACTATCTTAATTTTGATAACGAAAACAAATGCGTCTGTAGAAAAAGAATACTGGTATTTTATGTAGATATTTATTATTGTTATTATTATTATTATTATTGTTATTAAATATAGGAAATATAATTTCCTGAGTACTATAAAACTATACTTCTTAAAAAAAACACAAACATATTCTGAAATAATAGAGAAGATTTGTAGCTCACGTGGATGATTTGCAATTAATAGTGTTCTCTGAGCTGGTTCGTTTGATTGCGGAGCTTTCGTCGTCCCCCTGCTGGACAACATCCCCATTCAGCGCAATATTTAGCATAAGGCGAAATGATTTAAATTTCTTCATGAGTGATATAATTGCGTCTTCCGGTAACCATCTGTACATATGCATTGATCGTTTTTTATTGACTTGGATTTTAAACTTTCTGGTCACCTGATTTACTTTTTATTACAGGAATTCATCATGAGCTGACATTAGTTAGAGAACCATTGGAAAACCAGCTGGGAGTACTGGACAGCTGTTTCGTCCTAGTTTGTGGCTGTTCGTCGGCACGCATCCACCGGGATTCGAACCCAGGACCTTCTGATTACAAGGTTAGCGAGCTCGTATACCATTAAGCCACTGGGACCCTATCCAATGGCCCATGAATTCTAACTTCTGCCAATTCACAACATAGCGCGACCCCTAGCCAATGTCTTCGGCGAGTATTTGTCCTCACACCCGACCTGCTGCACCCTACTGGTCACAACTTTTTATTAGTTGGTATATTTCGTCTATATTAACGTGTTTGTTAATTACATATTCGTTTGAGTACCAGGCTTCTAGGAATACCCTAGATTTTTTGGTGTTTCCTCTGTCTAAGATTTCGACATTATCCCAATCAAATTGATGTCCATAATTGTCTACATGCATTGATATGAAAGAATATATATCGTGTCTTTTCACGGCTGATTTGTGTTCCTGGATTCTGATTTGAAGCGGACGCCCACTTTGACCGATGTAATGCCTGTTACAGTTCATACAATTTATTTTGTAAATGGTATTAATTTTATCCCCTTTTTCTGTTGGATCTTTCGGTTTGCATAATATCGAATTAAGCGATTTGACAAACATATTCTAGTATTGGTTTGTAGGGATTTGATTGATGATTGGTTACAGGATCTTCATCATGAGCTGACATCGGTTAGAGAGAACCGTTGGAAAACCTTCCTGGGAGTATTGAACAGCTGTTTCCTCCGTCCTAGTTTGGGACTGTTTGTCAGTACGCACCTACCGCCAGGGTTTGGACCCAGGACCTTCTGGTGGTAGACCATTAAAAACCACTGGAAATCCGATCCAACTTCTGCCAATTCATGACATAGTGATTCATGGACTGACCATTGGATCGGGGTCCCAGTGGCTTAGTGGTCTACGAGCTATCTCGCCTTGTAACGAGAAGGCCCTTGGTTCAAACCCAGTTAGCGTGGGTGCATACTGATGAAGAGCCCCAAACCAGAATGAAACGGTTGTCCAATACTCCCAGGAAGGTTTTCCAATAGTTATCTAACTGATGTCAGCTCATGATGAAATCCTGTAACCAAATAAACATATTCTCTTCTATATAAATATGTGATTGTTGTAATTAGTCTGTTGAAGGTAGGTAGGTGGGTGGGTGGGTAGTCATTGCTTTTCTAAAACTCACTTAACTCTATTTCTGCAGTATGCATCCATCAATGGTCCTCTATGATCAAATTTCAAACAAGTCAATCTGATGCTCGCTAGTGACTGGTTACATACAGGACGAGGTTTCCTGGAGTTCTAGTGGGAAATCATAACCCCTAGTGGGGTTCATCACCAGAATGGGGGGGCGTGAGTGAGGATAAACACTTGCCGATGACACTGGCTGGTTGGTTGGTGGTTGTGCTAAAATCATGAATTGGTAGAAGTTAAAATTCATGGGTTGGTCATTGAGTCAGGTCCGAGTGGTTGGTTGAATGGTCAACGAGTCTGACTTTTAACCTGAAGGTTCTGGGTTCGAACCCTGTCGGTAGGTCCGTACTTTCGATGAGTTCGAGACTAGGACGAAACAGGTAGCTGTCCAGTAGTACTCCGTGGTTTTCATCAGTTATCATCAATCCTTGATCAAACTCGGAACTTAATCATTTCTTTTGCTTGCTGGTGGGATTTTAGTCTCCTGCTTTTTGCACTTAAAACTATCTGTAGTTGAAATGGTGCTGCCTAGATAAGTAAAGGAAGTGAACTCTTTCAAATTACTCCCGTTGATAGTGCTTTGTGCTGGTTTTTGTTGTTGGTCGGTTATCTCGGTCGGTCGGTTTTCGACACAGAACTTTGCACATATGTGCGGTAGTTCAAGTCGCCTTCTCCATGTAGCACACAAAGCAAGACAAGAAAGTAGGACGAATGCATATTAGAGACAGTAAACAGAGGTGTGAGACAAAGGTATAGTAATAACGAAGAACAAAACAGTTTAATTGGAAATCATAAGTCACAAAGAGTGGATGCATCTGCACCAGCCACTGAAAACGATTTTGAGCCATGTCACCAATTGTTTCCAACCATTGGTTTTTACCGTCTCGAGGACCCCAACCAGGAAGTCTACACGTTCCTACGTGGCCTAGACTAACTGTTTTAGATTTCATTGACTGGTGCCATGTTTTGGTTTGACCGCCGCTAGCTCTTTTCCAGCCTGACCCTATGTCAGCTAACATTGCCCATCGAGGAAGGCGATGAGTAGGCATACGTAACATATGTCCTAACCATCTCAACCGATGCAGCTGCTTCACAGCCTCGTCGATTGATTCCCCCTCCTTATCTAGCACTCGACGCCTAACCTCAATATTGCTCACCTTATTATACCACTTCACGCGAGAGATAGAACGCAGACACCTATGATCGAAGACAGCTAATCTTTTCGGTTATCTTCATTGCCTTCGCTTTCCCTGTCTTCAGTGCTCCTTCTCCCAAATTGTTGGTTTTCACCTGTAAGTCGTCAATTTTGTGTGACATGAGACGTAGATCATCTGCGAAGTCCGGATCTTCTAGAATCTTCTTGTTGGTCCAAAGTATTCCTTCCTTCTCACTTCCTGTGCACAGACCTCCACATAATCCAGTCCAGCACAATCAGGGATATCATTAAAGAATATAGTGGGCAGGCAGCTTTGTCTTCACTTCAGAGGCTTCTTCACTAAGTTTTTAGTAATGGATCACTTGACACGTATCGTTGTCACATAGTTGTTGAATGAGGTTAACGAAGATTTTGGGACACGCTACAGTTTTGAAGTAGCTTCCAAATTACTTCACAGACAACACTGTCGAAGGCCTTTTCAAAGTGGATGAAGCTGCCATTCTATGCTCCGTTCAGTGATGAAGCGTCGAGTTGTGATTTGATCAGCACATGATTTGCTTTTCCTGAAGCCAGCTTGCTTTAGTCGGAGGTTTTCACGCAAAGCATCGTTTAGTCTTGCCTGAATGATGCGACTTAATATTTTGCTTGGCGTGGACATGGGCACGATTCCATGCTAGTTCTTGCAGAGGCCTAAGTCGCCCTTCTTTGACAGTTTGACAGGGTAACCTTTCTTCCAGTCAGTAGGCACTTTTCCTTCCTCCCAAACTTTTTGCAATAGTGTTGTGAGCATATATCCGTTGCTGTCTTTGGATCTGTTTTCAGTGCTTCAGAAGGAATTCTGTCTGGTCCTGCTGCCTTCCTGGATTTCAGTAGCTTGATTGCACTCAGTATCAGTATAAGGGTTAAATCTTAAATAACATCTAGTACCGGCCGGTTATAAGTTGGGTTTCGTGACTTATTAGACCAGTTGGTTTTCCACCACCTTCTGAGGTTGAATGGGGAGTATTATAAAAATGATTTTAGCTGACTTGGATGCCCAGTTCTCTTTAT